AGCGACATCGTTGAAGCGTACGATGCGTCCAAGCACCCCGAGGTGATTGCCGGACGAAAGACACCCGACCAAGTGTTTCGGGAGTTTCTTGACACGTTTGACGTGGACGGCCACCACGACGCCAAGGTCACGCCGGACATGTGGGAGCATTACTACGCTAACATCAGCGCCAGCATTGACGACGACGACTACTTTGAGCTCATGATGCGCAATTCGTGGCACATTTCAGGCGGAAAGGGATGGTGTGCCAACACGACCAACCGTCGGGTGCTCGTCAACGACTCCCATGTTGTGGAAGTCGAAGACGATTTGGGCGTCAACATGTCCAGTGTGCCAGAACGACTGGAGCGACAGATCAAGTCGTACATGAACCAGCCTGGGACAATCAAAACGCTCAACTCGATCAACGTGACTGCGTGCTTGAATCACACGGTGGACCCTCCGAAGTCAGCGCAAGCTACCCCCACCCGACTAACCGAAGCCAAAGTCATGCCGCTGCAAGCCATGCAACGCACGACAGAGTCGGTCATCCAACGACTTTCGAACAGTAGCATGATGAGCACCAACCCCAGCGTGGCACAGGTGGATGGACTGTGGGGGGCGTTGCGCCAAGTGCTGCGATCGAAAGGACTCGTGACCATCGTGCAAGTTCGCCGAACCATCTTGCAGTATGGAAAAACCATCGCCGCCACCCAAGTGCAAGCCGCGCTGGGGCAAACCGCTCAAGTCACGTTGCCGACGGAGATCGTTCAGAAACTCGTGGACGACGTGCGCCAACGCTGTCCGCTGCGTGGCGAAGATGTGACAAGCGCTCGGGCGTCCACGGCCGGATTCTGGAAGTGTCTGGCCATGCCCAAGGACGACCAGTTGGTGAAAATGGCCAAGCGGGTGTTTGCCCACTTGCAAGTCGAAGCCAAAGGCGACTGCACGCCGCTGGTGTTGGCCAAGGCGTATGACGCCCCCAGCCATCCATCTGTGATGCTCGGCCTCATGCCCGCTGAAGACGTGTTCAAGGACTTTGCACGGTGTTTCGACGTAGACTCGTCAGGGTGCATTCCGTACGACAGCATGGATACGTACTGCAGCGACCTATACTTTTCGGTGGGGGAGCTTCGCCACTGCCTCCAAATGTTGCGAGATGTGTTCCACGTCGAGATCCCCACCACGACGTCTTAACACCATCGATGGAGTAGAATTGTTGTCCGAGTTATATATATTACTTCGAAGTACGTAGTAGTTGTATTTGATGAACCGCTGCGATACCTACACGATACATACAATGGAGTATTATTTTATCTTGTTAGCGTCAAACGTGTAACGTGTGAGGCTGACACTGCTTTGCCCGTCGAGGGAATGTCGGGGCTGTGGACGATGCAACCTTGTTGTCAGGAAAATCGAGACGTCGTATGGGGGGCGGCATGGACAGTTCCTGCGACAAGCGATCCAGGGCTGTTGTGAGGCGCAAGGCGCTTGTAGGTAGCGTATACGAGGCACCCTCTGCGATCATGGAGGACGAGGCATCGGGCGGAGCCTGCTGGAGCTTGTGGCGTAAATGTTGACTGAGTTGCTGTAATTCGTCGAGAACTTGGGCTTCCAACGTTGCACGAGGTTGTGAGCTGGAACTGTGCAAGTTTGGACTGTGACTCTTAAGTGTCTGTGGCAGGACGGAGGATGTGGGTGGAACCAGGGCGGTGGAAATGGACGATGTCTTGGTCGATGAGAGAAAGTCGGTCGGACTTATAACAGTCTGCCCGAACGGTGCTGTTGCCTGGCACGACGTTGGTTCAGGGGCTTGGAGTTGGTCTTGTTTCGTTTTCGCCAAGTCCGGCAAAGGTGGTGACACGACGTTAATCGATGCGGACGTATACTCGGTCGACTGGGCATCAAAGATCATTCGAATTGACGGGGACGCCAACACTTCCTTCAGCGCACAAAGTTGCTGCCATCGCTCCCTCCACGAGCCATGGGCGTTCGTCAACGGCAGATGTGAATGATGCATGTGGGCCATGGCAGGCAAAATGTAGTCGTTCTACTTGCATCGGTCAATGGCTGGACGATTGACCATGAACACGAACGAACCAACAACTCAAGGAAGCACCGGTTCGACGACCCTGTGGACGTGTACAGCCGGCTTGACACGACCCCCAACGCCGCATAAAATTCGTCAAAACTAGCCAAATTGGGTAAATACATCGTTATTGAAAGAAAGCGTGAAGGCGAACCAGAGAGTTTGTGGCAGTGGGGTGGTCCTGTGCGCGCTCTATCATGTGTGATGAGCTGGGTACTGTACTTGCAACTCATAGAAGCAGTAATGCGGATACAACGTACCCGAATTTGATGGAAAATCACGTCAATGTCGGCAAGGCGAAGATTCTATCAATGCCAAATGTTGACCTCTTCAACACGAATTCAACGATGTACGAACCGCGTTGTCACACAATCCCGCGTCGCGAAGAAACCGTAAAAATGACATGCTTGTAATCGCATTGGAATCGTCTGCGCAATAGTATCCAAATGCCGTCTAGGATCTGTCTCAATAAAGTGCAAATGGCGTTCGAAAGCTGTACCTGTAGGGCCGTGTCCAGTGATTCGATATGGGGCAGGGATAGCCACCTGTCCAACTGATGGGGTGGTGTGTTCCCAACCTGGCTGTCGGTGACAACAGCCACGCTCTTGCACAACTTGCTTCCGTTGCCCTGGGTCGTGTGTCATATTACACAATGCGTTCAGTGTACTTAATTGGTGTGAACTGTTTACCTTGAAGAGGCGGCTGTTCTTGTCCATCCATAACAGCAATAACCGCATCTTTTGTTCTTCTGTGGGGTATTGCCGATCCCATTCCTACGCCGCGCCATCAACCACACATCCGCGTTTGGGAGAGTTGCATACCACACTTGAAAACACCAGCAATGCGCACTTGGCCAACGCTGCCATGAAGTCGTGCACCTCCATTTTAGACGGGTGTTGTTTATCCAGTGACTTGAACAACGTCAGAACTTGGGCCCGAGACAACAGATCCTACACCAGCAATGACCACGACCCGTGGAAAGTGATGCTTACAGGGCATATGTGGTAATGTTTGAACACTTGTAGGAACCCTCCAAAGGTCAAAGTGTGGTTTTGCTCGATCGAATAATGTGGCCGTTGAGTTCGTGGGTTCACTCGCACCAAGTCCACGTCCATAGCTTCGAGGAAGATCATCTGAAGCGGCATAGCATAGGAAGACAGAACCTTCTCCGCCATGATTGTGTATATTCGTAATGATTGAACCGACGTGACAAAGTGAAACTGCTACCAGTTTCATTATTTAGATTTCAAGCGACTTTTTTGTCGTTATCTTCAATATGGTTGGTGTCGCAGGCTTGATGGATTTCGGAGCCAATTTAATACCTTTGTAAATGAGATGCATGTACCCAAGAAGTACAAAATAGCCAAGTACGGTGGCAACGAGAATGAGTGGCGACACTCCTCGTTTCTTGATGGCTCCAGTATCCGAACAGCCACGTACACCCAGCCAAGCCAGAGGCCCTTTCCACCTACCACAAGTGCATCCGTCCAAAAGAGAGCCAATAACGTGCATTGCCACTCCACGAAGTTGCCGACCGACCGATCGGCAGACAACATGCCGTCACTGGCATACCGGTTACACAGTCGTGATCGTGCTGGCCGCATTGTCCTTGTAGAGTCGACGAATGTCAGACACTTTGCCATACACTTGCATGGCAATATTGAACTGAACGAACCGGCGTAGCCTAATGTTACCTGCGCAGCTTCAAGTCGGATGGCTCGTGAGGGGAAGGCGGCAGCATCTTCTAAAATTCAAAACAAGAATATTAATATTACACATTGAAATCGTACTGTACTACTGATTGGCCAAAACAATGCACGTTGAAATTTGATCTTGCAATAATGCTCGCCGATCGACGCCCAATTCTGGTGCCGGTCCCTCAGCAATGTGGCCATGACCAGTATGCAAACTTTGTGGAGTACCTGTCAACGTGCCCTGGCATGGAGCTCCATCGAAGCACAGGTATGTTACATATTACGATCGAAAGCTGTACAAGAAGTGAATGACATAGTTGTGGATGTGGCGTGTACCCAGCCCAGTGAGGTAGACAGACAACGCATGGAAATCCCATACTAGTTCACATCTGGCAGGATGTATATTCTGGCGACGTTCGCTTGCGACAGAGTGTCGAGCTGAAATTTGGTACGTTCATGTACTTGATGGGGCTATAACTGAGGAATGCCAGGGGACTTTGTGGCGTATTTTCAAGCCAAGGCGGCAGGCACTTCCCACTGGCTTATGGACACAGAGAACGATTTACACTTTTACTTGGCCCAATGCCCTCTACTTTCAACGTCAACGGACGTCCCTGCTGTCTTGCCGCACCTGTTGCCCGCTATGGCTTCCTTGAGGTAGGGTTGGTATATCTTTCGGTGTGATTTGACCTCGTTTTAATGACAAGTGTATGGCATAGGCCACCTATTCTGGACAATATTCAACTGACCCAAATCAATCTGTGGATGACGATCGCATCCAGTGACACGAGTGTCCATTACGATGCGTACGAGAACGTCCTCCATGTTTTGCAGGGAACAAAATGCGTGCGACTGTACCCCCCGTCGGCCACGCCAGTCATTCAGGCCCACGCCATCTACTCCAAGTCGTCCAACCACACCACCTTGTCGTTAGCGCAAACCAAGGCACTGCCACACTTTATTGAGTTTGACGTTCATGCCAACAGTACTACGCTCCAACTGGAGTCTTGGTTTGTTTTGGCTCACACTGACGATTAGTGGCGCTGTATATTCCTGAAGGCTGGTGGCATCAAGTACGACCAGACAGACGTTATCTTGTCGAGTTGGACAACGCCAGCATTCACGAATCTTGCGGTGTAGGTTCGGTCAGAACCGCTGACGGTGGCCATGAACTATTGGTTTGACGGGATGCGGCCAACTCTGGTGGCGCAACCTGCCATGGTTCCATACTATGCCAGAGGTTCAATACATTGTAAAACGATTTATTCTCTCATGATATATGCGTGCCCATAATAGTCCTGGTGGAAGACTTGGTGCGCACGGCTCGACTGAAGGCAGTTCATGCGACCATTGCACAAAGTCGCCAGCGGCTACTCAACGTACGAACTACTCTATCAGAATCATCGAGGAATGTTCTTTAATCACGTTGCAACGGACTCTAGAAAGGCGTGCTCGCTCGGCTCACGTAGGCAAAAAACATATTGTTGTCCGCGTAACATTCGATTCAACGACCTGAGAAAGTGGTTTAGGAGCGTGGATGCTTTGGAAGCCTTTGTCGTGAACGCAAAGGGCGGCACGGACAAAGAAGATGCTCTGCTCACGGCTCCCCCCACGCTGCTGTATTCGTTGATTCTCCGCTTGAGTGAACGCCAGCCATCCGTTTGGTCCGCGATGTTGGAAGAAGCGAGTGTGGAGTTGGTGGAATTCCTCACCGACGCATGGGACGACCACGACGCGCTGTCTCGCCACTCGAACGGATCGTCCCCACCGGCGTACTTTGCTGCCGTGTTTGCGTGCTGTGACTTCGATGTGCAAGAGGTTCTTTTGGCCAAAAAGGACGCCTTTGGACGACAATCTGCACGCCACGTCATGGCATCGATGTTTGGTTTCGAGTAATAATCTTGACGTTATGCAGTGCCATCAACTAGTGTATGCCGTATGCGTCGCCGTGTCGACCCCCCATATCTCAAAACCATATTCAACATCATATTGAATACTTATTCCATGACTCAACCCACATACATAGACGCTTGCCAAGACGGCTCCGATGGTGCTCCACTAGGGCTCGGTTTCATGTCCTTTTCGTCAGAAATAGATTGCCGTCGTTATTAATACAACTGGACCTTGCAATCCCTTTGGCCACATACTATACGTATAGTATAGATTTCGATGGTCCTTCAGGAATTACGAGATCTATACACTCCACGAGGGACGTCACCCATTGTACTGTCTACAGTCCGCGCCACATGAATAGACTCACCCCGTTTTTGGTCGCTCATGTTTGACACAAACTATTCTACACTTCAGGCCAAGGCACATCTTCCTAACTATCAATAGACAAAGCGATTGATGTACGATATAACATTCTACGAGCTGTAGTTCATAATTTATGGACAATGTCAAAACTGTACTAGTATGGGTCTATTTATGTGGTGTGCACTGTATAGTTAGAATTCACCCCTAAACTGTACCATGTCCACGCCTCGGCGCATGAGCGTGCAAGGGTCGCTCTCGACGTTCTTGAGCTCGATCAACTCGCGCAGGTCTCTGACCCAGTTGGCGCGAAAGGCATCCAATTCAGGCAAAGTGTTCAAAAGCATGGCGCAGTCCATCTTGATCAAGCACGCCACAAACAACGCCCGCGGGTGGGAAACGTACTACCGCCTATTCAGCAATTGCTCTGAGTTTGGCTTTGTAGCAGCCTTCCTCACAACCATCGTCATATTGTACTATTCGGGGCTGTGGCACCGACAAACCACCACTGGCCACGTCCCTTCCACGGTCAACTGGAGCACAATTGGCAGCCAATGTACACTCACGCCCCTGGGATTTGTTGGATGTTCCAGCCCCGAAATAGCTGTCGTGTCCACTGCCGTGTGGACCGCCATTGGCCAATCGTTGGACCAGCAATTGTCGTCCAACGTCGCTTTGAAGATGACTACGTGTGTGATCGGAACCTCTCGCGGATATGGAGCGGTCGTCTTCGTGCTCGCCCCAGACATGTTTTCAACTTGTTCGGAAGACGTCAACCCACCGGTGGCAATGTTGGCAATGCTAGAAACCAGCACCAACGACGCGACAGCCACACCCACCTACCTCCTGTCCATTCTCAACGACGAGCTATCGCCGCCTCCATCTCAAGTCAAAGACGACACATCCGGCGCCACGTCGACGGAGGTGGCGACACGTGTCACCAAGGTTTTCATTTCCGACACCGGCGTCACGTCCCCTGCTGCTATCAGTCAAACGAACTGGCGATTCCAAAGCCAGCCTCTCGGGCGTCGATACACACTTTCGTTCAGCTGCTCATCTGAATTTATCATGTCCACTGACGGATTCACCGGTCTGCTTTCGAGGAAAACGTGGATTGTTGGGTGGACATGTCGACACGATGTATCGAATTGGGCCGAAGTCGCCATCTGTCAAATGGGGCTCATTGCGATTCTGGTGCATTGGGTGGGCGGCGACTTGTTGTTGACGTTCCTGGGGCTGCAAGGGTTTCTCTTAGGCAAACCAGTGCTCACGTACGACTTTTTGTCGGGCTTGGAGCGCCGAAAGCGAACGGTCGTGCTGCTTATGGTGAGTCGCTTGGTGACATTAATGTACACCGAAATCACGCGGCTGTACGTCGACACCCCAAGCCACGGTGCCCTGTTCGTCATGTCGTGCTTCATGCTGTCCGGTCTGTTTGTCTGTGCAGTATACTGCAGTCTTCTCGTGATCCAACGTCTTCCTTGTCCCCAGCCGTGGAGATTCAAAGCTGTGCGAATTCAAGGACCGCTCTTCGTAACCGGCACGACCATTTTCTGCGCCATGGCCAGCGCTGTCTGCGACCTGCGACAACGGTACCACGACCCAATATGGACATTGCGGACGCCGTCGCTACTCGTGGTCGTTCCAAACGCCACTAGTTCTTTTGCCACGGGGGCTTTCACAGAGTTGCAAGTCGCCCCCGTCTCGACCATCCTCGCCCCCGTCATGCTCAAGATCATGGGGGTCATGCTTGGCATCGCCGTGGTGCTGCCAATGCTGTACCATCGTCAAGTCGTAATCGACTTGGCGTTTATGAAACGCAATGAGTTTCTGCACACGACATTTGTACCGTCGTACGTAACGGCCTTACCCCTGTACGAAACTGACTGCATTCGATACGGGGGCGCCCTCGTCGTCAAGCCGAGCACCCTCGCGTTGTTGGGGTACGCCATGCTCCAAGAACACAAGATAAAGCGGCGGTCGCTCGTGGAAGTCATGCCCAAAGCTACCAAGGAACACGACCCCCACTACCCCCTCCTCGTGATTGTCACTGTGTACGACCTCTTGCCGTGCTTGTTGCTGCCGTGGATTCCGTGGACACCCACGATCGTTGGCACCGTCAAAAAGTACGCCTTCACCAAAGCTCCTCGCGGAACCAAGTTGCCTCGACGAAAGAAATACGTGCCCACAAAAGGGTCCTGCGTCAGTTGACCTTTTGTCTCCATGGAATTGCGAGCTCCATGTACATAACGTATGGCAGAGTAACACCATTATTGGAACACACAACCTCGCCCCACGTTCATTGATTCACGTTATTCGTTCAGTGCCACGATTGCAAGTTATTGAACGTAAAAAGGTTAGCTCAAAAGCACATGTCGAATCTCCCCGCCTTCAACTGTCGCTTGTGTGACCTTTTATGAGATCGCTTTCATTCGGATACGAGAATTCTGGTATCCGGATGTACCCTAACGTGACCACTGGAACAATCTCAAGGCACAACAACGCTTTATTCGCAAGGGCAAGTGGTCCGTGTGCAACTGGCAGCATTTGACATCTGACGGGAAGCATGAAACGATTCTTGCGTGTGCCGTCGACCATCGCAGGGTACAGTCGTCGACGGTACACCACCATGGGTCTTCTCATGGACGTTCCGCCCGAGTGTCTCAAAGTAACCGAGCCGTCGCCCCAGGACACGCCCAAGTTGAACTCGTTCACGGAAATGTTTCGCAGCATGTCTCCGTACATAAACGTCCATCGTGGCACGACGATGGTGATTCACTTGTGCGGGGATCTCATCGAGTCGCCCTTGTTTCCCACGACCATGCAAGACATTGCGCTTTTGAATTCGTTTGGCATTCAAATCATCCTCGTGGCAGGGTCCCGTCCTCAAATCGACACCCGACTTGTCCATCGCGATATTCCGCATGTCGTCAAGCGCGGCTACCGCGTCACGGACGCTGACGTGCTGGCGTGCGCCATGGATGCAGCCGGGTAAGTTCACGTGCAAGTCAATTAGCCATGCTGAAACTTGTCTTGTAGGTCCGTTCGATTTCGTATTGAAAGCGCGCTTGGACGCGGCATTCTCAACGCTCCTGGCGACAGACAAACCATCAGCATATCCAGTGGCAACTACGTCCTCGCGCAGCCGGTGGGGGTCCGAGGAGGGGTCGACTACAAGGTACTGACTTGTGTGTCGCTTGGTCTCATGCCTCACTTTCGCTCTGTGCAGTTTAGTGGAGAAGTGCGCCGCGTCAACGACAAGAAGATCAACGCGGCACTGGACGGAGGCGACATCGTGCTGCTCTCGGACATTGCATACAGCGCGTCGGGCGAAGTGTTTCACATCTTGTCTGAGCAAATCGCCGCCAAATGCGCCGTGCAGATGAACGCGGACAAGCTCATCTTCCTCCACGACGGCGAAGTCATGGTGGACGTCCGCAACCACCAGGTCGTGCACACGCTGCTCATCCGCCAGGCCCAGCAGTACCTGGAACTAGCGTCGTTGGACCCGACGTACGTTGTCTTGGTTGTTGTCCTGTACTGGCGGAATGATCTGATTGTCGTTGTCCTCCTGTACGTAGCCTCAACCCCAACTTCATTTCGTACTTGAAACACGCAACCAAGTCGTGCATCAGCGGCGTGAAGCGCTCGCATTTGGTGTCACGACATACGAACGGCGCGCTGTTGCAAGAATTGTTCACTCGAGATGGGGAAGGCATCATGATTTCCAAGGAAATGTACGAAGGCGTGCGCATGGCGCGCAGCGCCGACATCCCTAGTAAGCCCCCCCCCATGGCGACCAACCCCACCGCCGCGACGCCGACGTAGCCATCCTCGTCGTACTCATCTACAAGTGTTGGATATGTGTGTGTAACTAGGCATCATGCGGCTCATTCAGCCCATGCTAGACGACGATATCCTCGTGTCGCGGTCCCAGGAACAGATTGAATCGAACGTGCACATGTTTACAGTCGTCGAGCGCGACGGGGCGATCATTGCATGCTGCACTTTGCAGCCGTACGAATCCAACTTTGCTGAAATGGCATGTGTGGCCGTGGACCCGGCCTACCGCAAACTCGGCAAGGTATGCCGTCCGGTTGTTGGCGAGTGATAACGTTTGAGTTTGAACTGAGGCGTACATGGTTGTTTGATGTAGGGCAATGCGCTGCTGGGGTTTATTCTTCGCAAGGCGTCGGCGATGGGCGTGAAGAGCCTGTTCGTGCTCACCACGCGAACGTCTCACTGGTTTATGGAGCGAGGGTTTGCTCCCGCCCAAGTCACCGACCTGCCGCGCACCAAGCAGGCGTCCATCGACCCGACCCGCCAATCCAAGGTGTACATTATGGACATTAGCAGTCGCCGCATGGTTGAGGAAAAAGAGTTGCTGTTGCTGTAATGCCACAAGGGTGGGCTGGAGTATTATTATGTACAACTTCCTGTCCAGTAGGTAGAATAATGTGTTGGTGTAGCCTACCTACCTAGCCCTTGGCTGGATTTGGATCAAATGAAGGATAGATAGTATACCATCTAAGGAGATGCAAGCTGACATGGTCGATGCAATATATATTAGTACCGTGCCTTGTGACACTAGACCTTGCACACGTTGGCAACGTACGACGCTTAAACATGTCGTACGAGGTACAAAGGGAAAAGAAATATTGAATCTGGCTTAGGCACGGTCACCATGACAAGGAAGTTGTCGACGGTGGCTCCGTGGCACTCCTACTACTGGTCGCTAGCTGTGCGGTTTACTGTTGCGCACCGGCGCCCATGCTATCTTGGACGCGTTGCATGGTCGTGCCAACTTGCAGATGGGCTTGCATGTACTTGCCCACGCACCGATCGACGCAGCTCATTTCGCCAACATTCAAGTCGGCATCGTGGAAGCGGTAATTGCACTTCTTGAAGCACACTTCCGCCATCTTGTTGAACAAGTCCGTGTACATTTCCATTTCGACCTTGGCCATCTGCATCTGTTGGTCCATGACAGGGGCGGCAGCAGGCGCGGGCTTGGCAAACATCACGACGAACGGATCGGTGAGTGAGTGGAATGAACCGACCGACCACCAAAAGTGCGGTCGTCTTTGTATCCGGCAATCCGGATAATGTGGAGGTACTATTAATAGTTACTAGTATTACTTAAGTGCGTAGTAGAAGTACTCGGAGTGGGTCGCGTTTACATCCCCCACAGGCGTTGATGGTACAGTAGCAGTGGGCATGCTACTGGTCTTGCGGAAACGTTATTGGCCGTGTCATATATCTTGCCGAAGCTACAGTATAGAACAACCCTCTATAGCATTGAATGCCAACGGGGCGGAATGACACGACCGGGACCTCTGCTTCTTGCACATGTGATCTGTACGTATAGGTTAATCAAGGTGATGGCTTGCAAGGTGTGCTCCTTGGAGTCCAAGGAGTTGACACTGCGCCTGGATGGCTTTTTGATTTACCAGTAGAATGACAGGAATGGATTTACGACGGACTAATAGGACTAATATTCAAACAGGTCGCTTGGCTTGGTGGGCGGCGCTTCCCGCGCAAGTTTCTCTTGCAGCACAGGCAAGTATTGATTCAATTTGTAGTACGCTTGCAGGTATTTGCCCACACACCTGTCGTCGCAAGTGGACTCGCCCATATCCAAATCGCCTTCGCGAAACCGGTGGACGCACTTGTCAAAGCATATTTGACGCATCTTGTCCTGCATGTGCATGAGTGTGTCCGCTTCTTGCTTGACAGCTTCCATCACCCGCTTCTGTTCCGCTGTCGGTTCTGTGGCCGCGGCGCGCGTTGGCTGGAACCCAGGGAACATCTTGCTGGTAGTTAGTATGCGAAGTAGCCCAATGGTGAATGCTCATCGTGGATTGGGCCAAATCCCACCAATAAAGAAGCGATTGCGGATAAAATGCTCTATCCGGATTGTTGACTGGAACGCTGCATTTCTACTCGCATTTCAAGTTCAAGATGACGATGTCAAGTGTACTTGCCCACAAGGGCTGCAGGTGGATCGCCCTGGGCTGGACTGCCTTCATTGCTGAAAACCTAGTCTTGTCAGAGTTCAAAGAAGACATTGTGGCTCACTTCGGCCAAGACAACTACCGGCTGACGTACTCGACATTGTCCACAGCGGCATGTGGCTCGATTGCGTATGGATTTTTGGCTCATGGTCGCCAGCAAGGCCCCGTCGTGACTTCGTTGGCCAAACGATTCCCGCTGATCGTGTTTTCCGTCCAAGCGCTGGGCTTGGCAGGCATGGCGTCGCTGGCTGTACCCAAGCTGCAAATCCCATTCACCACGGCAAGTGACAACGACGCACCCTCGTCCATCACGACAACAGAGGTCGCCACGCCTACCTTTACGGTGCAATGCCCTGTGGACTTTAAGGGGGGCAAGACAGACTTGAAGGAGGTCACCCGGTATCCGATGCTGTTTTCATTTGGGTTGGCCACGTTGGGCACAAGTTTGGCATCGCCGTTTTTGTCACTGCGTCTTTTGGCAGGGTTTCCCATTGTCATGGCCGTCGTGGGTGGATTACATCAAGACCGTCGACACTTGCGTTCAGGGGAGCTGGACCAAGCGACTTATGACAAAACCAGCTTGCTGCCGTTTGTGGCGCTGGCCCAGCATGGCGGATGGGAAGCTCTGGCGGAAAAGCTACCATGGGTCAACATTGGCGTGGGGGTGGTGTTTGCATTGGGGCTGGCCCGTCGACGCATGGTGCTGCTAAAGCCAGTCTCGTCTGGGATTGCGTCTAAGCTTCCGCCTCCGCTAGCATAGATGGATAGCAAGCAATACACCAAGAATAGGTTGAATCATCAAATACTACTAGTAGCCAGTCATTCAACCAAACAGCCTGTCCGTCCGTTCTTAACTCTTGAAATCAAAATGGATTACGACTGCCATATAGTATGGCATTAAAGTTGTTGCAGTTTAAAAGTTCGTACTTGGATTTGTGATTTGATTTGGTCAATCAAACGTTGTATAAATTCGATAGTCACTCGGAATGTCCATCGTGGGAATTGCACCGCTAACGTTATTAGATATTGCTTTACAGCTCGGTTCATGAATCTTATGGGGTTGCCCTCGCCATAGAATCTGGGCATACTGTACATACTGTATAACACCAACTATTTCTACCAACCACCTAACACCACCTCGACAATCGACAAGGGCTTGTTTTCCGACAAGACATTTTGCTTGTGGCAGGCTGAACCAGAGAAGCCAGAGGCACAGCGGCATCGTCCAACTTGAAAAAAGCACACCCCTCGATTCGAACACTCGACAAAACACTTGTTGCCCGCAGCCCCGACACCCACCCCCCCAGGTGCTGGCACGCCACTGCAGTCGGTCTCATCTTGGGGGGTCAGCGGGTCGTCTCCACTTGGACAATGGCCTAACAGGTTTATGTCTGTGGGCAATTGAAAACATCAGATGGGGATTGTGTACGCAAGGAACAATCTGCTCCAAACCACTCGGCCACTCGCGTGTCGCCTGCGCCGAGGCCAACTGGCCATGATGAGTCACATACACACCCGTAGATGCGATTGGCGTCCCATTGCTAGGACAAGCGCATGAAACAAGAAATGACCATCGAGAATTCATGGCGTTGGAAAACACAACATATATTGTACCGAGTAGGTGGTTGGAGTGGACAGGGGGAGGGCCGAGGTACTGGCGGACCAGTCGCTGACACTCAAGCAGCGACCGTGCCCCGAGCAATTGTTAGGACAAGACGCTAACGTATCGTGCCAATGGATAAGTTCAATCACAGGTGCTTTGAATATTGTATAACACGTACTTCGTTGACACGCGTTGCCTTCGTATCCAGGAACGCAGAGGCAGGTTCCCGACGTGCGATTACACAGACCGCGCCCAGAGCATTCAAGCACCGTTTGATGCGCCAGGGATGCAGAACTCGGGATATCGGACCACGCCAGGTCGGACGGACATGTACCTGCCATCGCGACGCATCAGCAGCCGTTTGGTTTTATTGAACTTACGAACGGAGCAATCGGGGGCTTTGTACTCGGCCACGTCAGACGAGGCACCAAAGCCAGGGTGGCAAGTACACGTGCTGCTCATGAGGGTGCAGTCCCCATGGCCGCTGCAGTCGTTCAAGAAACGGCAGCCCACGCCACCAATGTTGGCACTTTCTTCGAGCACGTTGTTGAGGCTGTCGGTGGTTTGCACTTGATACGATCCAGAGGTGTGCAGCGGTGGCGTGGTGACCCCACTGAGGGTGAATTTTACGCCGTTTTGAATCGCCACGGACGAAGATGCGACCGTGACCTGCACGGTTAACCCAGAGATCGTCGCTGTGCTCATGCTGTTGATGCCGTTGTTGAACATGACAGTGCCCGCAGGACTTAGCGTAAATCCCGTTGGAAATGTCACAACGATGTGCCCCCCGACGGGGATCACAGTCATCGTGTTGAACAACACATATGCTGACGTGACCGTGTTGGGCGTTGTGAGGGCGGTTCGGACTCGTGCAAACCGCAGATTCGACTTGATGATGGGCGTTGCAGGTACGGACATGGACTGAAACGTGTTGCCGTTGACGTCCAGTGTGGACACGACGAGGTTTTCCCACGCTGTCACACACGCTTCGTCGTAGAATTGGTTGCACGATGAGCCGGGGTTTGTAATGCCCTGCAGGGTGTACTTGTACGTCCCTGGCACCAGTGGAAACGTCGCCACGCCCAAATTGACCTACAAGTCCCTCAACTTGGTCACAACGTGTCGCAGTGTTGGTACCTACATCGTTGCCACTTGTCCACGACGAGTACGTGGTCGCGCCAAACCCAGTTGTGTCCAGCACCCCCACCGATTGGACCACATATCGAGCCGGAAAGGTCACTCGCATAATCGACCCCGCAGGCAACGTCACTGCACTTGTCACAGTGACTTGCCAAGGTCGATTCGCGCCGGCCGTGGAATTGCTAGAAACTGACGCAATGAGGGCATCGTTGGCTGTTATGACTTTGGCCGGGACTGTCGCAGATTCCAAGAGAAACCCAGTTGCGTTGTACGTGGACACGTCGAAAGGTGACGTCGCGCCAACACCTATTTAGGCACAGCATCATTCATACACACCACGATACACGGCGGTCCTGATGAGCTATCCCACCTGGGTTGAATACCCCGTTGAGTGTAAACGACACTGTGCCAGCCGCAACGGCCGTGGCGGCAATGGTAATCTTGGGCACGGTGCCAAGCATCGAGAGCGAACTTGCGGCGTCGAGGCCCACAGGCGAAGTGATGGCCGTGGGGGTGACCATAAACCCCGACGGGAACGTGACTCGAATGGAGCCGCCCACTGGAATTGCGACGGTGGTGGTCAATGCTACATCCACCAACGTCTGTGCTCCTGCCACCATGCTTTGGAGAGCCATGGTCGCAGTGGATGCCGCTACCGAATGTACCCAAAGCATCAAAAACATGAGCGTCCATGACCATCTCATTCTGTCAGCTGTGGAAATCTTTGGTGCCGCTTCACTCACTTGCATTTTTTACCGGACAAAAAATCCGAATAACGTTACCCAGGAAGATGGAATGCAAACTTGATTGATAGTTCAAATTCGTAACTTTCCAAGCAATAATGAATTGCAAACACTACAAATGGCGTAGCTAGAAGTTCCAGTTGTATGCAAAGATGTAGGCTACAATGGTGCATAGTAGTACTTGTCTGGTGACTGCAGTCATTTGAGTGGCCAGCAGCTTGAACAATTGTTCATACAAGGCACCCAGGTGGTGGAGTTATTTTTACACGAGACACAGCTGCCTAGGGGGCTTTCGAAGGCAGTGAGTCTTGGAGGGACGCGGTACCCCACGGGTTGCCGGCCGGGCGAGCGGCGACAGGGGCCGCCGCAGCAGCAGGGGTCGACTTTTGACCCCAAGGGTTGCCAGCTGGACGAGGAGGTTGAGGGGCCGTCGAGGTCGGCGTGGGCACGAGGGTATTGGAGCGGGTCTTTAAGCCTCGGAATTGGGCCTGAATTTTGGTGGCGGCCTAGGAAATGACGAATTCCGTCAGGATACATACATTCATCCATTCCAAACAAGCTAGCCCACCTGATCTTCCGTCAAGGGACAAGCGTCGGGGAAGGAAGAGCCGATCTTGGCGCGGTCACCCCGACCAATGCAAAAGCACTTGACGATAGCACGGTATGGCCCCAATTGCACTTCGTTGGCTTCGTCGCCGTTCAAAAAGCACAGTGTGTACAAGGCCACTTCAAACTCGGGACTGACGCCAATCAAACTACAAAAGATCACAACAGTCAAGACGCTGTTGGGCCAGCTGCAACATTGGATATACCTCGTGGACACGGGCTTGGTTTCGTTTTCCCACGCGAATTGGATGGTCACGAGCTGCTCGTACTCGTCGGGGTCGAGCGTCGACCGACCACGTTGTTTGGGCTTGATGTAGCCCAAGTAGTCCAATCGACCGGCCTTTTCTTCCAAGTACATTTGGATCCAGTTATGGAACCCAGACACTTTGCCTTCCTTGACTTCGCCGATAAACACGTGTTCGAACCCGGAACTGTCGTTGGCAACTTCTCGACGGTACAGTCCAAACCAGATGTCGTGCAGCTTGCGCTTGAATGCGCGGATGTCGCCGTGGAACTTGCCGTTCTTTTCCAACCACCTACGTATGTCGATTTGATAAGACAAGAAAGCAATCGATCAACGGGGAAGGCTAATAAGGCTACGTACGCATGGACGTATTTGATCACTTTAGTTTCGGCGATGGCGTCGATGAACAGTTCGTTTTCCTTGAGTTCCTCGCGGGACACGTTTTCGGCCACGCCAGTCTACCAAGAGGTTGGTGACCCGGTTTTAAGAAGGGATGCTACGTACACCACGTTCGTAGTTGTCGAGCAACGCCGTGAACAACTTGAACGTCTTCTTGTTGAATACTTCGGGATTCACATACGTGAAGAGGTTGTCAGGGGCGACGTCACCAGTCTGGTACGGGCTCTTTCCACGTTGCAAGTTGATTTGGTAGTGCTCGTTCGGGTTTAGTCGGTTCTCATCGAGAGCCCAGAGGCGGTTGCAAGCATCCGACAAGCTCTTGAGTTCGGCGCCTACGTCGTATCGTGTCAAGTCACGCTGGTGGCTACACAAGGCCGATGCTTACTGGTGGGGATTGCTGAGGTCATGGATGGAAGGGCACAAAATGCAAAGTGAACTCATTGCCTTGCCCCTTTGACACTCTCCCGACGCCACATCTGGCCAATCGCCAGCGACTTTGCTTTTTGCATGTATCACGTACGTACAAAGCGTACGTATTACGTCAAGCATAGTAAAAGCTAAATAATTATTGTACGTACCTCTTGGAAACCAATGGAACGCGTACATTGAAGTACAGTTTGGGGAAAATACGTGCAATTTGTCCAAGGGTGAGATACTTCCTATTAATTCGAGATTCATGTCGTTTGATTGGCTAAAATGATTTGGTTTCAAACGTCCATTTGACAAGAATGTGTTCACGGACGACATCCACAAGCCAACGTGGTGTGTTCGACGATTGACGCTTTGACTAACGTTAACTGTAAACCAACTCTTGACTAGGACTGGATGCGGCATGCATATTGAGAGCGCTTTGCGAGGTACGAGTGCTGGTAGTTCAATGAAACTGACTGTCGCATAGGTGTGCCAGAAAGAAGTCTGGTGTCCTGAATATATGACCGGCGAACACAAGAGCAGCTACATGCAACCGCTCTTGATGGTGGTGGTGCTTGTCGCAGTATATTACTTTTTCGCAGTCGTTCAAATACGCGGGACCTTGGCCGAGATTAAAAGGGACGATTCAATCAGTGTCCAAAGCGTTCATTTTTGCCTTCTGGTATAAAGAAAGGCATTATTATACAGTATACGTGTAACGTTACCGGTATCGGTACAGCCGTTTCTCGGGTAAACACGCACATACGTTTGCAAACTCACACTGCCGCCCGAGGAATGAAGTCGTGCACGAAGCACATATAAGCTTAAAGCACTGGCGGGGGTAAAGGGGTAACTGCATAATATATGCACACAGTGCTTTGCATCCAGGTCAAATGTTGTGTAGACGTCCGTGGACACTGTATTCGTTTTATGGAGACTTACGACCAGTTACGCGTAACGTTAAGGTAGTTTGTTTCTATTCATACGCAACTTCCTCCAAGCAAGAAGTCACCCTGGGTGACTTTGTGAAATATATTGTAACAATAATAATTTAGATAAATTATCGCAAATCATGTATTTTTGAATTGCGTACGGATAAGACTATCTATTTTCGAATGAAAGTACAGTATCAAAAATAATCCACCGTAAAATCATTATTGCCATTCCAGCACGATGGCGTATAAGACAAATGCATTAATCGATTACTACTACACCGCGCAGTCAACTTTGAGATGATAGCGATATTTAGATTTGATTTAATACAACTATTGGCATAAAAATATTTTTTGCACTGCCTTATCAGGCCCCATGCTAATATTGCACTCTCACACTCGAAGTGCTACTTGCAACAGTCACCCAGCATTTCACCGGGTTATCCATTGTACCACGTAATTCGAAGTACTATTAATACATGTTGTAGGTTTAATCGCGGAGGTATCCTCGAACTGGTTAGTACTTTGACAAACAACGGTACCAGTCATTGCAATTAGTCCGGAGTTCCGTCCCGGCTATTCCGTGGAGATTCACAGAGAAGATATATCGGTGTTTGGACGAGGAACACAATAACCTATTGTTGACAATTGCAGATATCGATATACTAGTAACATTATTTACAATCAAATGTCAAATTTCGACTGTAACAATATAGCGTGGTCACCCATACAAAGATATCCCCGAATATGCCATATTCTCTCGAGTGACCTGCTTAGAGTAACGTTACGGTATACTAATAGGAATTTGGAGATGCTCAAATCCACAAATCGAATCGTTAAATGCAGGTTGACTGTGAGACGATATGGCGGCGCGGCGGGGGCTAGAAATTGCAGAATCAGAAGTGAATCTGTATTGACCAATCATACTGCTTATTCGGATACATAACCGGATGTCGGAACGTTGGCGGAATCCACACTCACGTCGGAATTTTTATGGTATGGTGTGGGGGTTGGGGGTTCCGAAACCGATCCCACATGTAACTGCCATGCGACGTTTCAAAAGTTCGATGGTGACAAACAACGGGCACTTGTTTGCGTGCGCAACCGAAAAATGACTCAAGTCAACGTGAGCAGCTTCGACATTTGGGCTGTGGGCATCTGTGTCGTGATCGGCGGGCAGTACTTTTCGTGGAACTTGGGGCTTGCCGCTGGGACGCTCAGCTATGGCATCGCCGTGGGGCTCATGGGTTCGGCGTACCTGTGCCTGTCCTTGTCCATGGCCGAGGTCACAAGCATGGTGCCATTTGCAGGCGGCGCGTACGGCTTGGGGCGGTGCACACTGGGATACTATGTGGGATTTATCCTCGGATGTTGCGAATTTCTCGAGTACATCGTTTTTACGTGTCCGTGTCGGTGGTAACATTGGGTGACATGCTGACCGCGCAATGGACGGGACTACACGACGCGGTGTGGGTGGTGTGGTTTTTGAGTTATGTCGTTGGGTGCGCTGCGTTCATGCACAGCAAAGTGTTTTGGATGTGGACGCGTCTGTTGGCGGTGGTGTCGATTGGCCTCTTGCTTCTCTACTGCGTTGGCTCCATGCCGTACCTAGATGTCACCCTGATCACCCAGTCAGAATTCGCCATAATCGGTGGCGGGTATGGGTTCATGCAAGCGTCGCCCCAGGCCGCGTGGCTTTTTGTTGGAATTGAGTCCCTCAACACGTTGAGCGGAGGCGTAGCCCATCCCAAGGCTACAATTCCCAAAGGGCAAGTTGCATGCATGCTGACGTTGCTTATCACGGCCACGTGGGTGTTTGTCGTGAGCATCGCTCTACCTCCTGGAATGCCATCCGTGTCAACTGTGTTAGTTCCACTCAACTATGGCTACACTAAAATGTTTGGCATCTCAGATGACGCCACCACCATGCTGGCCGTACCAGCCACCTTTGCCACCGCACAAGGCTTTATGCTCTCGTATGCCAATATTCTGGACGCCATGGCCAACTCAAAGCTACTGCCTCCTTTCCTAGCCCATCGACATCCGGTACATGCCACCCCCGTCAACGCGTTGCTCGTTGGATCTGCGCTGAGTTTTGGGCTTTGTTTTGTCATTCAAACCTGTTCGTTGGGCGTGATCATGTTCAACGTGTGCATGCTGTTTGGGTTCATGGCGTACATGGCTCAATGCGTGGGCTACATATTTCTCAAGCGGCGACACAAAAGCATGGAGCGGCTGTTCCATAGTCCCGCGGGCATCGGCGGGGCCGTGTTTGCCATGTGTGTGTGGTCGCTGAACATTGTGTCGATCGTGGGGTTCCAACAGGACGACCAAGTTGGCGTTGGAATTGCCTTTGGCGTGGTGGCGCTATGCTCTGTTTACTATCAAGGATATGCAAAATACCACCAATCGTATTCCGACGAAGAGCAAAAGCTCATGTTTTTCGCCCATGTTGGTACGACAGCGATAAGGCCTTCGTGTTGGAGAACGACTCTGATCGCCGAACTTCACATTTTAGCTGAATATTGTTTTGTGTGTTGGTAGCCAAGCACAATCAGTCCAAGCGGTTCAGAATCATGCACATGAATCGATCCAAGCGGTACTCGACTACGAGTGGGTACTCGGGCACCAGCAGGACCATTGCTGTCAAGCAACAACGAAGAACCAGTGGTGGAGCTTCCACGGCAATTGAAGCTGAATCTTCCAAAGCACTTGAGGCTACGGGAAGTGACCAAAAGTAGAGATCTTTGACGCCGCAAGAGTGGCTGCATGCTTGTGTTGATGGAGAAGCAAATGTTTATGGATGACATTTGTAAACTCCTTCTGAACGTCTCTTACGTCGGAAATGTTGGCTCTTTCCTGCTTGATTATCGCGACGTTGCAGCAGAGGTCCAGTTTAGCAGTGCTGACAGTTGAGGCAACGGAAGATGGCTGTCGCTGATGCACTACGTAACGTTAGTTAGAAATACGTGTTTTTGTCAACGGTGATAACGTTAAGATTGTCACATTTTGCAGGAATACAGTTTTCTTGCACCTTTTCGTGAAACGTGTCCAATTATATATAGACTCCCTCGTCAAACGGTGAAGAAAGTAACGTCAGCTAAATCACGACCAGTCCCCAAAGTCATCTTGAAACACCCCAACGATCCACTCTACAAAGACCCGCTACCGAAACAGCATATGTGCCCAACCAGCGTTGACATTTGGGCGGTGGGCATTGCCGTTGTCATTGGAGGTCAATACTTCTCGTGGAACGAAGGGCTTGCTGCAGGGAGCGTCAGTTACGGCATTGCCGTGGGTGCCATGGGAATGGCGTACTTGTGTTTGACGCTGTCGATGGCCGAAATGACCAGCATGATGCCGTTCGCGGGGGGTGCGTACGGCCTCGGCCGATGCACGTTGGGGTTCTTCACTGGCTTTTTGCTTGGGTGTTGCGAAACCCTCGAGTACATCCTGTACGTCACGTGCTCGTGCCTGACCTTGAGCCGAATGCTGGCCACGAAATGGCCCGAGCTCGACAAGTGCAAGTACCTTGTGTGGGCGATGTCGTATGTGGTGGCGTGCTTGGCGTTGGCTCGCGGCGGCCGTACGTATTGGATGTGGAATCGAGCCATGGCTGCCATATCCTTGGGCATCGTCGTGATTTTTTGCTTGGGTTCGCTTCCGTTTGTGGACACCACTCTGCCTTTCCAGTCGGATTACTTCGTTGTGGGCGATTTAACGGACTTTATAGAAGCGTTTCCAAAGGCTGCTTGGTTCTTCATTGGCATCGAATCGCTCAACACATTGAGCAATGCCGTGCCAAACCCCAAGTCCACCATTCCCCGGGGCCAGCTGGCTAGCATGGTGACACTGCTCATCACAGCGACGTGGACGTACGTTGTGTGCATGTTGTTGCCTCCAGGATTGCCCACACTGAGTGCCGAGCTGTCCCCGTTGAACCGTGGCTTTACGCGCATGTTCAACATTTCCAACGCAACTGCGACGTTGTTGGCGGTGCCTGCCACGTTTGCCACGGCTCAAGGCTTCATGTTGTCGTACTCGAATATCCTCATGGCAATGGCCAACTCGAAATTACTTCCGGCTTTCCTCGCCACTCGCCACACGTCGTTTGGAACGCCTGTGAACGCGTTGGTGTCCGGCACGATGGTCAGTTTCGCGCTGTGCTTCGTTGTGGATGCGTGGTCGTTGGACCAATATGTGTTTAATGCGTGCATGCTGTTTGCATTTACGTCGTACACGGCGCAATGCCTGGGGTACATTTTCCTCAAGACCCATCACAAGACAACCAAGAGATTGTTTACGAGTCCGCTGGGCATTGGTGGGGCTGTGTTTGCCATGTGTGTGTGGGTGCTGAACACGATCGGGATTGTGGCGTTTCAAGGTGATCACCAGATGAGCCTCATTTTTGTGGTACTGCTGGTGGGAGTGTGCTCTGGGTACTATCACGGCTACGCCAAGCATCACCAATCGTTCTCGGAAGAAGAGCAAAAGATCATGCTGTTTGCCCATATTGCAATCCACAATTCGGCCAAGGCCAAACAGGCAAAGAGATCCAAGGGAAGTTTAAGTTCCAGGGGCAGTACGAGAAAAATGAGCAAGAGATACCTCCAAGTAGGGGTGCGTCCGTCAAGTTCTGTGGCCGTGACTAACACTACTGCAATTGAATCATAATCGTTTTATCCCCGAATCCTAAGGTTGTTCTTTCTTGCCTATTAGCATGAAAACGAATGCTGAACGACATGTTTGATTGAACAACGTGTTCGACACTTGCATCAATATTCATTACATTCCCATGATATTGGTTGGTGTACAGTGCAAAACCATCGTGTGTTTGGAGACTACAACAGGACGTCAAGAAGGTTGTAATATTCAATTCCAACAGTACAGTAATCCACCAAAGAGGCCAGCCGCCATGAGTTTTGAAGCCAGAAAGGGATCGTCAGTACACTCGACCCCAGTTGCGTGCTCCAATATATGTACTTTGAACAACGGGAGCTTCTCCACTCAATTAGCTAAGCAGCTCTGTACTTGGCAACCTCGTGGCGCGGGTGTCGAAGGACGCAACGCTGACCATGATCAGAACAAAGCCAGAGCACTTTACGCAGGTGGCAAGCCAGCATCGAAAACTCTGTCCAAGGCGATAGCGATGCATTGCCTAGAAATAATGTTGGTGGTTTTACAGTACATGATGTATGGTACACATTGGAGTGGAATTAAAAAGCGTACCCATGGGTGTTCATGACGCAAGGAAGGTGTTGGAACATAGTGTAGTGTAGTCTACAGCATACTGTAAAGCAGTGTCGGCAACCAACTGTCACAGGTAACCACCTGATACGGATTCGGCTGCCCTAATCAAAGAGTGAGATCATCAGGGGGTACAAGTACGTGCCTGACTTCAACACTACGTTGTACCATTGGCCGGAAAACGGGAGCACGAGCAGCTTTCGATACCACAACATGGTGTTGGTCCGAATCAGCGCACCTTCGTATCGACCACCTTCCGTCGCGTCGGTGTTTCTTCGATGGTCGGCGTCGCACGTTTACATGCGATCGACGATGTCAAAGATGGTCACATCGACTTCACGAGACCCCCCGTGCGGTGGACCGCGTTGACCACCGACTCGATCACGTCAATTGCTGATGGGGCTCTAGTGCTATCGACATGGCATTTTCCTCAATATAGTGCTGCGATGGATCCAACATTGCATCAGCATACGTCGTTTCAGTTCCAATAATTGTGATATCGTTCGAGTAGATTTTGACAGAATGGTGCAATGTGATCGTCGACTGTAGGTTCGACCTGTTTATAATAGTGATGAACGAAAAGTTGTGGCGGAATGTATTGGGCACAACAGCGTCATGTCCAACGTTCCAGCGACATACAATAGTATTGCAATGGGGTCACTTTGACATCCCAGCCGAGTATGCAAGGCAAATTATGCCGCCCCTAGGCAAATTGACACCGGAGTAAGGGCATGTTGGAGTCAACCTCACATATGGCGCCGGTCGTCTGCACAGTGACCATCATGTCGTCCAGCATTTGAAACACGGCACCCACGTCCAACGTGGAACCTGGCTTTCCAATCATCCTTGCCTACGCTACATTTGTGAGCCGTCTAGAGCTACTGTATATGCATCTTGGACCAACCATTCTTGGGAATTTCAAAACTGCTGCATGATGGCCCGCATCCTAATCGACGTGCTGTCGTACTGTACGCCCCATAGTGGCACCGTGTTGATTTTGTTGTCAATTCCTTGGAAGCTCTGTACAGGCAGCTTCGCGAGCCAGAACAGATCAAATTGGGCTTGCTACCCGTAGTATCATTGCGGTAACTAAACTGCCCAAAGACAAAATATTCACCCGTCCTGACTTGTGCGAATGGAATCGACCTAAACCCATACCCCCAGTTCGAGGAATCTCTGTAAATAATAGGGCGTACGAACATAGCGTCATCAGCACCGTTTTATACGGCAGCGGCACGTCCGTGACAACATTGCCAGCGGGAACGTTCTATCACACGGCGTGTCATGACACTGCCATGGCCAGCAGTGGTGTCATGATGACACCACTCCTGAAACTGGGCTTATCAAAATAAGCCAACGCAAAAACGCTTGGATAACGGCGTTAGTTGCACATTAGTCTAGACATTCTTGGCGCTCTGTTCATCGTATAACGTTACTTGGAGTTAATTCCATACCTGTATGTTAATTTAACTGCTAGTTGGGTAGCTCAGTGAGGACACTGGACTCCGTGCGTGTCCCACCTTAGGCAGTTACAAGTTGCAGTCACAGCTTGCCGTTACAGGTTGCGGGGACAAGTGGAATATGTGACTTGTGGAATATAATTACTACATTAACGACGCAGGGATAGTGCCTTTTTAAAGTGAATATTGTACTGTTGATGAGTCGACAAAAAGGGGTGCAACAGCGAGGTTTGGCACCAAAATGCCAAAACACGCGTATCACATTTGAAGTTCTCAATAATATCTATATCGTGCGTATTTCGGCACAACCACTCACATAGGAGCAGGTTTTGGCAGCTGCTGCTTTTGACCGTTTCAGCCGACATAATTGGCTGCAATGCTGCGACTGTCGATGCAAGCGGTGCTCCGCACGAGCCAGTCAAAGCTACATGCGACGCCCTTCCTACATCCACATCCTTCGCTGAATGCGTCGCCACTGCTTCTGCGTGCCGTGTCCACCGTCGTACCAGTGCACACCACACCCCGGAAAAAGAAGCGAAAGGGAAACTCGCCACAGCATGCTTCCAAGCCGTCGTCACATCCCCACCCCAACCAGAAAACATCGCTGGTGAACAAATCCAACGCGTCCGTTCTGGGTTCGACCAATGCCACCCAGGAGAAGGCCCAGGAACCATCCACCGTAGTAGAACCTGCTGCAGCAACCACACCGTCCGACAAGGACGTGCCTCAACCTGCAACTTCAGGGACACCGAAACGAGGTGACCATCACGCGTCGTCCTCCACGGATCTGGTTGTGAGTGCTACACAACCGTCAACGAAAGGCCACGCGCAAAAGAAAGCCGCGATCGCCACGAAACCACCAACGTCGCCTCTGGTCGAAGAGGCCCAAGTGGTCATCGGCCTCCTGGAAGAAATTGCCCAGCGCCAACGCGCGCTGCCATCCGCCGCGCATGTGACGACAATGCTCAACTACACGTCGCGCGACCAGGAAGACACGTTTTTCAAGCTGTTCGAGTTGTACCGCAAGCACGGCAACTCCAACGTGGACTCGACATTTCTCATTCCAGGAGTCGTCAAGTGCTGCGAAGTGGGCAATTCCAAGCAAGCTGTGGCCATTGCGACGGACATGGTGAACAACGGTATGCTCTTCGTTGTTTTTGGGGTGCCACGTACAGTAGTATATCTATCGATGGATACACATGCATGACAAGATATTGACCTTTTACCCAAAATATGGACTTTTGATTCACCAATTCTATCCATTGTATGTAAAAAGTTGTCCTGTGGCGATTGATATCACACTAATTGAAGTCACGCACTAATTTGACGTTGATATGGTTTCCTGCAACCTGATTGGCTAAATATATCCTTTTGTCGATGATTCTTGTGTACATCTATTTATTCGTTGTGTTGTACATTCATTCTCCATGTCACTCCAGTTTAGAATAAACACATAACAATATGTGTTGCCATCCTTGATACGTATTGACCTTTTACCCAAAATATGACCTTTTGATTCGCCAAATCTATCGATCGATTATTCTTTGTCCTGACGTTTGTATGTAAAGAATTGTCCTGTGGCGATGCCAATGATACTAATGACAGGCATTCATACACTATTTAAGTTGTTGCGGTCATGACTTCCGCTGCCGACACTTCTGTACATGTACTTTTGGTTGCATTGATGCATTCACCATGAATGTCGCTCCAGTTTAGAATAAACTCAACCATATGTGGATTTGGAATGAGTAGGCCGAAAGGTGGACCGCCACACATTGCATTTGATCCTACGGGTCGCGGAAACCAACAGTGCTGCTCGAGATGCGTTGAAAGTGCTCGACTTGCTCCTGCAGGAAGGCCACTTGGTCACGACACAAGACTACCAGCGCATTCTGGCCATCTGCACAGCCGACCACCACGAAGACGGTGCGCTCCGCATTTTGCAAGCGCTGCGGCCGCTGACTACAATTGCGTCCGACACGTATCTTCATTGGCTGTCGCGGTCGGCCATGGTGTGGCGCGCCGACATCTTCTTGGCGCTGCTCCAAGAAATGCGGTTGTCTGGTACACTTTGCCCTTCATGTAGTCCCCGGCTAACGTTTGTGTTTGACGATAGGTGTGGAGCCGCGGATTCCATCGCTCACGTCACTGGAAGTCGGTCGCAAGGATCCGGCGCTGACTGTCATGGAAGGGGTCCGGGCGGTGGGTCTGGACCCGTGCTTTGCCATGTCGGCCGTGTACGAATCCATTGCCAAGGCGATCGGGAAGGGAGACCGTCGAGACGGCGGGGTCACACGTCGACAGCGTGAAACCGCGTTGGAAAAGTGTGCATCTCATCTGTGTCTACAACTTGGAAATGTTTATATGTTGTGTTTGCGGTAGATTTGGCACGTTAAAAGTACGCAAGTTGGAATGGGAAGTGCAACCGATTCCCCAGCTATTGGAAACCCAAGCGGCGGGGTTGTTGCTCAAGAAGGAAACATTTCGCCGTCTCAAGTACCAGCAAGTGACCCGCGTGGAATCGTATTTGAACATGCTCCCCATCACGACCAACGTGACGCTCAATCTGCGCAAGCAGTTGCTCCGCATGTCGTTGCTAGTCAACACACACCGCGTCAAGCGCAACAAGTACATGATTCTCGGCGAATACGAGCGCGGCAAGTCGCTCATTGACTTGAGCAACATCCACAACTACCCGCCCGTGTCGCTCATGCGCATCATCCTCGAAGCGCGGGGCATGAGTCCCCGGGCTATCAAGGTACTCACTCCTCTCTCCCCCCATATCTGGGCAATATTTTCAGAGAGTCTGAACCTCACATTTGGATGATGCAGAATGCGTTGGCGGCCCCGGGGGACCTCACCCCCCGCGACAACAACGAGCTGAACCGCGCCAAGTTGAACGACTCGATCCACCGAAATGACCCCTTGCTGGACTTGCCAGACTATACGTCGTCGTCGCTCGAAACAACACTCATGCACTATTTTATCTCCAAGGGCATTCGCGTCAGGTAGAATATGCTGGCCATATTCCTTGAGCCTATTGATGCGTGTTTGATATAGTACGCAAGCGGAATTGGCATTGGACCAGGAAAAGATCTACGGTCGCGCCGTGATTTCCCCCGACTTGCTCTTGCTGGACCCCGTGTTGATCAATGGCGTACCCGTGCGTTGGATCGATGCCAAGAATTATTATGGCGCGCACATTGTCAACAAGCGGCTGATCGCCAAGCAGGTACAAACGTTAGTGTTGACTGTTTCGTTGTATTGAAAACGTACGTTAGCTGGCCTCGTACGTGAAAGAATGGGGCCCCGGCGCGGTCGTGTATGGCATGGGATACAGTGACATGATTTCGATCCCTGGGGTGGTCTGCTTGGATATGACCCCCATCCCAAAGACGTCGTGGGGCAAGTTCAAAATGGTGACCAAGTCGTACATGTACACGTTCCGCAATCTATTCCGATGGGCGCCGCACCTGGGCAGCGAATTGACCCAGGAGTATCTCACATCGAACGACTTAACCGAAGTGAATCGGGAGCGTGGAGCCCAAGAACGGTTGGAGCGATCGGCAGCGAAATCCGCCAAGAACCCCGTCGCCGCGGAAAAGAAAGAAGTAGAATAAACGCAACATGATGGATATATACATGTATTTGTGTTGTAAACAGAACCACGCAACTTGGTTTTTGCCAGCTAGACTAGGCGTGTCGTCAAGACTAATTGTAGGCGAGGATACTAAAAATAGTATTTCGGCATCGCAAAGCACCTCCAGACTCGATCCTTCGTGCGCCTTCCAACCCGGTCTTGTCCATGGAGCTGTATCCGACGGCAGACAACGCGACGGACGTTAGAATACCCCATGCAGGCGATGACGTTGCGTTCACGGAACCATATCACATACAGAACAACAGTCCCCGGCCGTCGCTGACCACTTTGACGCACACGCAAAACATACCTATGACATCCAGCTGGTGGCCGGTGATGAGTCAATGGTTGCCCTCGCTCGTCGTAACACCCAGCGTGATTGTCTGCGCTCACTTTCGTGGCCCCAACGGCGCCATGACCTTGGGCGCAGTAGCCGTCGCCCTTTGTAGCTACGAGTATGCCTGGCTAACTTACAAGATTCGGCATCACGTGCTTTTGCTTTACGAGAGATATATGATCGACCAAGAGGCCAAGAACAACAACTCATTATATGTTGTCCAACATGGACGGTACCAGAATCCGTTGGACGACACCGTGTGCGCCGTCCACATGAGTATGCGACGACGTTGGTGGAGCAGGTGTGCCATTGCCGGATTCGTGGCTGTGGTTGCCGCTGGTTCGATGACTGGAATTCTCAACAAAGTCCAAGCGAGGCTGCAGCTCAACAATCCGGAACTTCTTACGTTCACCGCCATCGCGTACGCCGTCGTAGGGTGCTCAGCTGCTCTCGCTCCTACGTGGACCTACGGCGTGGTGCTGTTGCTTCAAGTGTCTGGTTTTGCGGTGCTGACGTTTGATGGCTTTTTTTGCGCGCAAGAATCTCCGACTTGCTTCCTTATCATCGATCCAACCTTTGCCGTCACGGTTTTACTTGTTCCCATCAATCCTCCGAGTGGTCGAGTTGTCCCATGGCGTCGTTGAAGTCGGTGTGACCCTCGTCTTGGACTTGGTGGGAGTTGTGTGCATCCCCTTGTTGTGGTGTATGTTCGTTGAAATGGTCACTGGTTATGCCCGCTTCGACGAATACATCACCGCTCGATTCTTGATGATATTTTGGGGCTGCGAACTCGGAGCGAAGCTCGCCACACTGCTGATGCCACGACTTCGCCATGTCCGACGATTGTCGTCATCGACACCGTCGATTTTCCCCCATCTAAATCCTATTGACCTTGTTGGGGGCTCCGCAGGGGCAGTGTGGCGGTGTGGGGGGCGACTCGGATCTTCGCGTCGACCATTCCCCTTTGGCAGTACATTTTGTTTGCTGTGGTGGCCACCTTGATGTCAAGGTTTGAGTTAATTGACGACATGATATGACACCAGTATTCGTTGTAGGTATGGTCGGATGTTTGTTGGCATGCTGAAGCACCGGACGATTGATCCCTGGCATTGGTAAGTGTCGATCCGTGGTGAAAATGACTCATGCTGTCGGAGGCATGTTGGATTCGCTCGACAGGTTGCTGTTCATGGCGGCAACGTTCGCAATTTTCCATCGCGTGGTTGCACCTGAAGTCTATGCGTACGACGCGAAGCACAGTTTGGCGAGTCAAGTTGAAATGTTGGCTAAACTACAGTAGACCAACAATGGGTCTTGCAACCCTCAAACAGATCATACAGTTAATCCATATTCGTTCGTGAAGTGGGGGGGGTTGTTGGCATGGATACAGACTACGTCGCGCTGTACAGTGATAATTATCGACGTAAAACTACTTTGTAGTTAGCTAGTTAGCTACCCATGGCGCTAACTTTTATGGAAATTATTAATGAGTATTTTAATACTACGTAGTACTGCTGTTGTACTAATTAATTCCCATAAAAGTTGGCGCCATGTATATTTGTACTGTAAAATACTACAAACAGTACAAATATACATGATTGCTTTTCATGAATTAAGCGGCCGGACGCGCTCAATTATGGCCTAGAATGTCGTAGAAATGACTCAAGGTGTTGTCAAAGTCAGTCAACACGACCTGAGTCTGAGCAGCACTCAATTTTTTCGGGTCGAAGCTACCGTGGACTTGAAGGGGGCCGTGTAGGTCCGTCCTCCAAATGCCAGAACACGACGCAGCGAATGTCACCACTGCCGAAGATGACAAGGCCACCGCCGCGTGTGGTCCAGACAAAACCGTCGTGTGTATATTAACGGCTCGTTTACCTGGGGCGAAGGTGGGGATGAGACCCTGCTTTTCCAAAATCTCCAGTGGACAGTGAAACACGGCGACCTCGTGGTTGTCCATGGCGCTGTCGGCGCTGGCAAGTCTTCGCTTTGCTCTGTTTTGCTGGGGGAGATAATTAAACGAAGCGGGTCTGTCTTGTGGGCGGGTCGGTGGCGTATGTGGCCCATCAACCGTGGATCCTCAACGCCTCCATTCGAGACAACATCCTATTCGGCAAACCATTCGATCTCGTCAAGGATCAGCTTGGCCCGCGCTTGCTACTCTGACGCAGACGTGTGCATTCTGGACGCCCCGCTCGCCGCTGTGGGCGCGCTGGTGTTCAACGAGATCTTCCCCAAGTGTATATTGGGCCTTCTCCACCACAAAACCGTGGTATTAATCACACACCATCCCGACCTCATCAAGTCAGGCCACGTCCACCACGCATATACCTCGTCGACGATGGCTTTTCGAAACATCCACACACCAACACCCAAAAGGCGACCGAAGTAATCACCTACCTCTAAACCTGTTACTTTCCCCGTTGTCAGTCCCCAATCGAGGGTTCTGGGAACGGGAGGGTAAGACGAGCGACGTCGACACCCCAGACGAGGAAACAAGCGACAGACACGACGATGTAGTGTTAGTTACACCGACGAACCGGTCCTCGTATGGGTTTTACAACAATGTCAAAGTGCTCACCCCAACACCTCTGGTCGAGGACGAAAGTCGCGCCGACGGACATATGCGTGTCTGGCGCCGTCGTGCGTGCGTACTTGGCTAGCTTGGGCGGTTATGGGGCGCTGGTGATTGTGCTATTGACGACACTCGTCACGGAAGTCGTCCGGCTCAGCTGTGAGATGTGGCTGTCGTATTGGGGCAACGAAGCGTCGTCGTCCAGAAATCTTGCACGGGACAGCCGGCGCGCCATCATGAACGACAACCTGAACATCTACTCCGCCTTGGTATTTGCGATGTGCGTCCTCACGGTCGGCCAAGTGGGTGTCGTGATGCTGTTGGGTCTCCGGGGATCCAAAAACATGTTTGAAGCCATGCTCGGCAGCCTTGTCCGCACCCCCACACGTTTCTTCGACACGAATCCCATGGGCCGCCTCTTGAATCGGTGTGGCGACGCCGTGTTCCAGTGTGACATTGAGATTCCGCTCGCGCTGTCGTCCATCTTGCTCCAAACGGCCAGCGCCCTCAGCAAGATCCTCACCAGCGTGTTTGTGATCCAATGGATGGGGCTCCTCTTGCCGCCACTGGTCTATGGCTACTACAAGCTCGGGGCGTACTAAGTGAACCGGATCAAGAAGATCACCTTGTTGCCGCTGATGTGTCTTGTCAGCGAAGCCATCGACGGCGCCGTGACCATCCGTGCGTTTGGCCGAGTCTATCGCCATCAACATGTAGTCGGCCACATGTTTTGTCATGGTGGCCGTGAACCAATGGTACAGTCTGCGGATTCAGTTTGTCAGCAACGCAATGGTCCACGCGATTTTACTGGGTTGTGTCGTCGGGTGTTCGAAAATGTCCCCAGGACTGCTGGCGCTAGTCATCACGTCGTATGGCCAATCTCGTCAGCATGTGAGTCAGCGTCGAAAGGTCCTTGATATTCACCAGAACGACTGCACGAGTATTCGAATCTAGACGAGGAAGGGTCCAAGGATGTGGTCGCGCTCGAGGCGCTGTGGCCGACGACGGGACACATTGCGTTTGACCGAGTAGGTTTCCAGTACAAGGTCGATGACCCGCTAGTCCTCCAAAACGTGAGTTTTACCATCAAAGGCGGGGAAAAGGTCGGGGTGGTCGGTCGAACTGGCGTCGGCAAGTCCAGGTTGACCATGGCGCTGTTCTGCATCAACGAACTGGCCAGTGGAACTATCAGCATCGACGGCATCGACACCGCGACCCTTCCCTTGCGGCAACTTCGGCGCGGACTAGCCATCATCCCCCAGAACCCCGTCCACTTCAAAGGCACTTTGCGCACAAACTTGGATCCGTTGGATGCCTACTCGGACAACCAACTGTGGGCTGCGCTTGGAAAAGTCAAGCTTCTCGACCGCCTCACTAAGTCCGAAGCAAAGTTAGAGCAGCCAGTGGATAAGAGAAAGGCGACAATTTCAGTGTCGGCGAGCGGCAGATGCTGTGCATGACGCGAGCGCTGCTTGGACAAGCCAAGATTGTGGTGCTGGAACGAGGCCACGGCAGCCGTGAACCCACGGACGAGATGCTTCAGAGGATCATTCGAAACGAGTTTGCAGGGGCGACCCCCTTGACCATCGCCCACCGATTGGGGACAATTCTGGACTACGACCGCATCCTAGTGTTTGATCATGGCACTCTCATGCAAAATGACACCCCGGACGTCTTCCTGGCAGACACTCGAGGCGAATTTTACGAATTGGCTGCCGAGGTTGGAGCGAACTAGTACAGTATTAACATTTGTAGTACTGTTTAACTAGACTATTAGTATGTACTATATGCATATGTCTTAGATAAACAGTACTACATATGTACTAGTATTAACATATGTAGTACTGTTTATCTAAGACATATGCATATAGAACATCGAGCACATGTTTTACTCATGTGCAATGTCGTTCAAGTAGGAGTTGGTGTCTAAATATTGTATTATTATACATCATACCAAGCCTTATGGACTACTGTATGACGACAGTTTATAAAAAGTCCTTGGTGAGTCGATACACGATCGAGTATTCTACGAGCCACTGGTGCTTCTTCATGCTTACCCGCGACCCCACGACAGGAATCGTGCGGAGGAACAGCGACATGCTGAAGACAATCTGCACGCACGTGAGGCAGTGCACCCACTTGTGGTACGACTTGTCCAGCCGTGCCGAGCACGACGTGAAAAAGCAGAGCATCATGCACATGCCAACGCCGACGCATTGGAGCAGACTTGTGGGCAGCACCATCCCGGCCCCCATCAGCGTCAGGGCCACGGACACCGTCGCGAGCCAATTCCACGCGCCCGCACTGGACATTGCCAAAACTCCCGACTCGGTGGCATGCACAAGGGCCCGCACCCACAGTTCAGTGTACAGCAACGTGAACGCAACTGGCTTCCAGATGGCCACGACTGTGAGCATGAAAAAGAAGTCGAGGACATGCGACTCCATCGTTTTGTAGCCCAAGAACCGACCCAGTTTGGTCTGGTAGATGGCCCTTGATTCCAATGGTAGGGGGGATACGTGGGTCTTGGCCGTGTACCCGTGCTTCTTTGCCCACACGTACGCGTCGTGCTTGCCGAGTTCGTACAGCCATTGGATGCGTTCGGGTTCAGGGGGATACATGGCCCACCACATGGGCACGTACTGCGACGGCTTAATGTCGGCTTGGGTGCAGTAAAAAGGGCTAATGGTGACCGTGGAGGCATCCAAGATCGGCTGGAAGTCGAACAATCCCCCGTCCATGACCCATTCGCCCTTGAAGCGGAACGGAAGGCCGCAGATTGGCACCGCGCAGCACGACGCGTGGATGGACGTAGTCAAGTCTTCGACGCTGTCGAAGACACTGGCGCGACGGGACGACCACTTGGAAATGGATGAGTACACGATCACACAACGCTTTGCTTGCTCCAACGCCCCTGGGCGTTCAAAGTTACCCCAGAGTCGCATCGCGTTGTCCAAGTACTCTTTCACACGGAAAGCATTCTTGATGGACGATCGAGCGGACGGGGCCATGTCGTGGACCACTCCATGAACCATTTCGTCAAAGTCGTTGTCCAGACACAACGACAACGCGGCAAGGGACCCGCCGGATGTGCCAAGCATGGTCGCTTCACGATGCAATTCCATCTCCTGCAGGGCTTTGCCTACCCCAAAGAGGTAGGTCTTGAGCCACCCAGAGCATGCAAACGAGTAGCTCTGTGGCAGTGGTGCTTTGGATAAAGCTGTGGAGGCCACGACGGACGCGGCGGCGAACGAGGCTGCAGAAGGTCTTGGTGATGCTGACATTTTTGCAGAATAGCAGTTTTGTCGAGAGGTATAGAGTGGTTACTGTACGCACACCGCTTGGTGGTAAGATGCCATTGATTGGGCGAGAATGTGTTCGATAGACTTTGATTGGTGCTTTGATTTATAAAGGCATTTGATTGGTCCATTCTATGACGTCACCAACTTGGATTTCGTGGCATTTTGGTGTTGGTGACCATGCACACTTTGACGATGGTTCGTTCGACCAATCAAATGCAACAACGCGCCGACTTTTGTAGAAGCATATCCAAACCATCTTGAAGTTCGAACTCAATGTGTGACGTAGAGCGCGTCACAATTTCTAGTACTAAAAAAGGTGGTACACAGTAAGACTAATAGTACATACCTCGAAGTAGTACTACAGTATCACTGTACTACAAATAGACAAAAACTACTACCTATTTTAATAGGTAGTAGTTTTTGTCTATTTGTTGAATGAATACACTTCAAATGTATCGACAACGTACATTATACTGATTTGATGTCTTTAAACTGAGGAGTTCGCTCTGGATAGTACTTACAGTTAAGACTTACGGGACAGCATTGAATATTAATACCAACCTTGGATACTATGGTTAATATAATATAATTGTTGAATTAATAGCGTGGATGACATGTGGATGACAATTGGATGACATTGGATGAAATTGTGGGATGAAACCTAAAGTAGTAGTGGTGACCAACCTTACGTTGGCCCCGAGCGCCCGGGAGGCCGTCTGCGCAAGCGCGGCCGTACGAGAGCGCGGATCTAAGCTTACTAGTACTATTAGTACAGAGTAGTACTACTATTAATACTTCGAAGTAATAGTACGTACGTACTACGTGTACCTCATCCGGCACTACAGTACCGGTAATACTCAGGAGTACTACGCGGTAGTACAGTACAGTACCACCTACTGGTATGTAGTACTTTGAGGTACTATAGTCCTAATTCGGGCTAAGTATAGTAGTAGCCTATGAAGAAGTGACAGGTTTGCCAAATCCCCACAAAAATGTTAAGGTCACCATTCCCACACCAGGCGTCTGTTAAGTTAAGGTGGTATGTACAGCTGAATACGCCCCACCAACCAGTAGCATGTTTCGCGGTGTGAATTGTACGCGCAACACGGGGGTTCGCTTGGTCGTAAACGTCTTGAGGAGGGCGCGACTGGGCGCGAGTCCAGCGGCAGTTTTCCGCTTGAACTGGTTGTGGTGCTGTGATTTCACCGTCACAGGCGGGGCTTTGTGTGTCGCCCCATCGAGGCGGTGCATGTCCCACAACCGAACCGTGTGGTCGGCGCCGCCGCTCGCGACGAGCGTGCTTTCTGCCGAAAACGCCAGCGAATGCACGGCATCTTGGTGGCCCACGAGGGTTTCGAGCTTCTTGCCCATGTGCAGGTCCCAGATATTCACCAACGTGTCGTCGCCTGAGTTTCAAACAATGAAAATCAAGTCGTGATAACGAGGCACATTCTCATAATATTATTATTATTTTGAATATAAATATACGTACCAGCACTAGCGAGGTACCGCCCATTCGGCGAGAACGCGACGGCCGACACGCCGCCATAGTGCCCTGCAAACACGCGGAGACAGTGGCCAGTTTGGACGTCCCACAGGCGCACAGTCTTGTCCGTCGAGCCCGTGGCAAGGTAGTTGTGGTTCGGATGAAACGTCACACACTTCAAATGTCCATCATCGCTTTGTTTTTCCCATGCGATGACATATTTTTGCATATGTTACCTCGACGTCGCTCAAGTGGCCGGCAAACACCCGCAGCGGCTGGACGCGGTCGGTACTCCATAGGCGCGCCGTGCGGTCCATCGACGCCGACGCAAAGTAGTACCCCAAGGGCGCCACGGCCACGTCCCACACGGGGTACGTGTGCGCGCGGAATACCACCATGGACGTGCGACTCGCCAGACTCCACAGCCGCACGGTCGAGTCGGCCGAGCTGGTCACGGCGAACCGGTTGTCTGGAGTAAATCCGCACCCGTACACTGGCCCAGCGTGGCCTCGTAGAATCGCCGACCTAGAACATCGCCGAGTATTGTCAAGTCGATTCGATATTCGAGTGGGGTGCTGCTCGTTCCATCGAATCAGCAGAACCAAATCGACAGACAAAATCGATATACGACCAATCAAAAACCACAACACGAGCATCAAGTAGCCAATCAATTTCACTCTTCAACCAATACCGAATTAGTGTATGACTGGAATTAGTATGATACCAGACGATCTTTACATACAAAAGTCAAAGAATCGATCGAGAATCATTTGGCGAATCAGCACACTCAAGTATGATCATACGTGTTGTCTTTGTGATGGCCAAACCCGCCCAACGGTGACCCGTCCTGGCTCCACACACGAAAGGACGCGTCGTCGAACGCCCCGCCCACGACGTCGCCCTGGGCACTGAAACAGACGTTGGTCAAGTGTTCCGACGCGTTCGCTACGGTAAAGCACAGCGCCGACGGCAGTTGCGAGCTGCTCAACGCGAGCTGGGCGTCGGCGTCTTGAAACGCCTAAGCATCAACATGGGGTGGAGCCACGACGAGCGACGACTCACCGCTTCTTGGACGTCCGCCGGCTGCCGCAGCACGAGTTTCTCCAACAGATTCGCGTTGAAGGACGAGCTGCGGTCTGGCGCAGGACCTGTGACGGCACCAGGGGCGGACAGAGTGGCGGCATTATTGGCGGCGTTGGCGACGGAGTCCTTGGCCTTGGTGTCGGCGGGACCACTGGACGAGGCGGTGGTCGTGGGCGGCGACGTCGTGTCTGTGGCCGCAGCAGACGAATCCACATCCCCATCCCCGTCTTCGGTCGCTGCAGCCACCGCGCGCTAACACACATTATGACCATCGCAAAGACTAGTAGTAGTAGTAGTAGTACTAGAGCTACGAGCATACCTTTCGAGGAGGCAGGACGCCCCAAAGGAGTGGCACTTGATGCAACGACGCCAGCGTCAGAGACTCGGAAACGTCGCCGCCAGCCGTCTGGACCATGTACGCCATGTCGTAGTCGCCACTAGTGACCTGCGCGGCAATGTGGTTGGCTTCCGGTGTATGCTGGACTTGTTGCGAGATTTCATCTAACGTTACCACCCAACACATCGTGAACTACATACTCGTGTCATGGTGCGTCTAGTACCTGAGGTTTGGAAGAGAAGCGACGTGGTCATGGCGGTGGACTCGTGCGGTGCCAGCGTGTCGCACTGCGCAATTGTGAGGGACGGATGGTTGGTCTGCACGGAGATAGTGACGCGGTCGTTCAAGATGCACAACAACAGAAACATCTGGTGATCGCTCAGAAAAGTGTGGAGGAGCTGGAACCCGAGGAGGCTCAGCTGCACGTGGAACTTGGAGTGCAGCACTTGCTTGGCGTATTCGTTTAGACCCAAGTGCTCCCTCGTCAGCACGGAACCTAATGATCGAATCTCGTGCTTGTGGAGACGTTGGTGGTCTTTGGCGTGGCGTGTGAAATACGCCTTGGCTGCGTCCGCGTGGCCTTTCGCGACCAGTTCAAGGTAGCAATGTACAAACAGTGGGAACGCCACAGCATGCAATTCCAGCTTGTACATGTCAAGCGAATTCCCAATCCATGCCAGCAATGTCGTGTACGCACGCTCGTACGCAGCAGGATCGCCTTTGTTCATGCCATGGAACAATACGTGGTTCGACGCACAAGCGTCAATGGACAGCCCCACGTGTCGTGCATAATCATGTAGTCCTGCTGGCGCCGCCACACCGCCGCCGCCATTCTGATAACCCCGCTGTGCCAGGTAAGACGCAACCAGGTCGTCCATGTTCAGGTTCATCGTTGGCTTTGTCGGCGCCGCTCGGTACACCACCTGCGTACGGGCCACAAAATTGAAAAGTGACGTTTAAAGTACGATTTGTAGTTCGAGTTCAAAAGTTAGCTTATCATTTGTATGGGGTGAGGACTTCGGACTTCAGAGGACATTTCATCTCACATCATGAGCCAAGCAAACACATCGGTTCGAAGCATCCTGCGGACCGCCGAGTCCAAAGCGGCGTCGCGAACAAGTTCTTCAGCAGTGCTCAATCCATCCAAGGATGAGTGTCACACTCCCGCGTCCATCTCCAAGTGGCGCCGTCGCGAGATTGTCGGACCCACGACACCCATTACAGGGGTCACGCTGTGCTCTCCGCGACGTGTGACCTTTTCACCGTACGTTCCCATCCCTCGCCCGAAGCCTTCCAAGCCGACAACGAAGCCTGAGCTAAATGGCTCGACAATCCTGGAAGATGACGAATCGAATGTGGCGGAAAAGGAAACCGTCAAACGACTACGCCGCCTGCGCATGCGCTACGCGTTGGCCAAGCGCGAGTCTCTCGCCACTCGTCTCCGCCGCCGTCTCGTCTCTCTCTGGACCGGGGTCTCGCCTTCACTCCTCACCCCAGGGACATCGATCCCCATTGCGACTACAGCTACGACAGGACCCGTGCTGGACTTGTGGGCCATCGATCAAGCATACATCGAACGCCAGAATCGGCTCATGGCAACACGCCTCCATGCGAGGCGCGCCCCCGCCCCAACTGCATCGGTACATTCGACGCCGATTTCACTGCAGTTCAAAGGTGCATTTGATGCCCTCGTTGCTCCTGCCGACGTGCCTGTGGATGATTCTGCTGCGATTGTCCTCGCCAACGAACTGCCGGGGGTGCGCCGACGACGACGCTAATATAGAAGTCTTTCAAGCGTCCTGTGCTATACTAGATTGAATTTATTATGCTAAAGCAAGAAGAATCCGTCATAACACTCCGTCATGTACTGTAGTAGTGCTTACTACCTTGACATTATCAACTCTCAACCATACAGCGCAATGTACACTGTACCGTACAGTAGCTGTAAAGTAGATTTGAGTGTTTCCCTCCCCCAACTAGGAATCACTTTGATGCAGGATACATGTGCATCTACCTAGTCCGCTTTGGGCTTGACTGGTTGGCCAAACACAAGCCGACGTAGAATCTGCAATGGCACGACCACGACCACGACCACATTCACAAGCACACTTGCGAAGAACACAGTCATGATGGCGAACAGCGCCATGACGCGGACCATAACGCTTCCCGGGCTCACGGCGTGGATGGGTTCGCACCCGGTGTTCTCGGCCGGTTCGCCAAACTTGGTCGACGGGAACACCGTCTGCAGCTTGACGCGGCCGCGCACGTCCTTGACCGACACGACAGCCGTGGGCGGCGATGTCGTCCAGTCAAATTGGACGTCGCCAAAGTTGAGGCCCCCAAAGTGCGCGCGCCGGTTGAGGCGGTAGTGCCACGGCAGCAGCGCGTTCGACACGGTGTACCAGAACGCCGACGCCAAGTGGAATGGACTGATGGTCCACTCCAAAGCTGAGTGCGTCAACCCCGACGACGTCACTTCTGTCAGCTTGAACGCGTTCGTGGCCCCGCACTGGACTTGGTTGATTTCCGCAAACTCGACGTTGCCACTATACATGAAAACATAGTTTGGGTCACACCCCACACAAAACCACGTATTCACAAAAGGAGTGCCAAAACGAGACCTACAATTCACAAAAGAAGGACATGTACTAACAAAGAGAGACCTACTATTGACAAAAGAAGGACATGTACTAACAAAAGGAGACCTACTATTCACAAAAGAAGGACCTGTATTCACAAAAGGAGACGACCCCGCCATTCCCAGAGTGCAAATCGTGGGTGGGGGAGGCTGCATACAGTATATGTACGTACCTCAAGAGCACGACGCCAGACGCGTTGGACACTTGCAGCAGGTCGACAAAGCGGCGATGGGCGACGGAAAACGCTGAATACGACTCGGTGCCGAACCACCGATCGTTGGGCAGCACTTGCAGCGCCGACCCGATGACGTGGAACGCTGCCGTGGACTCGTACAGTTGGGCGGCCAGCCACGTCCACTGGGCCTCGCCCAAGATGTCTCCATTTTGGCCGTTGAAATCCGTCACGTTCTTCTTTGCGTGCTTGGACACGTACGGGTCTTTGTGGTAGCTACGACGACAGCACACAATGAAAAATAGAATAGAAAAAAAAGAAAAAAAATAGAAAACAATAGTAAACAATAGTAAACAATAATAGAAAACAATAATTGAAAAATATAATAGAAAAATAGAAGAAAAAAATAGAAAAATTAGAAAAAAATAGAAAAAAAAGTATTCTAGAGACTGAGAGCTCGACATCGTGTTTACCGATTGTCGAGCAAGAGGAGCTTGACGGCTTGGTCGCCCGAGCCAAACGTGTACGACGTGTAAATGCCCTAGGAAGCATCCACCTGCATCAAACATGGACAAAGGCGATGCAAGACTCATATGTATACCGCTTGCGTCCGACGCGGCGAGTCCTCGAGCTCCCCGATGAAGTCCAAGAACAGTTCTTGGCTCAACTCGCGATGGTCGAATTCTTTGTTGCCGTCGTTGCTTCCTAAATTGTGAGATCGATCGTATCATGAGGGGTGCGCAGTCGACGAGGATACTGGAGCGAAACGTCAACAAGTACCGTAGTCGTGGTCGTCCCAGATGCCGACGACGGGGGTGGATTCCACAAAGCGCGCATAGTCCGAGTTGTTGCGCTGCTTTCTGCGTCCATGTATGAGGTACAACGTGGCAACACACACAGAGATCATATGACGTACTCGTATTTCTCTTGGAGTCCAACGGGCTCGGCGTCGCGGTCAATCCCCTGCGTTAACGACTTCCATTCGTACTTCGTGTCATCGCCGTAAATCTGCAGCGCATGTTAGCGGAAGGAAGGGGAGAGAAAAAGGGACGTGGATGAGAGTGTCGCCTACGTACGTTGTTGCCGAGCGACAAGAACAGTTCAGGGTTCGTTTTCTCAATGGCGCGCCAAATAGGCTGCGGCAGGTCTTGATGGATGTTGGACCCAAACGCGAACCGACGCAGGGTCTTGGACGTGTCCATCGCCTTACTCTGCGCAGAGCCTACGCATCCGACCGCCAACGCCGTTGTCGACAACACCACCTTCATACCAATGACAAAATGCTGGTTCGTGTCACACTTTCCACGTGCTTTTCATTGGTTCTCTGAAGTTCGTGAGCCAATTAAGTACGCTTCCATATCTCTAAATGACGTTTTGATCAAATTTTAAAAAGTGATACAAATGTTTGGCGAAATTAGTCCTCTTATTCGCCGAAATCTAAAAACTATCCAATAGTAACTACTACGTAGTAGGTAATTAGTTATTGAGCGTTTTTGGCGGCTATAGGAGTTTCCCTCCTTAAATTAATAAACTAGTAGTGTTTCAGTTATTAATAGTACTTGCATACCACTACTATTAATATTAATAGTATGCACTACAGCTGCATTCAAACCCTTGAATCACCAAATTTGAAATGGAAACGTTTGATTTGATTTTGCGAAATATTTGTGAAATTAAATGCAAGCAGAGCACATGGTGATATAAAGCGTGTCAGTACAACAAGTTGGATGACAGTGAAGAAAGTCCAGATTTTGCTTTCGCCAACCATGAATATCTCGTTTTTGGCCTTCCATACCTCCGTGTTACGAGTTCCCGCAACTCCCTGGCAAAGTGGCCGTTTTCGTAATACTAGTATGGTCGTATCTAGACCAGCCCATAGCAAAGTAACCATTCACATCTCAATCTGGAACTGCTTATTTCGTAGTTACCGAAATCACAGAATAAGTTCTTATACTACTAAAGTAGCACTATTAATAATAGTATTGAGATTTGATATTGGGTTCTGGACCTCTTGACCTGAGTAGCACTATTAATAATAGTATTGAGATTTGATATTGGGTTCTGGACCTCTTGACCGAAACTCTATTATAATTCGCAACATAATATAATTCGCAACATGATATATAAATCGTTCTGCACGATTGTGTTGCCAATACTGATTAAGTACTATAGAGTAAGTAGTAGTACGGCATTCTCTCATCCCAAGTCCTTTCAAATGTGTGTCAGTCGCGTTTGAATTTCGGCGCTCGAACAAATCCAACCAGCCGCCACAGCAGCTGAAGCGGCACCACAACGACCACAACCGCATTCACGAGAATGCTGGCGACGAAAGCGACGAGCACGACCGAGACGGCCACTTGCAGCAGGAAAAAGGACGCCGGGGACACGTGATGGATAGGGCCGCATGCCGCGGGCGCGTCCCCAGTGTACCGCTCGGCCGGCACCACTTGGCGGAGCTTCACGAGTCCATCCTTGCCGTAGACGGACGCCGTGGCCGTGGGTGGGGACGCAGTCCAGTCCAGCACCACGTCGCCAAAGTTGAACGACGCGTAGTATTCCCGGGGACGGGCGCGGAAGTGCCACGGCAGGATCATGTTGGCCAAGGTAAACCCAGGCCCGACGATGCGATTCATGAGTTTCTACGGCAGAATTTCAAGCTCATGTTTAAAGACAAAAGGATATATATACCCAGGCATGGGTCATCCCCGAGCTTGAGATTTCCGTCACGTGGAACGAGTCGCCGCAACGCACTTGGTTGATTTCAGCAAAGTGCACGTCCCCACTGCAAACATTCCAGTGGTTACACGAATCGGCAGAAGGATTTAGCCAATCAGATCGCAGGAAACCATCGACAAAGTCAAATTAGTGTATGACTTCAATTAGTGCGATACCAAACCTTTGGACATGCAAAATGTGAGTACAAAGAAGCATCGATCGATAGTAGATTTGGCGAGAATCATTAGCACAAAAGTTAACCACATTCTGGGTAAATATATATACGGGGACACAAATATGTACCTCAAGAGCACAACCCCCGATGCGCGGGAGGTCTGGACGAGCGACAGCAGGCGCCGCCGCGCCCTTGGAAACTTGGACCAGGACTCTCCGATCTGGTACCATCTATCATCCGGCAGCACTTGAATGCCTGAAGCAATCACGTTGAACGTCGCATTGGACGTTGCTAATTCATGCTCGAGCCATTTCCATTGGGTGTGTCCGAGAAAATCTCCATCTGCACTTGCGTACGGGTCTCGGTGATATCTACATCCCAGCAATATTCGAGATGACGTTATCAAAATATGACGTTATCTTGTGGCATCATGGCAACGTCATCCAAGGGCAAACCCGATCTCGAGAACATGATATAATGTAGGACATACCGATTGTCCAGCAGAATGAACTTGACACGCTTCGCCCCACTGCCAACCACATACGATGTGTAAATGCCCTAATCGCAAGTCACGGAGTTCGGAGGCAATAGCGTTGTGAAGGGGGGAAGGGACCTCTTGGAGTCGTCGCGGAGAGCTCTGCGGCTCGTCTAGGAAGTCCAAGAACAGTTGCTGGCTTTCTTGCCGATAGCGATACGTCTTGTCCCCGTCATTGATACCTACCAACTTGGTAAACACCGGAAATGTATGAGGAGTATACAACCGTAGTCATGGTCATCCCAGATGCCAATGATTGGGAACCGCTCGCGAAAGAGTTTGTAGTCGGGGTGGTCGAGCTGTTGCCTGCACACAAGAACGTTGTGGTTTGTTTACGTTTGGACGGTGGAGTGGACCTACTGGTATTTCGCGGCAAGGACGTCGGGCGGCGCTGGGCGGAAGACACCTTTCGAAGGGGTGTTCGGATCCCAAATTCGAATGTCCCCGTAAATCTAGTGACAGGATTAACATCGTAGCATTGCCTCTCATGTGGATGGCACTATACATTGTCGCCGAGCCAAAGCCACAGTTGTGGGTCTTTGGCGGTGATCACAGGCCATAACATTTGATGCTTCGACTGGTCGTTGCATGAGCCAAAGGCAAACCGATTCAGAGTACTTGTCATGTTGCCAGGATAGTATCCGTGGACCCCCACAGCAAGGAATGTCGCTGCGGCCACGATGCGGTTCGACATCACTTCTCAAGATCAACGTGATTATGTCGTTTGCACATCGGTCGATGATTGGCCAATATATCGTACTTTATATGGGTAATCGCACTTCACAGGGATTCCGAAAATCTTATTTCTAGTACTACTAGTATACTATTAATAGTACTACGTATTAATAGTAAGACGCTATAAATAAAAAAAATACTCATGTGTGTAAATGCTGGAATTGCTCGTATTTTACAGGTTTAATAGGAAATTGTCGTATCACGCAGAAAAAGCTTCCGTCCGTTAGGGTTAAAAAACGACAATGTCCTACACTATTAATAAATAGTAAATATATTTTACAGTATTAATAGTACACTTACAATGAATTACTAATAATTCCGATCTGATTTCTGGTCCAATTCACGAGCTCAATGCGTCACCGCACTATAGATGCAGCGAACTTCTACGAATTACGTACTTCGATATATCGGGGTACAACCAACTAGCCTTTAACGTTGCATTATTAGCGCGGTTTACTATTAAGTACATGCGTAGGTAGGTACTAAAAGTGTAGAGTCACCGACGATTCAGATGTCCACAAGATGCAGAAACGCCATCGCAAAGTCGTCGACCGTTGCGGCGACGTCTTCCGTCTGGCCGTGCTTTGTTTCGGTCCTGCACCGGTCCAGAATGAAGTCCTTGGCGGCATTCAACTCCTTCGCCCGAACTGCTTTCGCCTGCGCTGTTTCTTCATGCAGAATGGACCCCACGAGTCGCCGAAGCCGCGTGTCCAGACAATGCACAACGTTCCGTCGATTGGACTCACGACTTGCTTCCTGTTGAAGGTCATTCATTCGCTATGGACAATAGAGATAGCTCTACCTTCTCGGGGGTATCGGACGGGCGGGGGCTGGATTCTGGATGCTGTGCGACGTACGAGATAAAGTCCATGGTGCGGGTCACAGCTTCGTCCCTAACGCATCACCTGTTCTTAAGGAATCCCACTACATCCCACGTGCCTATGCGCATCGGTATCCAAGGGCACTTGAAGGGTATGGGACTCCCAAGAATAACTGCTGGCATCTGGCACTTCCAGAAGAGTCGTCATACGTGTAAAGACCGCCTCGGGCACTGGAACCGCCCGATTTTGATTGCGACGACGGCAAATGGCGTCGGATGTGGTGATGGACACTTGACCAAACCCGACGTTGTCTAAGTAAACATACCTGAGCTACGACATACAAACGTGGGGCTACATATTGCGCACAGATTTGGGCCAGTTGATGGAATCGCTTGCGCATACTGCGGTAGTACATGTTGTCGTCCAAGAGGAACCTTGAAGGAGGAGGTTAGGCAAGAGGCTCCAGTCAGTGCGAACACGTACACAAGTAGAGGCTTCCCAACGACGTTGGCCGCTAAGGACCGCAGGCTCGACTGAACACGATCCACCACCGCCATTCGCAAGTCCCGCCATGTCGACGGATCGAACTTCTCGTTGTCATGGCCACGAGAAGCGTCAAAGATGTCGTCGTAGCAGATCCATTCAATAGACATGGTATCGTTGGATTGGCAGTGTGATGCCAACGCACGACAGAAGCTGGATTTGCCCGCCCCAGGCAGCCCGCAGAGGACGAGCACAACGGCCGACGCCGCCATGTCGTGAGGTTGGTGCAGATCGTTGATTGGTCCACGAGGAAATCCATTTGGAAAGTGGTGACGTTTGAGATGTGTGATGGCACAGTCGACTCTGCCAACTCAAAACGTTCAGACTTTCACAAGTGGGAGATGCAGACTGCACTACTGCACTGCAGGAGGAGACATCATCACAAAGGTGGTCGTACTAACGTTAGCAGGTTCCACGGGTTGCCGCCAGATTGGACGATGGTGATGAAGAACACGGTAATGTATTGAAGGGACATGTTGGACATGACGATGTCGATCCTGGTGAAGAGTCCGATGGGGACGCAAAGACTACCAAGGCAGATGAGGAAGGTCGAGAGCGAGGGGCGGGGCTCACCTACCTCCAGTTGTTATGCGGCGAAATTGCAGCAACAGCCGTGGGAGGATGCCGCCACATCATGGCGAAGGTCAGCAGAGTTTTGATGGACATGTGGATCGCGCCCATCGTGAACACGAACGGAAGCCCGTCGTGCCAGACAAACTATTTATTGAACAACGTCATGCTGATGCTCATAGCGTACCACCCGAGGATGCAGACCTTTGGACGAAAGCGTGGCAAAAGTACGACGCTCCCCCTCCTCCATGAACCTTAGAAATCTCATCATCATGTACCTTCTAGGCAGGCAGCTTTGCTGTGGGTTCCGTCGCGTTTGGTAGTATTTCACCTTACACAGTAGTGACCATCCGACCAACTTTAGTGTATGAAAACACAGGGAACGAAGAATTATGGTCCAAATAGCCGCCATGGAGGTTGCCGCAGATCCGCCAAGCTGCAGCGTGATGGGCTCTTTAGTCAGAGAGTTTTCGCAGGACACATCCACAAACAATCACCGCAAGCATCCTTCGCTTCGATGTGAAAGCCACAGTTTCATTTGAAGCAGCCTTTCTATTTATTCTACGATGGATTATTATAGCATCAGTAGTAGTGCTCCATAACCCCATTAAGTAGGCAATCATTGGAGCAGCACCCACTCGATGGTCACGCGCTCGATGCGGCCCACATACGGCGCGTGCCGGAAGATGCTCGAGATGGTCGCCACGTACAGCCACATAGCCACATGACGTGGAGGTCAATCTGGGTGCCCAACGCCGTGCCGGGCACCTGACACACCTGGACGAGGATCTCGTTGACATGGTTTTTCCTGAATGAAAACGTCGTCCCCGGTCGACGAGCGGGCGTACAGCAACTTGAGCGCGTCTTTCCGGCCGTAAGCTCGTCGGAAATGACCGTCAGCCCCTGGCGCATCATCACGAGGCGCTCCGTGGGAATGCAGACGAAGTCGACGGAATTGACGTGGTCGTTTGGGGCTTGAGCGGGGCCGCCGGTTGTTTCAACCGAAGCGTCTTGTACATCGATGGCGGCGGCGCGTCGGACGTCGCCGACACAGCCGGCTCCTGCGCTGGTTGTTCCACTGGCCGTAGTCCGCCTAAGACAGACACATTTTTGACGCGAGAGGAATAAGACGACGACGAGGACATGCAGGGGGTTTGGTTGGTTTTACTTCAACGTCCCCACCTCCAAACGCAATGGCGGTCGCACGGAAAATCATCGGATTGACCGTACCCATCTTGGCCAGCACCGTGCCTCGGCACCAGGCTTGGCTTGAACACCTTGACCAGGAGCAGCTGCGCCTTGTCCCATGCGACCGTCGACTTGTCCGACAGCGTGTCGATCGTGGTTTCGACCATAGTGCGCAGATCCATCTTGCCAGCAACCATATGCGTCATCTCGACGGTCCACCCGAGCAATTCTGCGCGGCCTCGCCATGAACGGCTGCAACGACGCGAATCAACTCGCAGACGCCACGTCGCCGTGTACCACCCAGTTGCGCAGCGAGTCCAGACACGCCTGCTGCATCGCGTTCTTGTTGTCCGCCACCCCCGCCACGAGTTTGGAGCCCACGAGGTTGGCTAGTTTGGCTACGGATGGCCCCACACTGACAACCACGACCCCCATCATGTGCACGGCCTTGGTCTTCATGTTGGCGTTCGAGTCACTCATGCGCCTTGAGCGACTTGGTGATGTCCATCACCCCTTGGTCAACTCTATCGACAAGTCCGCTTTTTCACAGATCTGCTGGGTTTGCTCCATCGCACCCAACCGCTTCTTCCACGCCACCTTGTCGTGTTCGTTGGCCATGTCTGCCAGCAACTCCTTTGAGATCTTGGCTCTAACGTCCACACGGCCAAACAGCTACCCCAAAGCACCTCCTTCCTCCCCACCTTCCTCTACCACTGTATTGACCGCCCGAGACACCGCAAACGAGCTCGGATTGAACCCCACGCGTTCGAACTCAGCCTCGACGCAGTCCTTGAGTGACAGCTTCCACCCATCCAGGTTCAGAAGCGGCCGCATGGCGTCTCCCAGCTGGCCGTACAACGAGCCAAAGACGGCGATGGCCGACACGCGGGTTTTGGGGCTGCTCGACGCCAAGCCGAACGGTTCCTTGACGTACTCGATGACCCCATGGGGGTTGCACGTGGGCATGCCAAACTCGCCGACGCTCTCGCGCGCGAACTCGAGGCACTCGAACTGCGCCTGGGGCGTCTTGACCACCGACATGTGCCCAAAGATCGCGGCCAATACGGACGCCAGCCCGACGAGCTCTGCAAGCGCCAAGAACATCGGACGCACCATCTCGCTGACCTTGTATCGCTCATCTTCTCTACCGCGCGCGCGGGGCACCAACGCCGACATGACCCCCAATCCCCCATTGACTCGCACAACGACGCAATGATAGCTATAGCTTGGAAGACGCTCTTGAGCACGTACACGTTGGCCACCTTGAATGTCTTGGACTGGCAACTCACGTGCTACGACGACGGCGTCCAGATTCGCCGTCGCCACGTTGAACGCTTCCTCCAGCGCCTCAAAGCCGGTTTTGCGGTCCATCCACTTGGTGCTTTCGAAGTCACGACGTTCGAGCTCCATCCGTCCAGGGCCAACTCTTCCAGCTGCGTTTCGGCCTCTTCTGGGGTCATTTTGATAGTCTCCGACGTCGAGTTTCCAGTTACGGCGGTGGCTTTCGTGGCTTCTTTTTCAACAACTTGGCTGGCGATGTTGAAGGGAGCGCGGACGGCATCTTGGCGCGTTTCGACACGGGCGTCGCCTTCGATGGTTTGGCCACCGAACTCGATTGTTGCTTCGGCACGGACGACGGCGGTGGTCCGCTACGCTGTTGCTTCCCCCTACACACCACCATGTACATCAGTCCAATCAAAATTCTCGTCATCAATGATCAACCAGTCCTTAGGAGTGTCGAAATGAAACGTACCATTCGCCGCTTGGATCACATTGAAACTTCGCGGCTGGAGTTTCTCGAGTAAGTCCAGCGTAGCTTTGACCATGCGACCGGCTTGCAGCGACGATGTGACGAGGGTGACCATGGCCTCGACGCCCGCCTTCTTAAGCCCCGGGTCCGAGTCTTGGATGCTGCTGGCAAAGAACTCCCCAATCATTCTCCAATTGTCCGCATCAGCGCCGCGTCCGACATGTTGATCTTGTGCTTGGCGATGCAGCGCTCGACGAAGGTAACGCCGCCTTGAGACGCCGGCACTTTGTAGCTTGAATTCGTCCATCATCGCATGGATTGACAGCGCATGCTGCTGGAACAAGTCGAGCGCCTCGTGGTCGCATTCAGCACGGTTGACATTTTGTCGGACAACTTTCGCAGCAACACGGGCAAAACAGCATACGCGCGTACAGCGCACTTGAATTGACTTGGCCACGACGTTCACGTTCACGTCTTGAGCGTCTGCACCAAGTCGTTGTAGTCGTCCGTCTCGAGCTTGGGCACCGACCCGACAATGTCCAAGATAATCTTGAGAGCGTCCACCTTTTCGCTCCACTTGGACAGCGCCATCTTTGCTTTGAATTCTGTCTTGGGGAGACAGTCCAGAAGGTTTATCGTGTCCGCAAACTCCCCGGGTCGAACGCCCTCCTGCGCCTCCTTGGCTGGCCTTGGACAATATCGATCCTCTAGCAGCCACTGGTTAGTTGGGCTGAATTCCTTTTAAATAACGCGTGGGGACGGCTTGCCCTGGGGAATCTCGTTGATCATGGCTTTGTATTCGGTATGTCTGTTGGGCGGGTCGTAACTTCGCCATGATGTCTTCCACGAGCGTGGGGCATGTCCATCGGTACCTTTCCCCCATCAGTTTGACAGCGTTGGGGCAAACGTTGTTAACCGTTGATTCACATAGTGCCTCGAACTCCTTCTTGACGGCCGCCACGGGCACAGTGCGCGGCCCGAACGCCTTGAAGCACGCCAAGATGGAGCTGACACAGAGCGGCAGCACCTTGGGCCTTTTGTTCCTGGAGCCTTCCAGCAGCACCGCTATCGTGTCTTCGGCGCTGCACAGGTGTACAAACTCGAGCACGATCTCTTCGGCAAGATTCACTGCCCCCGGTCGGCCGGAGAAGCCCTTGTCCACGACCCTGGGCAGCACTCTCCCCACAATCGCATTGTTCCACTGCTCGGGATGCACTTGGACGGCGCACGCCAGCACCGCCGCCAGGCCGTACTCCATCGCGGCGGCGTTCTAGTCGTCCACAAGTTTGTCAAACAACTCAATCACGTCGCCACCTTTGATGGCGCGACCGGACTCGAACGCCACCTTCAGGTCGTCGGACGCTACTTTGCGGACTCTCCAGTCCTTGCCAGCGACTTGGCCGCCACTTCCTCCATTTGCAAAGGGGCCTCAAAGCCGGCTTTGCGCTCCGTCCACTTGGCGCTTTGTGAGTTCGTCTCGATGCTCGAGCTCCATCCGTCCTGGGCCAATGCTTCGAGCTTTTCTGCCTCTTTGGGAGTCATCGTGATGGGTCGATTTGAGTTATGTCAACAGTTTCACATAGATTGCTCCATGACTGCGACGTGGTGACCTCCAAACGCGGTTCCGAGCGTGACAGAAGTGCTCCGATTATTCCCTCGGTGAACAATGTATCTGAAGACATTGTGGACTACTTAGCACACCGCTTTCTAAAGAGCGAAATACACCTTGGGGGAGTTCATTGCAAACGGAGCCAAGATGATTCTCGGGGCAATCTCGGCTCATTGTCGGGACGCAGACCATGACGATGAGCAGCGACGGGGACAAGTATTGCAGCCCCAGAACAATTGAGAAGTGCTGGTTCCACACGTTGCTGCCAGCCTTGATGATGGTGAAGAACGATGCGGTGATCTGCGCGATACATCACCGTATCCATCATCACCATCACCAAGTCTGGCGGTAACGTGGGGAATCTGGTATTCCTTCTTCTTGTCGTGCATGCACAACACGTATTGGAGTTGGCTGTGACGAGGGTTCGGTGTTTGACCGTTCTTGAGCGAGGTCGAAGCCGCGGCAGACAAACACTCCATTTCAATGTACTTTGTGCCCCAGAATGTGACCGCTCTTAACAACCTCTGATGTCGGACAAGCGCCAGGCCACGTTGTGTGACTCCGTCGTGCGCAGTGCATTGGGCCCCTCCAGTCCCCCTGCCACGTGCGTCAAAGGGTCCAAGGCAACCTCATTTGCCATGGCTTTGGGCGACAATGACTGGGGGAGTGCAAGACGCATGACCCCTCATCAACGTGTATGTTAGTAACTTGGCGAATGCTGGTAGTGTACCACGGTACTCAATACACTCCACCACTAGTACAACAGTTCTCGGTAATATAACGCTAGCAGCGTTATTGTAGTACAGTTCTCGGTAATATAACGCTAGCAGCGTTATTGTAGTATTGTTTGATTGGCTACCGTAGTTCAAGTCCACACGTGCGCGCCAAGTTCAACATGCCCTTGGAGGCATTTTGACTGTGAACACCCTTCGTCTATCATGAACTGTATAAACCCGTTATGAGTGTCCTAGATTAGTTAGTTCAAGCGAAGTGTCTCACATGTCAATTTTCTTTGTCAATACTTATTGTTGAAAATGATATCTATCATGTTGTATAGGTTGGGTTTCGTCCGGTTAATACCTCCGGAGTACAGTACAGTGTGCCGATGATAGGCATGGCGAATGAATACCAGCGGACAATCCGATTGTCGGCCAATTAAAAGTGAAAAAACTCAGTCACTTTTCAATAGTACTCGCTCATAACAACATGGCTGCAGGAGAACCCTCGAGTGCCAAGGACGGCCCGGTGCGCGCGATCGTCATTGGAGCAGGTCAACGCGGACGCATCTACGCGCAATACGCGACCGAACGCCCCGACCTATTCCAGAGTACGTGATGACCACCCATAGCACGATGTCTCACTTCGATGGCGGATCTAGTCGTGGGCGTAGCCGAGCCTCAAACGTACTGGCGCGAGTTCATGACGTCAACGTACTCACTGCCCCTCGTCTCAACCTCGAACAACCAGTCGCCTCACATTTCCGTAGGTACAAGATTGCACCAGAAAACGTGTTCTCGGACTGGAAAGAAGCCGCCAAAGTGGCCAAGTTTGCGGACGCTGTGATCATTGCCACCCAAGACGCCATGCACGCAGGTTTTTTGGTCATGGTAATAAGTGGAAGGACCTGAGGGGGTGAACTGTTAGACAACGCGGTGGCATTTGCCGACTTGGGGTACCACATTCTGCTGGAAAAGCCCATGGCCGTGACAAAAGAGGATTGTCTGCGCATTTACGAAGCCACACAGCGCAACAACGTGATGCTGTCCGTGTGCCACGTCATGCGATGCAGTCCCTACTCGCAGAAGCTTCGCGACCTGTGCGGCCGCATCGGCAAAGTGGTCAACATCCAGCACTTGGAGCCCGTGGGGTTCTGGCACCAAGTGCATTCGTTCGTCCGGGGCAACTGGAGCCGCCAGGACACGGCCACGTTCATGCTCATGGCCAAGAGCTGCCACGATATCGACTACATCCACTTTCTCATGCAAAAGGACCCGCGCGCCGTGAGTTCGTTTGGATCGCTCTTGCACTTTCGACCGGTACGATGCATATATATATATATATTCAATCTCACGGCAATATGATTGTAGGAAGAAAAACCAGCAAACGCAGGCGACCGATGCCTCGACTGCCCCGTCGAGTCGTCGTGTGTGTATTCTGCCAAGCGCATGTACTTGGACGAATGTGATATTACCCTGCCTGACATTGAGTCCATTGGGGAGGATCGCGTCACACTGACCAAAAGCAAGAACGGTTGGTATTATGGCAAGTGTGCTGCGTCCACCGGCTACACGGCGTGGCCGCTTGAAGTGCTGCATGGTATTATATATATCCCAATTGAAAACACCAACTAGTCGTCCAATGATAATATGACATAGAAAGCCCGAATGTCGACACGATTACGGAAGCGTTGCGCACGGGACCATACGGACGATGCGTGTACTCGTGCGACAACGACGTCGTGGACAACCAGGTCGTGACGTTTCAGTACAAGGACGGCTCCACGGCGTCATTTACGATGGTGGCATTCACCGAGTCCCAGGTATGCGACGGTTGTTTGGCCATTCTGCAATGATATGTTGGGGCTAGTGTGCTCGGAAAACCAAAGTGTTTGGGACCACGGGGGAACTCACGGGCGATGGCACGACGATCCGCCATTTCGACTTTTTGACGCGCGTCGTGACCGAGTACACGCCGTCGGCGCCCCCCGCGACGTCCAAACTGAGGGGCCACGGAGGTGCCGACTATTTCCTCGTCGAGAACTTTGTCGAGGGAGTGCGCACCAACAACCCCGAGGTGCTCATGACTGGCGCCGCGGAATCCCTCAAGTCGCACCTCATGGTGTTTGCGGCCGAAGAAGCGCGCTTGAAAGACACAGTGATTCCGTTATAAGTGGACATCGCGCAATGTATGTATCCGTCGCCATCGGTGGAGATGTTAATATCTGGGATGTTGTCAACACGCTACATATTTGTACATTGACACTTATATGCGGTCAACTTACAGACAACAAATGCTAACGTTATTCATTATTGCGTATCTTGCTACTGGTGAGGTACAGTATGAGATCAGGACGTTCTTGTGTACGATGTTCATAAGGTGGGCCGCCAAACTAGTCAAGCAACAATCAACACTAACGTTATCACAATTCACCAAACAACCGCTATAGATTCTTTACTAGTGCCATGGACCAATCACATTATTGCAAGGCGAATTATGCCTAACGTAAACGACCAGTGTTTGGTGTATCCTTTTTGGCGCCGGAGTCAATTGCGAGTTTTGAAGCTCAGGGGTGTCGGATTGAAAATCCAAGATTGGTCCCAAAGAGCTGAGGATCAGGGCTATCGAAGTATTCAAGTTTCGGGTGAATCTAACATGTTATTTTACAAGTTTCAAAGCAATATATGTCAAACTTCATGGACCAGTCTAAGGTGTGATTTTTTCATTTGAAAACTGTATAAGAAATTGCATATTTATTTTGAGGATAGGTTACTAATTATGGCGAAGTAAATATTATATATGCGCAGGTTATAGAATCATAGGATTCCTTCCAGCTTCAACGGCACTTCCGATTTTTCAAGGAACGAACGACAATGATTGGCTATTGAAAATGCACCAAACACTGGTCCGTACACCATAGACTGGTCGTTTACGTTAGCACGTCCATAATGTACTCTAGCGCTTGATGGCTACTTTGCACACAAATCTCTCTAACGTTATGAACAACTTGGAAGGACACGACAAAATTAAAGTGGATGACTACTGCTTTTCTCGATCGATTGACAATACAAACGTTCCCTTACAGACAAGCAATCTTTCCGTTCACGAGACCATACTACTTACACTGATCGTTATCGCTCAAAGCCATGGAAAACTGGGTTACCATGGTGCCTTTGACGCATGTGGCGGGGGAACCGAAGGGGCTCAACACACTGCGCACGGCGGTGTCGCACAGCGTAGCCAGGTCCTTGTCCGACACCATCAGGCACGAGCGAAGGTTGTTGAGGGCGGTCACATTCTGGGGCACAAAGTACATCGAGAAAGATTGTTTGGCTGACGCGGCTTCGACCTCGCTCAAGAATGGGTCGATTTTGCCAGCGACCGTATGTCCCCAGCCGTAGTAGCACTTGTCGCAGTCGTAGATGTGCCTTGGGCGTTGGCCTTTTGGCTGTACGAGTAACACCAAAATGGAATGACTGAGGTCTTGGCCGCGGTGCTAATCGAGCACGACGTGACGCCGTCGTAAGTGTTGCCCCCAATGTTCCAAGTTGCAGATTTACACGGAGGAAAGTTCACGGGGGTGCGAGCGGTGTACTCAGACCCGCTGTTGCCGGGGAAGTTGACCGTGGTCTTGGCGAGTGTAAACCTGTCAACGCGAAAATCATTTTTCGCATGCCGGGGTGAAAAACAACTTGCCGGGGTGAAAAACAACTTGCCGGGGGAGGTCACAGCTCTCAGAGCCACTACTTTTAGATAGATTTACCGGCCTGGGGGAATAGCGCTGCATCTCGTGGGATAGGGGGGGTTCGGTTACCTTGCTTTGGCTCTGCGCTCCATTCGTGTAAACGTTGGGAAGGTTGGACTTTGAGCCACAACGTTGGGGTGTCCTTTGCACACGCCCCCTCAACAAGCACAAGTGACCTTGTCATTCGACGTTGATACAGCGCTGCCAGGGCGACTTCATGAGTGGTGCCTTTCGCACAACTCGGAACGCATCGTCAGTCTCGTGTTTCAACTTGGCCATGTGTTTGGGGGCAAAAGGTAGTCAAAGCATGCTCACAACCACGGCGCCCCCCGTGGTGTGTTGGCGGTAGTTTTCCGAGGCTTCGATCACGACCACATCCAGCTGCTGGACCGCGCTCAAGCGATACCCCCTTCCCTTGTCTTCGGTGTGCAGCGCCACCCCTCCGACGCCGTGGACCCCACAGTTCGCCACACCCGTTCGTTGAAAATGAACCATGACGTAGTGGAGTCGATCGACAAGGAAATGTTCAACCGCAAACATCATGGGGGCCGATGTTGTCCGGCCTGCGGTCACCAATACGTCCAGCATGGTAAACACGGTGGGAATACCTAAGGTTGTGGTATTGCACTCTGGCACGACAAACATGGGTCCCTCACAAGTGTACATTAGCATAACACTCTTGGTGACTGAGGGCATCACACCAAGCAGCATTAAATGGGGCAAGGTGCCACTTGACAGTTCGCATGCCAATGGATGTCGTGTCAAACTTGTAAACACTGGTACGCTCGTAGCGGGCATCCAATTCCTTGAAAGGTTCCCTGTGTAGAGTTCAGAGTTGCCTCGAGGTTATTACGGGGTATAGTACCGTACTTCGAAGTATTTATTGGATTTAATTAAGGATCCTTTTGAGCCAATCAAATCGTTAAACATTGATCACATTGACCGATCCAACATGGAGTCCGACCTAGCACAAGCCAACGACCTAGTGCGCCGAATTCTGTCAGGTACAAGACCCTCATGTACTTGGCCTACCCGAGACGCATGTGCATCCTAGATGCGTCTTGCAAAGATATCACGCAAAAGTCGACGACAACAGCCATCCAAAACGCCATCGAGCTGTCGTCGATGGCTACGACAATCACATGCTCGGTCGAGTTGATAGATGGTAGCATTTTCCCTTTTGCAGTCGGCGTATCTGCTTCCTACGGCACGCTTCTCAAGGCCATTCAAGGCGTGCTGACGTCGAAACTTCATGGTCGACATATTTCATGGTAACACACCCCTGTCCTTCTGGCTTCGCCTTACTCTAGCCTTGGCTTTCGGTAGGAAGTACATGTGGCGGCACTACACGTTGCAATGCAATGGAGTTCTGTTGCATGTCCCCCTCCGGTCCAAAGGTCCGTTTGTCCACCACATTCCTCACGCCATGGACGACCAGCATTTACGAATTCGCATCGTGAAGACCCCCCATGTCAAATGACCACCTTGTGCTTCAAAGTAACGACGATCCACATCGTCTAAATAGGTAGACTCAGGAACTTCGTCGTCATGTGTAGCATTGATCCTCGCCAGTGGTGGTGGCTATTATTCAATTGTACGGCACTGAGACACCCTGGGAATGGTCTGACAAAACTTGTGCGCACTTGAAATGATTGTCCTCCGACGCTGCCAACCAGTGACTTGGTCCTGCTCTAGGTGCATAGTTGTCAACAAGGGGAGTTCTCGTTCAATGATAAACACTTTTCAAAATATACTTCCGACTAATAGAGGTGAGGTAGTGGTCGTTGTGCTGGCGACTTCAGTTGCTGGAGTTTAGTCATTTCTGGGGGGCAGCGTGGTGGCTGGCGTGTAAGTTGTAGGGGAAATGCCGTCATCGAGGACAGCTCGGGTGTGGCGGTAGTGGAAGGTGGCAACGTGGTGGTGCGTGGGTACAGTACTGTAGTGTGAATGCCACAATGAATTGAACAGGCTAGTGGTAGTTGATAGACTATCAGGGCGTGGGTGTACTTGTACTGTATATATAGATAGAACTAATAATCGCTATGTACCTAGACTATGGGGGCGCGGGTACTAACCACTAACGCAGACCACATGCCACGAAGTGACAAACGGCACTGGGGCACGGCTGTGGTGGGTTGATTCCTTTGTCATCTGAAAGATTCAAAGATAATAAAGGCGGGATGATGGGGTATCGAGTCAAAAGGCGACCTTCCACACTACATCCTTGCGAGCTTGGACAATACTACTGACTAGAGCTAGATTTGAGACGATGATTGCATTCTATTTCCAAGTATATATTGAGAGGAGGCACGTCGTCTCGTTTTGAAGCTGTGGTTGCAAGTGACATGGATTTATTCAATCGTCCAAGTACCAAATATGTTCTACTTGGTCGGACTCAGTCTCGAACTTCCTCCTTGTCGTCTTCCATGGCCTGCAACAGCTCCTTCAGTTCCGACCACAGCTTTTCTCTCTCGTCACCTTCGACGGCCCCATGTAATTTCGCACTCTTCTCTTCGTTTGTGCTGCTGAACCACAACGCAACGACGTGCGTGTCACCGTTGTCAGGCAGTGGAAACCCGTACTTGTCTTCGACCCAGATAGGAGGCCCTTTGGCCAACAAACGCCGCAACTCGGCCTTGCAATCGGGCTCTACAGTGGACGTCAATCATTCCCCATGCCAACTCACGGCAGTGCTTACCTTGGACACCTTTCATGAACGCAGGGAACTGAGCTTCTTGCAATTGGGTCACGACTTCAGCACTAAACTGGCAGGGATGCCACTGCAGACTCGGGAACGTCTGGTACTCTACATACGTTTCGCTTGTGATGTCTTCCATCGTGGCCAAGCACTCCATGCCTTGTGCTGGTACGCCGTGGACACCCATCTCAAGATGTCGTCGCTAGAATTCGCTGGAGGTAATCCGGATAAATCCACTGCTGCTGGATAAATCAAAGTAAAAGACGAAATTGTATTGTGAATTCCTATAAACTTCCTGAGTCCTTTGACTCATCAATATTGTGAATCATGCTGGAGTTCTGATTGGATGAATATACTTGCCCTTTCTATAAAAGCCAATCAAATCCACTCAAAATTGGATGAGCCAATAGTGTCGATTCGTGATTCGATGGGTCGTTGAAATTTGTACCGAATCCACAATATATAGTCGATTTGTAGAAATATTAAACTAACGTTAGCTATTGTATAGTATCCAGTCCAAGTTTCTTGACGTAAAATTTACTTTAATTTACTGTATATTACCGTTGACTATACTATTGTTTTAGTTACACGGCACATCACTTCAGTTTTGAGCCACGTGGTAATTTTCGACCGCCAACATATTGCGTTTCGGTGCAGAAAATTCTTGCCTGCACGTAATACAGTCCTGATGTATCTATCAGCCTACAACACTGCAGCCAATAAAACCAGAGAGCGCACCACGTTTGCTTAGCATGCAGCCGCTCACTCAGATTATGGCGTTGACGAGGTGTAACTACTATCTACGGTATACCCTACGGACGTACGTGTAGTCTCCAAACAACGGTATAAATTGCTTGACATTCATAATATTCGTAGGTACAACATCTATTTCTGCTTGAACTGTTCGCCGCCGGCGTACCCGTTGTTCTTGTGGAACGTTTCCATGTAGTGCACTTTGCAGAGGAGCTGGTCGCCCGCAAATGTAAAGTTGTTCAGGTTCAGCTGTGTCGAACAGGTGGCGCATTTAAAGCACTCTTGGTGGAAGATCTTGCCTTCGAGCTGCGTCTTCAGGTCATTCGCGTACACGCTCTTGGTACACAGTGCACACTTGGGGCTGCCACCAAACACCCGCTTCACCTTGGTCACGCCGTTGTTGGGGCTGATGCGCTTGGCCGCTTCGAGGGATGGCGCGTCCGAGCTCGATCGAACGTTTCTGTCCGAGTCACTGCGCAAGAACGGGTTGGACGACAGCGAGTCGCGCAGCGGAGACACCTTTGAGGGTTTGTCGTTGATGTCCAAAGGGGTCAACTCCAGCGGTGCCGGTGGGCCACTAGCTGCAACGGCATCGACTGGTGCGGCCGATGCTATCGACGCCGCTGTGGCGATTTCCTTGACCACAGCGGCGGATACAACGTCATCCTTTTGCTTCTTGAACTTGTCTTCGCCGCCGTACGAGTTGGTCGTTCGAAAGAACGTCATGTAATGGGTCTTGCACAGCAACGTGTCGCCATGGTATGCAAATGTATTCAGCGTGAGTTGACATGCACATTCGGAGCACTTGAAGCAGCTCTTGTGATACAGATGCGACGCCTTGCCCTGGACCTGGGGGTCGTTGTAATACACGGCCTTGGAGCACGTGACGCAGGTCACCATGTCAAATGTTCAAATTGACTACTGAAAGGGGAGGGCTGTCGTGATCATCCGGATACGACTATGTATCGCCCAGATCGTCGCTCGTATCCGGAGTATCCTGTTAGCAACAGATGGTGTTACATGTAACGCATGGCGTTTTTTTAATGTGCGGCCGTGGAAGAGGCGTTAAACATCGCCGTCACATACATTCTTGTCATGACACGGTACGTTTTATCCACACGTTTTTATCCGTTTCGGGATTTTCGTAGATTTGCCATTTTCCTCTCAAATATCTGACTCGGCCCGACCAGCGTAACGTTGCATAAATATGTAATACTACTATTAATATAATCGTATTCCTAGCGAAACCATACTTTTTCCAAATAATATAATTCGCGTCCAATGCACCATCAAATATTTGGAGTCATGCAGCACTGCATCCACATGCTTGTCCACATGACTCTTCGTCATGATGTGCACACATGCTTGCTTTCTCCGCATCGGGTTGGGCAAGCTACAGAAACAGTAAGCCGCCCCTCTTTCTCCACTGAATCGTCCATCGAATATATGAACATATGTATCGTGGGAATGCATGTAGTAACGTTATCGCCGAACAAATCGCGATGCAATGTGTTGGGCGACAACCATGGCGGAGCTCCAACACGCTGTAAAGTTGAACCCGCCCGTGACCCCGTCCACGTTGAGAAATTCGCCCACAAAGTACAGCCGGGGCACCATTTTGGCCTCGAGGTTTTTAGTGAGTTGATTCAGCTGCACGCCGCCCGCCGTGACGAATTCTTCTTTGAACGTGGCTTTTCCAGACGTGAGAAAGGTCGACTGCAGCACGTTCTCCGCTATGGACTGCACTGTGTCGTTGGACGCATTGGACCATTGAACGTCCGAGTCGAGCGCAAGGCGGCTCCACAGCCGCTGGGGCAGCAGGGGCTTGCCGTCCGCTAAGAGGGGGCACACCGACCTCAGGTTGCGCTGGGGAGCTGCTAGTCTCTGGTCTTTCAGAAGCTGCACGACCTACTCATACAGATGAGACAGACCACACAAGTACAACGGTGGCGATGACATACCTCGTGGAGGCGCCACCGCCCTCCTGTCCAATCGATTTGCACTGGCAATTTGTAGTTGGCAGCATGCATGGGAATGGCGGCAAAGGCACTTTGCCTTAGGATAGCCGGCCCACTCAGTCCGTTGTGTGTGATCAGGACTGGCCCAGTCACTGGCTTCAATTTCTTGGCTGTGGGCAGGGTTACTCGTGCGGGGTCGACGGAAATCCCAGCCAGTCCATCCAGCCGAGGGTCGTTGTCGATTTGAAATGTAAAAAGCGACGGCACAGGAGGCTCAATGGCGATGGCGAACGCAGACTTTACCAGGGTCCACAGCGGCACGGACGACCCGCCCGCGACGACCACACACGACGCCGTCCACCGTCGCTCTTCGTCCGACACTTTGTGCGTAGCAGTGACTTCAAACTGTCCGTCAGGCGTTTGCGCCAAGTCGGTTACTCTCGTCCGCGTTTCAATCTCGACGTCCTTCGCGGCAAACAGCAACGCATTCACGATCGTGGCGCTGGAATTCGTGGCAGGAAATACCCGCCCGTCGGGTTCCGTGTGCAACTTCACGCCGCGGTCTTCAAACCACGCGTGGGACTCGTCGACTCCAAAACGGGTGAGTTGGCCCACCAGCGACTTGTTGCCACGTGGGTATTGCTGCACGAGGTCCCCGACCGAGAACTTACCCCGCGCATGCGTGACATTGCATCGACCTCCGCCGGAGATCTTGACCTTCTTGAGCAATTCCTTAGTGGCTTCTAGCACGACCACGCGGGTATTGCGAGGCATCAACTGTTTGATGGCTTGCGCGCAGAAAACGCCGGCAGGTCCACCTCCGATGACAACCACATCCGCCACCCGATGCTGCATGATTGTTGTCGCTGCCAATAAACCAAATTTGCAGGGGAGCTTGTGTTTGATTGGCTGAAATACAATAAGTATGTTGAAGATGGGTATCTTTCGGCGAAAGGTCGTATGGTATCGAGGTTGCGGCGGCTACGGTAGTAAGTTGGAAAGTGGGGCTTGGCATTCCAGTTTGCAGCTTTACAAAGCTGCATCTACCGGGTAGAGAGGATCTCTTCACTCTAGCTTATACTAACTAGTTAAAAGAAATATGGAAGACTGGGCTTGGCGAGTTGATAAACTTACAATATTGTGTTGCCAGCAAACGAAACTGATCGTAACGCTCGCTGCTTTTGTCATGTCGACGCGACGTTGGCACGGCCTTGGCATAGCATCGTTGGTGCTCCTCCTGAGTATTTGTCAAGCCAATGGTTCGTTTCACAGTCAAGACTTTATGCGCGAAGTCGTCGCGGGTACTTCATTCAGTCACCACTTAGCCATCATCCATCACTCTCTCCATCCTTCAGGTTCTTCCACGTTGTTTTGCGATGCAAACAACGTCGCAACAAACTATGACCCCAGCCATCGCAGACTGACTGCCAATATAAGCTCGTTTCGCAGTGTCGTTGGGTTTGGATTTCGAGGACGGAGTAATGCCGCTATTGTGCCAGTGTTGTCTGATGAATCATGTGCAACGCTGTGTGTTCAAGACTCGCTGTGTTTGTCCTTCGACGTCGAAGCGAACATGTGCTACATAGCTCACACCGATCGGTATGCTTTCCCCCAGGACTTTCTGCCTCGGTCAGGCAGCACGTACTTTGAATGGCAAGGTAACAGATACTCCATGTATTTGACAATGCAACAACTTGGTGACGTAGTGATGGCGGCATCACCCTCATTTGAGCCCAATGGAGGGGTCTTTCACACTCAAACGTCGATTAGAATCTTCACTCAAACGCGAGCGGCTGCCATGTATTACCAAATCATATCCACGAACGGGTCCGTGGTCGTCGACTACACGCTGGCCACGCCCGACCTTGCCATCGTGTTGCCAGAATTCCCATGCCAGGTTCTGGCCTATTCAACCAAGGTTGGACTGGACAAGAGCCCCGTTACCACGTCAAATCTGTACGACATTCGAGGTAGCAGTGCAACGTACAAATCTCAAGTAGATCGTTCGTGTGATGGTTTATGCGTCTTGTTGGAGTAGCGTCCAAGTACATGTACTTGGTCCCATACTACAACGGAGCTGACTTTCACGGCAAACTCACACGCGTCAAGCTCGACGTCCAGGGGAAAAAGCGACCGCGTCCGTCGCTCGTGCTCGAGTTTACCGACCTCGAGACGTTTTTCGGCATTGGGCCGTTCCAAGACCAAGTGCAAGTGCTCAACTTGACTGCGTTGGACCCTCGGATGGCGGGGTATTATGATGGCTTTTCAGGTATCCACTAGTCGTCCATTCTATCCGTAGAATAGGTATGATTATAAGTCGTAGTCGTATCGACCACGAGCTACGTCAATGTGAGTTTGGAATCGTACGACGATCTGTCCCAGTGGACTCTGATTGATTCCGCAACGTACCGCGAGAATCCTGGCAACACTATCTTCAACAATAACGTGCCAATCACCGAAGAACACTTGTACCTGAGCCCGTACATGAACGGAGGGGGCTACTCTGGGCTTGTCACCAAGGTGTACCTGCGAGCATTTGACGCGTCGACCCTGCCACCGTTCTCCCCTCCTGTCTACAGCATTCTAGATTTAACACAGCTCGATCCAGACTTAACGGGGTTTGTGTCGTGCTTTACACGTAAGTTCCCCTTTTTGTGTTTCCCACTGACTATATTGCGCAAAGGCAACAACTTTGGCTATTTCGTGCAGCGCAACAACGACAATGGCCTCGGGGGGAAGGTCGTGCGTGTGGACTTGTCAGAATTCCACAACGCCCCACGACTGGCAGCCACCGTGCTCGACTTGGAGCAAATCGACGGGCGTCTCGTGGGGTTCGGGGGCGCGTTTGTGTGTATGTTGGTTACTACTACTCCAAGGCTGTGGACATGACGTTTTTGGTTTGAACAATAGATGGCAAGTATGCGTTCTTGACGCCGCTCGATCGAAACCGCGTGGGGCTAGAATTGAATCCGAATTACAAGTACTTTCCCACGCCAACGTCCAGTTGCATGGCTCGCGTCGACCTTGACGACTTTGCCACCGTCCAAGTCGTGGATTTTTCCCATTTGAATCCGAAATTCGCTAGGGGGTACTTTGGCGGGTTCACCGGTACGCTCGCTTCATATGCCTTATGTCTTCTTCAAAGATATATATCTAATATTAACAATGCACTAGTGAACTCGTTTGCGTACTTTGTGCCGTACATGTGGACTGCTAACGATCTGTCCCCGACCGTGAACCCGTACCACGGAGTCATCATACGGCTGAATTTGCTGACGTTGGCAATTGAAAAGTTGGATCTCACCCTTGTTGATCCGTCCCTCAAGGGCTTCATGCGTGGCTTTGCCTGTAAGTATCTCATTTTGAAACGAAGATTGCTAAAGGCATATGTGTCCATATTTGAAATCTATATATTTTTCGTGTAGTCGGAAAGTATGCTGTATTTGTGCCACATAAGAACGGACCCCACAACATCACGCCCCGCCGGGTGAACCCAAGCCAAAAATTGCATTTCGGCAAACTCGTGCGCGTCAACACTGACGTATTCTCCCCCGACGGCGTCGACGTGCTAGACCTGACGGCGACCCTGCGCTCCCAAATTCCAAACTTGCCCGATGTCGAGTTGCGGGGGTTTCTTGGGGGCGGCGCGTCGGGGCAATACGGGTTCTTCGTCCCGTATTTCAACGGGGTTCGATTCGCAGGTACGGTCGTTCATGATACTAATCTACAAAAGTATGACTATGCTGGACAGGAAAAGTCGTGCGGGTCAACTTGCGGACGTTCAACGAAGTACAAGTGTTGGACATGACCCAAATCGACGACACCCTCCGGGGGTTCACCGGCGCCGTCATGTCGGCGACGCCAGAACCCACAGACACGTCCTTGTGGCAATGGACCATCCCCGAAGGCACCCGGGCCATGTACACGTTTATTCACGAAGAAAATGCCTAGAAAATAACCATTGCCGCGTCCAGAACGAGTCAAAAATGTTCGTGCAATAAGAATGAGGGAATCGCAGGATGAAATTGGTGTAATCACACATGTGTACCAGAACACAAGGGAATGGACCTACCCTTACAGTAGCGAGCGATCGATTTTCGTCCAGAACCCCATTTCCGTGGTCCGCACACTGCAAATGATGAGCGCAAGCTCCAAGGAATACCACAGCTATCGAAAATTCACGTCATTCGACAGCAAACCAACGACGATATTTCAAAGGTTGGTTGGGGTGAAGGAAGCCGAAACATGCTAAGTACTGAACGCATGTACCAGTAGCTAGCTGAAAAGTCATCAAATACCCAAATATACCTAGTACACATGGAGCCTTCGCTATGCGAGCCATTATGGGTGGAAAACTCTGCTACTTCCCGACTTATCCTCTCTTCACCACAACTCTCTTGTAGTACCAAAACACCTCTGGTCCAATAGTGAGTGCGCCCCATAGAACATTTATCATCACGTCGACGTAGCATGTAGGTCGACGTTACATATTACGAACTACGCTCTGTTGGGGCTGCGTTGGCTAAGGTTGTGCTCAGGCGGTGCAGGACAGTAAACAACTTGGACGTGGGAAATGCACCGCTGCGACCACCAAAGCACTGGGATACGGTATCCTCCACCAGGTCCCCCGCTCGCTCCAGGTCCGCCTTGCAATTGCTCAATTCCAACGCCGCCGATGCGACAAACGTCGTCCACGGGTGTTTGCTCAGTGTTGGCAACTGCGCCACGACGCAGTCCAGCTTGGCTTGTTGGGCTGCCAGAATTGTATGCAAGTCGTCGTGACTGACATCGACTGCGTTGGGCAAGTGGGGTAAACTGTTGCCAAAACACAGCAGATTCGGCGCTTGCAATCGAACCGCCTGCAACATAGATGTTAGCCATGAGATTCAGGAACTCGAATTCACATTACTTGAGCCAATTCTGTGAGGCTAGTGCAGTTAGCCTCGTCCATGGCTAGAAACCGCCACTCGAACGGAGTCGATTCTTCCAAAGCAAACCCAATTTGAAGCACCTAACGTTATATGTATATATATCCATCAATCATGTATCTGACCGATTCGTGTAGCTACAACAGACCTGAAACAAGTCCGTCGATTTGATGACTTCGTCGCACGTGTCCTGCATCCACGTGCACTTGGTGCGGACTTCCTGCAACGAGATGGGAAGCTGCCAGTAGATTTGCCAGCACTTGATCAATTCCGCGAGCGCCAGCACCACGGCCACCGCCCTCTCGGCGTCGCGGCAGGTCGAATGGTGCGTTCCTTGCAGGATGCTCTCGATCGCTTTCTTCTCCAACGCAGACGGAATCGCCAACAACACGAGCAACTTGTCCACGAAATTAATTGTCAGGATAGACTCATCACCCGACTGAATCACGTGGCCGAGGTGTGCGAGGGGCCACGGAAGACTGGCGAGCACGCTCAGCACTTGGGTGCAGTGAATGTCGCTCAAAATACCATGTCCGTGTACATGGTGTTCTTCTTCTTCTGCTTGCGGATTCGGCGCTGGCACCACGTCTGAGCCATCGTGTGTTGTTGTTGGGGGCAATGGCAGCAGTGGCGGCGGCGTTGGGGGTGGTAACGACGGCTGTGGTGCTTTTTCAAAATCAAAGGCCGTGACCACCAAGTGCGGCGAGTCCAGAATGCGGTCGTCCACACTGTCAGCAATCATGCGCTGTCGCACGAGGTCTTCGGGGACTCGCACTTGCAGCATCTTGAAGTACTTGGCGTATTTGGGATGGTCCTCGACGGTGGTCAATTCCGTGGTCCGGAAGGTGGGTGGACGGGGGGAAGGAGGGGTAGATGTCGACGACGGTGGCGGAGATCTGGCCGCGTCGGCAGAGGACGGCACTCCTTGTCCAGTTGTCAGGTGAGCCACAACGTGTTGCCACGTGGCTGGATCGCCCGACGTCAAGTCGATGAGGGTTTGGGCAATTTGCAGCAGCACGTGCTCTGTCTTGGCGTGTTTAGCCCTTGCCATGAGTTGGTGCAGAGTGTACACCATGGACGGAGCTTTCTGCATCAAGCTGCGACACTCGGCCGCATGCAATTGCACCATCGCGGCGTCTTCACGACACGCATGAAAGTCCACCAACGTGGCGCAGGTCTCCGAGTCAGTGAGCACTTGACGCAGCCACGGCTCCTCGTCGTCTTGGTGCAGCAACAACAGCGTCGAGACGAATCGAAATACTTCCTCCAACAACGTCACAGGCGTCGTCTCGTGCATCAAGTCGGCTACGACGTGGACCACGTGGGTGACGGCGTCCAGCTCCCTCAGAGCTTTCACGACGGCGACTTTGCCTTGAGGACTAGCGACGGCTACAAGGTGGAGAATGCGCACGGCTTGGAGTTTCAACGGCACGACGCAGACCGTCAGACACAGACACAGGCTGACGAGACTCCCTCGACTATCCGCCTGCGTCAGACACAGCAGCGTCGACTGGAAATGACACAAGTGCCACACCACTTGGAGCGTCGCGTGCCCCCGCGTAGTGTTGAATTCGACCATGGGCGACGTGGGCTGCGGAAGAAACAGCTGCAGGGCGTCGAGCCCCTGGATATCCACGAAGGCTGCAACCCACGTTCTACGCGTACGATAGTCATGGAGATGACGTAGATGTCAGTGGAAATGGTTCCGAGGGACGTTTACGCACTTTGTCGACCGACCGATAAACGTGCGCAACAGCGACAAGTTCTCGAGCACAACTCCTCGCCGGTACTGCAATGTCAGAATTTGCTCAATGCAGATCGACGGGTTGGTCGTGGTCTCCAAGGCTAGATTAGACCTAAGCAAGTAAGATCCGATTGAATTCAATTGTTGTGAATGCTAGTGACATACAAGCAGACAGAGTGCCATTGCGCTTCATGCGTTTCGATGCGGCAGAGGTGCTCACATGCTTGGGGAACAAGCCCTCGCCACTTCAACAGGTCCAAGTAGGCGTGATGCACCTCTTTTGGATGTGGCATCGAGGGCGTGGGCTAGCCAGCAGCAGTAGTACAGTAAGACTTGCGTCAACTAGTATCACGTGAAGTACACCTGCGGTGGAGATTTGGCGACGAGGGCGCTGAACATTGGCAGTTTGCCATCTGTGCAGGTTGGACACGAGATGGCATTGCCCATGGATGAAATTAAAGCACAGAGGCAGACAATCGCAGCATCAACACTCACTGCTAGTGGTGAAAGCTATTATTATTCGTGCAGATGAACCGACGTGTAACGCCCAACGAAAATATGCAATGGTGTGCCATGGATTTGATTTGTAGTATTCTACTATTAATACTAGTGATACATGCCACTACAACAACTACTAACTAGTACATGACGTCGGGTGACGTGGCGTCGTCGTCGGCACTATCATCGTGATACAAGGCCTCTTCCAGAGCATTTTGCACGCGAAAGTCGCCCAGCATGCGCTCGCTTTGAAGACTGCAGTCTAAAATCATGGCCAGATTTTCTGTGTACCCTTTCAAGTAGTGCCGTCCAGGTTTTTTCCGCCCTTCGACAATCTATTCAACACGCTCGGGATGACAAACAACTGGGGCTACGTGGATGACAACAGTACCAAGTTCTTTTCGGCAAACGTCGGGCGAATGAGGAAGTCGCCGTTGACCTTGCCGTCCATGACGACTTCGGTGCCAATGTGCTTGTAAAACTTTTTGTCTTGGCCAAAGCACGTCGAGGTCACGCGTTGCGGAAGGCCGCAAATGATGTCACCCTCGTTAACCAATCGAAACGCTAGTGGCATCTACATCCAACCATGCCATATACAAAGTTATTCATATTTCCAGCTGGTGGAACTCCCCACCTTAGAGTTGAAGAATCGGGAAAAGCTATGCGTCCCGACTCGAGGGGATCCATAATTGTACAATATAACGTCACGATTGAACGACAGCTTCAAGTCGATCGATGCCAGCGTTGCCAGCGCCCCGCCCAGTGAATGTCCTACAATAACGTTCCCGTCATACATCGAATATATCGAGAGATTGATTAGTTCGCCATATCTCGACCACATATAGTACCTACCGGTGCAATATATCTGGACGCTTTCCGGGTCAATTCCGTGGGCAGTATACCGCCGCAGCAGTTCATGCAGGGCGGCATGGCATTTCTCGCGCACAGAGGCGTATGCCGTCAAGAACCCTCGATGGACAAAGGGAGTTTCGCCCAACGCTAAACAACAACATCAAAAGTCGTAATCGTCGTGAGATATCACAAAGTGCTTTATTACGTGGCAGCCACGGCACGGGTTCCAGTTTGATTTCCAAATCGGTCTTGACGTTGGCTTTGCTGTCGGTGCCGCGAAAGGCAAAGATGATTTTGCAGTCGGAGTGCAACACGAGGCAATTTGTGTCGGTGGCGTCGTCGTGGAGGACCATCGATTCTTCGAGTCCGTCGCGCACCAAGGCAGTTTGGTTGACGTACGCCGTAGCCGGATATGCCACGACGCCGCCGTCTTGGTCTACCGGCAGATTCAGCGACGACCGGTAGTACGCATGGCGTGCGCAATTCATCAACAGACATGCCGTTTCGATGCAAAACAATCGGTGAGGCTTTGAGCTCGCCTTGGCGCGAAACGCTGGAAGTCGACGCAACAAAGTGGACGTGCGGGAAAGCGCCGACATGGGCATCAACGCGGCTGCGACGGTGGTCGGAAGGGGAGGCGACGACGACGCGACGGCGGTGGGCGACAGTTCCTGCGGCGTGTGGACGTACTGTCGACGTTCTCGAATGACATATCCCCGGGGAATCAAGCCCGGTTCGACTTGGTTGGGCGGGTAGAACGCCAGCACGGCAAAGTACACAAAGAGGGCGGTGGCGACTTCGACGAGCACGGGGGTGGCTGTGAGGTCGGTGGATTTGGTGGTCGAGACGGGGGCATAGGTGCTGGAGAAGGCCGTGTTGAGCAGCAGCACCGCGAGGATGGCAAACGCAATCACAGTCAGATACCGAAAGCTCAGCGACAGGTACCGCGTTTGCGAGTACCGTTGGGCATCGAGCACCCGATGCACAATCGCTACGACGGTGCAAAACACGGAAAACCCAGCGACGAGCAGCAGCAAGTCGACCACCGCCACCCATTGGGCGACATTGACCGTCGCGTCAAACAGGCCTTCGAGGGACAGCGACAGACTCACGCGAAGGACGACGACGCCGGCAGCCAACGCGAGCTTGACCAGAAACAGCCAGTCCAAGTCGAGCGACGCGCCGTTGGAGAAGGCGCGGCAGTCTTTCCGGTAGCAGTCGAGAAGCACAAGGAGGGACCCCAGCAGCACGACATACATGATTGTTTCCCACACGTTGCGAAACACCATGTAGGTGTGCGAAGGCGGGCCAAACCAGGGCGTGGTCGGGATGAGCATGAGCGGGTTGTGGTGCACTGCCAGCACAAGGAGGAGCAGCACCATGACGTGGCGCTCGAGACTCAAGTGGCCCCATAGCCGAAAGTACAACGATTGGGGCGAAATCGCGTCGTGGGGACGATCGCGGCGGACCATGTGCGCGTTCAACGATACAAGGAAATGCACCAAGTACGCAGCCGTGAAAGTACCGAGGAGGCATCGAATGGTCACGGTGGCCCACGCCCCAGAGTCTTGGTCCGCTGTCAGAACCAGTCGAAACGGCAGCTGTTCCAGAGGGGGGATCGACGAGTGGGAAAGAAACGCGAGTTGAATGTCCAAGTGACGGCTGCGGACGTCCGACTGGGACGCGCCGAAGCGCTGCAAGTACACCGCCGCCAGTGGAATGGCCCCACATTCCGTCGAGGAACACGTGGTGGTTAGCTTGTTGACGTAGCGCACAACGAGTGGTTGGTCCTGGCTCGTCGTGTACGATGCCGAAACAATGGACGACAGATTGACCTGATACAACCACCCCCCGTCGTGTAAAAACGAGCGGCCATGAGACGAGTCGACATGAAGCTCCAAAAGCAACACATTGGGCACTTGGGGAAGTTGGGGATGCTGAAACCTCACGTGATAGAGCTGGTGTGGGCGGAGGTTGGACAGCGTGGGCACGACGGCAGTGTCGTTGGTACTTGTCCAGCTGAAGGACGAGCAATTCTGACCCGCGCCAGACACACACGTCCAAGGAGAAACCTCCACAGAAGTAGATGCCAGGGAGATGGGGTTGAACGCAGCAATAAAGGTGGCGACGGACATTACAAAGATCACGATGAGCAGACTCGGCATCACATCTACCACAAGAAATGACATTATTACGAGGTCTGCAACTCTGTTGCTTACGTACTTTCGTGCATGGTTTCGAGGTATATTTGAGCGTTGATGTTGATCACGTACGCGCCATGAGTGCGATGCCCCGTGTGCAGTTTGCCCAAGTCGATGTACCTACCGTTGTTGTTCGGATGTTACACCATTCCACCCACACCTGCGAGTCATAAAAGCATACTCTTCCAGTTGATTGGTTGGTTCGACTTCGTCTGCTTCGGGGGGGAAGGCCACAGCGGCCAATTTATCCGTCGAGGGGGTGTGCAGGTTCATGAATGCATCCCCAAAATACGAACCCCCTTGGCGGCGGCGTCGCGGCCGATCGTGCCGCCTGGCCGCCACCTCGTCCTTCGTCGCCAGCGGATGCAGAACGCGCCATAGAACGCGCCCCATCATCCGGCGCTGCTGCTCGACTTGGTTCAACACAACATCGAGAATCTGCTCTTGGTGCAACATCGCCTCCAGGTCGTCCGTTCGTTGCCCGTCGATGTCTCCTTTGTGTTCGTCTTCGCTGGATCGCAAAGTTGTCGTGTGCACTTTGAGGATGTGGTAGCCAAACACAATGGCTGGACATCCAAGCACAAACAGCCAGCGCAGGATGTTCAAAACGTGGCCCAGCGCTACAAGAAACAATTTGATGTCGCCGATAGGGCATGCTCAACGAACCCACCTGTGAGTCGACATTGCCCCTGACACCTAGAAGCGCCAACTGGCGAACCATCGCAGCCCAAGGACGGGTCGCACTTGGACACGTACGGCCAGCACCTGCATCGTTCAAGCCCACACCCAAACTCGGAGCTCTTGGCGAGCAGGTTGCCGCCACATGTGCTGGGCTCCCATGGCGGTGAAGTGGTCGTCTCAGCCTTGGCCAAATTAGAGACGACGGTCATGAGCACCAACCATCCAGTGACGACGACGACAGCGCCATGCTTCATATTGCCGACTTTATAGTGACATGCTTTCGCCGACTATAGTCAAAGCAAGGTTCAATAAATGTAATCCTTCCCCGTTAACGTTACTACTCTAATACTACCAGTACGTCGTACATCGATTGGAGATTCAGCCAGTCAATGGTAGGTAATTATCATATTTTCAGCCAATCCAATAATTTCAATTCAAAGTAACAAGGCCTCGTGTCGTATTTGATTGGCTGCTGCACCGACTTTCAACAGACATACACTTTCGATGACAAGCATCGTTAGTCTAGAAACGATGAAGTGAAGATTGTATTAATACATCGTACAGTTTACTATCGGTGTTCTTTCACAACTTGTCCAAGCAGTGCGGTTTATGGCTCGCTAGTGCTGATGTTGAAGCAGCAGTATCAATCGTATGACATGATGTCACCAGCAGCAGCTGTTTCAATGGACTTCGTGAGCGGGGGTTACGTAACCTCCCAAGAGTCGAGTGCAGTACAGTATACTTCGAAGTACTGGTACTAGTACTACGTAGAACCAGTACTATCATACAATAGGCTGGGTAGTGGGGCTAATAGCGTGGTGGCTCAATGACGACGCATACTCGGATAGCGGTGTCTGTGGCAACACTTCCACCAACCCCGGCGGCTCGGGACCATTCGATTCCACCGACTTGTTTTGACGATGGTTGGTTACCCCCTCGGCAGTGAACACCAGCAGCGCCGCCCACACGGCCAAAAATCCAATGAGTTTGCCGGTTGAAAACGGTTCGTCGTACATGAACACGCCAATCAAAAAGTGGCCAAAGGGCTGGATGTACTGCAAAATGCCCAGCAGCGTCATGGAAATATGCTGGGCCGACGCTGAAAACAGCACGTACGGGATCGCCGTGGGGAAGATTCCCGCGCCCACCAGCAGCAGGTCAGTGGTGACCCGGTCGTGGCCAAACACGCTGTCACATGTGGCGAGGTAGGCCACCGATGGTACACTCAAAAGCAGCAGTTCAATCGTCACGCCAAGTACGGGCTCCAAAGGGGCCATCTTCTTGATTAGGCCGTAAACACTAAAAATCAGGGCAATGACGAGGGCGATCCAGGGCACGTGGCCGTACGAGACGGCAATCACCAGCACGCCAGTGGTGGCCAACCCCACCGCGACCCACTGGTATCGTCGCAACGTTTCACGGAGAAATACAATGCCGAGGAGGACGTTCATGAGCGGATTGATGAAGAAGGCCAGACTCATGTCGACAATGTGGCCCGAGTTGACGGCCCACACGGTGAGGAAGAGGGTGGACCCAAGAAGAAGCCCCGAACCGGCGTACCGCAGCATGATCTTCCAATTGCAGACGGCTTGATTCAGGCCATGGATCTGCCTGGATAGAACCAGGTACAGTAAGAGCGTAGGGAACGCCCACACGATCCGGTGGCACACCAGCTGGAGGTATGGCACATGCAGGAGCTGCTTCCAGTAGATGGGACATACAGACCAGATCAAGTTGGTCGTGACGCAGAACACGACACCTTTGCGAGGATTGGGCTCGATCATGGCAGGTAGTTTGCAAATGAGGATCTCGATGTCGACATGACTTCGGCGACCTACCAATTCATATCCCTTCGTGACGTTGCTTAAAAAGCCAGATGTAGGTTAAATACCCGAGTTAGCAACGTTTAAACTAAAGGTTGAAGTTTGACGTTGACGTTTTTACTTTAACTTCGGATTGAGATTGACCTGTTGATGCAACAATCTTGATGATGCCTGAGAGTGAAGTTGGAGTACCGTACTGTACCTACTACTGTATCAGATACTTCACAGTACTAGGAGTACAGTAGGAAAGCAGGTACATACTGTACATTCACCACAACCCATAACTGCTGGAGGACGTTCTAGCACTACTGTACCATGGACAAGGAGAACCGATCTAACAGTGAATTCACAATGAATTTGCAACGTCAACCTTAAGTTACAACAGCACTTCTACGTCGTTACCCTTCCCCCCTTTCATTATTGTACTAGAGTACTGTGTACAGAACTCTAGTACAATAGTACTACGTGTAACTAGTACATACAATAACTACGGCTGTAGTTTTACTACTGGTAGTACAGTATTCGACGACAAACGACGATCGTGCATGGTTGCAGCTTTAAAGTAAGGCGCATTCGACACCCGTCACGTCAACGTGCTATTGCTTGCTTGAAACAAACAACCAATACTAGTAGGGTGATGTCGTTAAATTACTGCACGGGAAGGTGGATCAATGCATCCATTGCATCGGCAGATATATTGTCGACATTGAACGCAGCAAAGTCGTCTCCGCCAAGCCGCAGCACCTTGATCACTCCGCTGCGCTCGTCCAAAATCGTAACAAACGTAGCCGGTTCGTCCGTGGGCCGACTCGTCCACGTGTCGTGGCCGTCGGACGGGTTTGCGTTGAGCCAATAATTGTGTGTCGACAACGTTGAACTGCCTCGTTGAATGGCTTCGGCAATGTCAAGTTCGCCGCATCCACCAGGATCGCCCATGCCGCGGCAGTTGCAGCCATATTGGTTCGCTCGTACCGCCTGGGCATTGAGCGCCCAAATCGCAGGCAGCCCCTGCCCTCCATCCATCTTCACCTTGGTCACAAACACTTTCGAGCCGGTCCATCCTTGCATCCCATACGTTTTGTCAAAGTAGCCCTTGCACGTGTCCGCCGTGCATTTTTGAGGTTGCATGATGTTCACTTCCGCGCCCGTAGTGACTCCTGGGCCCCCGTAGCCGTCGCTGGGGTTGGAGCCGTCGTTGAGGCGTCCTTGAAACTGCACGGACCGGTCTTGGGAAGCCCCGAGCCCGTTCGATGATGCGTAGCATTGCGGCGACTGGCCGTTGTACTTTTGGGGGTTGGCGTTGTTCATAAACACCAGGTTGGTGGCAGCCCCACCGGCGGCTCGATCGTAGCTGGACACCCGCGACCACCCATTGCCGCCACCGCCCGGTTGAAAGATGGCAATGTTGTAAATATCCATCGGACCTCGAAACACAAACGTCATGTCTTCGTGGTACGGAGCAATGGGCCCTGAACTGGCTTCCGCGCGGGTTTGGCACCCCTTGAGCTCTGTGACGAGCTTGTACGTGCCTTGGCGGTGAGCTTTGGCGTATGCAAAGCCTGCCTGGACGTTTTTCAGTGGAAGGGGCGAGGAGGGGGGTGATTTCGGGGAAGCTCTGCCGTCAGGTCGGCGGGGGAACAATGCCGTTGCGTTCTTCAATTCGGTCCGAGTGCTGACCGCATTCTTGAGCCAGCACGTGCCGTGATACCACACCGTCACAACACATGCCGGATTGGCAGAGCAGTCGTTGCAGCATTCGTCGGCAGTGGCGCGACGAGGGGACCCAATGTCGTTACCAAAGTAGTCGGTGTTGTATTGAATCGATGAACACGCGAGGGTTGATGCTGGGGCGTCGTCGACTCTGGAAGCGTACGCGACGCCAGCCATGACAAGGGAGGCAAGAAGCATCATTTGCGCTGCTGGAAGGCAATTTACGAATGGTGTGGCTCCTACATGCAACCAACGTGGGGTTGGCTTGCCACCTCTTTTACACGAAACGATCTGATGTGCTGGCACCACGAAGCTCGTGGGCAAGGTTAGGAATTAGAAAAAGCGTGGAACCTTGCATTTTGTATTCACGGTATAATACGAACAGTGCAGTTTGCAACTATCACTTAAACACTTAAACGAGGGTACGCAATCGGACTTTACCGAGCAGCTCAACATGCCTCGTCTCTACAAATTCACGAATAAGTACAGCTCGAAACACGCGAGGAAAGTGCTGTCGACAGTGCAAACCAAGCTATTGGACTCATCGATTACTGCACTCGTTACCTTATATACTTATATAGCATTTCGAATCGTGCTTTGACGATGCCCCTCCCCTGCCATGTTGTGTACATCTTGGCTTCCATTTCGTCCGTAGCAGTGGCCCACGGCTGCACTAAAGTATTTGAACCCAACACTGACTACTGGGGCAACGACATTGGCTCGACGCGGCAGCCGTCCCCTTCCAATTGCTGCTACGACTGTTCGTCAAACCCCTTGTGTGTGCTCTTCGTGTGGCACCTTGGCACGTGCTATCTCAAGAACAAGAAAGGCCCTGCCGGCATCGCGGCGGGGACTACAGCCGGGGTTGTGTCCCCCCAATGCTTGGCCATTGAAGCCGACACGGATTACTCCGGCAACGACGTTGCTTCCACCCATCGAGTGAATGCTCGCGACTGCTGCGCCGACTGCACCGCCAACCCCAAGTGCGTCGTAGCCGTGTGGCACCATAACACATGCTGGCTCAAAGGTCACGTGGGCGCCAAGTCGACGCTGGTTGGTGCTCGTGCGATCTTTCCACGACGATACGGCACACCACCACCGCCATCCCCGCCGCAACCGACACTGCAGTTTCGCAACCGATGCAGTTACCCCATTGAGCTGTATAAAGTCGACCGATGGGTGTGCACGTTGTCGCCCAATGGTGGTGGATGTGACCAGTGGCTAAGCACTGGGGAGAACCCCATGTTTCGACACACCAGGAGCGAACAAGCCACGCTGGTCGAGTTCACGCTGACTGCCAGAACACTCTGGTTTGACGTGAGCGTGGTACCGCCCAACTGCCGCGACGGCAAAAGCCACGACGAGTGCCTCCGCAACAACGGGGGACGCACGGGGTTCAACGTCCCAGTGTCGATGACCCCCCTCAAGTACAACCATAACCCCGCCAAAGGCAACTGCCGCGACATCACGTGCCTGGCAGACAAGTGCCCCCAGGCGTATGTGTACCCCACGGACGACCTCAAGATGCGCGATTGCCCCGCCGACGAGTCCATGTTAGTCACGTATTGCCCTTAAATCTTAGTACACAATTGTGCCGTGTTGAATCGTTGGGGATGGCTTGTGAATCTAAGGCTAGTCCCAAAAAGAAAAACAAATTAACAGGCCTCCTTCTTGTGAATCTAAGGCTAGTCCCAAAAAGAAAAACAAATTAACTGTAAAACAAAATCAATTAATTATATAATATTTTTTTCTAAAGAAAGAAAACATTTTTTTTTAAATATAGTTAATGAAATTCGAAGTACTTTTAATAATAAAAGTAAAAGTATTGATAAAAATAAAGAAGTTTATAAAGATATTAATAAATTATGCTATAGTATTGAATATTTATATTTAAAACTATTTTTATGTATTTTTTAACAATATAGATTATAAATATATTTATACATGTATTATTTGATTTAAATTGTTTAATAATAACCACTCTTAGTATTTTTTTAACTTTTGTTTTATTAGAATGTAAAATTTAAGAAAATTTAAGGGTTGTTCGAGTCCCTATAAATGAAACTATCATAAAATACCAAGGACTAGGATAAGTTGTTTCGTGTTTGTTTCGTAACCATCATTCTCTTTCAAAATAAAGTACTACGTATGAACTTCACTATCGGAGTGTTGATCTTGTTTCGTAAATGGGTAAATATGTATAAATAATTCTGGCGCATAGAGTAGCCTAACGTTATCAGCTACAGTACTGTCTGTAGCCACGGCACCCGTCATGTGACAGTTTTATTCTCCACAGTTTGTTCTCTTGCTATGACGCAGCTCCCACATTTGCATGTGCCGTACGTACAGCGTCGCATTACTGTACTGTATTCGGCAATTGTCACAGGACTCCCGATTCTTGTTTCACAGTGGAAAACTCTTGTGAAACCGTCAGCATGGTTCCGGATAAAATGTTATCCGGATACCCGGTGCTTTTGGCACCCCTCTCCCTCGAACACGAAGCACGTTGACCCAGAATTTCAAGTGACATGAACTTGGTCAAGTTGAGCCTGGCGCTGTCTATTGCCGCTGCCCGTGGTGGAGCGCATGATGCACCTGCATCTGCAGGCTACACTACAACGTCGGACGACGAGGCCAAGACAACGCAACGAGACGAAGTCGCGCTGGACGTTGAAGGGGGCGTCCGGCATCACGTCGCCGCGTCCAAGTCTTCTCACGCGTTGCAAGCATTAGCGACCACCGAGTCGGATGTTGCCTCGCCTGACATCTCGGGTGTGTCGATGCGCTGCCGATTCTGTGGGGCTCATTTGGCATGGAAGCAGTACGTCAATGAATGTTGCCTCGGCTCGATCTGACATATGTTTAGCCACTACCAGCATTTGCCAGACGAAAGCAAAGCGCATGCGAAGAACACGCGCACGGAAACGTCCTTGGGAGAGCACGGTGAAGTCGTGTACTTTGACAACCCGGCCGGCGTCGAGTTTGAGCTGGCGTCGTTTCAGCACTCGGATGGCGTGCCCTCGGATGCGTACACGCAACAAGACACGTTCTTCGACTCGTACAACTGGCGTGCATTGGCATGTCCTCGCTGCGCCAAGCACGTCGGGTACGTCGTCGCCTCGACTTAGTTCTGTAACGCTTGTATGTTCTTAGATGGAAGTTCACGCATGTGTTGCACGATCAATGCATGGCAGATACGCAGCGGCAGCTGCACAAGCCCGCCGTGCCGTCGGGAAAGAAGGGTTCCAAAACAAAACTAGCGGCCCTAGTCGACGCAGCATTTGCCGACAAGAGCTGCTACGCCATGTCGAACGGGTGGTGGTCGTACCAACATTGCTACAAGAGCGACATCACGCAATTTCACCTAGTAACTAGTTCTCTTTCATGTGCATGATGGGCGAATCGTGTAAATGATGATTGATTTTTAATCTGCAGGAACCAGATGGCGTCAAGGCGAACGAGTGGAGCCTTGGACACTTCTCGGACAACAAGAGCACGGACACGGAGATCGCCCATCACTTTACGGGTGGCCAGGTAGTATACGCACACCTTTCGAATCGAACGACGTGGTCCACACACCACATACAGTAGCATGACCGATCTCTCTCAATCTGTGGGGATTGCTGTAGCATTGCGATGAAAACGGCAAACTCCGCAGCACCACGGTGAAATACGTGTGCTGCCCTGAACAACAGGTACGGTTGTTCGGCATTCTGGTTAAGGAACGGATGTGTGCCTGATGGTGGCGGGGTTCGTAGGACATTGTCGTGGACACGATCGAAGAGCCCAGCCTGTGCACGTACCTCATGCGGGTATGTGTGCCCCAACTGTGCCAGTCCAAACCCAAAATCCCCGACGTGCTGGACAAGAAGATCGAAAAGGCGTGTGCGCAGACGTTGGTGGACCACCAGAAGCCGACCTCACCTTCCTTCTTGCCCCTTTTCTACACGTTGGTATGGCCGGATACAATTGCCGAAGACAGCCCCGAGCTCACATGGACGCATTCTCTCTCGACTGTTACATCGATCATTGGTCGCTGACATTTCTCAAATTGCATCAGTCTGTTGTTTTTATTGTGTTCTATTAACGCTACGTTAAATGGGTTTAACCCTGCCAACACGTAGGGATACTTGCTACTTCGAATTTGCCATTTCATCGGAAATGATTGGTTGAATAACTTCGAACTTCGATGAAAATCTCAAGTTTTAGCCAATCACAAAATGATTTTCACAAATTCAAATCCTATTGGCTATAATATTCTGTACTTCCATAAAACTTCGGAGTCCCTTAAAATCCGTCGCCCCTGTACTCCTAGTATTAATACTTCGAAGTATTATTTATTCGATGGCTTTCTACGACTAATCAAGCAATTGGGCATCGTGGATACCGGTACATACACCCCAATATTGCACGAAATTGTCCGCACTAATTACCAACCACATATTTTGGGAATTCCATCACGCAAGTAACGGGTATTGTACTAGTGAGAACCGCACTAAGTAAGTTAGTTCTGAATCCACACTAACGTGAATTCTCAATCCGCACTAATTACGGTCGACGGTATATACTGTACCGTAGTGCAAGTTTTTCGCATCTTGTATTCACTATAGTGTACGTCGTCACTATATTACTGATGTGTGTAGGTAGTACCCAGAAGTGAAACGAAAAAACGCAAAACGTGTTGCGTTTTTCGACAACGACGCAAAATAATACACGGAACGTGTACCCATACTCCGGATACCACATGATTACTTACGCCCGTCCTCGTCAAATGCAATGGTATTCATACTGTACAGTTTCCAAGAAGTCGACATCCCATCGAACATGATGGTTCGCCTTGCCACTTTGTGCGCGGTGGTCGCGTCGGCCGTTGCGTTGGACTTTAAGCTGTACGGCCTCAACTACAACTCTCGCCAAGGGCCTGACTGGGATCCCAACAAGTGCAAATCACAAGCGCAGGTCGACGCGGACATGGTCAAGATCGCCGCCGTGGCTGATCGCGTGCGTATCTTTAGTCTCGTGGACTGCAACCAAGGCGAGATAGTGCTGACCGCGGCGAAGAAGGCTAAATTGAAGGTGTGGTTGGGTATGTGGGTGACCAAGAACGCGACGAGCGTCGAGAACGAACAACTGGCGATGGAAAAGCTCATTGCCAAGAACTTGATTGACGAGTCTGTGTTGGGGTTGCATGTGGGCAGCGAGAACATCTACCGTAAGGATCTCACAGCAACCCAAGTACGTATACATGATGTTTGGAATCCACGACATCTTACGATCCCATCTAGGCCATTGCATACTTGAAACAGATCAAAACGTTCCTCGACGGCAAACAGATCACGATTCCAGTGACGATTGCCGACATTGCGGATGTGATTGCCCAGTACCCCGAATTGATCGACGCGGTGGACGTCATCCAAGCCAACTCGTTTCCATTTTGGGAACCCGCGGCGATTGAGACGTCCATGGTGAACTTCCGCTTCAAGCTGGACTTGCTGATCGCCGCCGCCAAGGGCAAGGAGATTCAAATCGGCGAGACGGGATGGGCCTCCAATGGCATCAACAAGAACGCGTCGGTTGTGAGCCCAGAAAACCAAGCGGTACTCGTTGTGTAGTAGGCCGTGTTGATGGTGATCGTGGTGTTCGACTTACTTGTTTGTAGAGATACTTGGTGGATCTTGTCAACTTTGCTAATGCCCGCAAGTTAAAGTACTATTACTTTGCCGCGTTCGACGACGCGTGGAAAGCAAAGCAAGACGACAACGTGGACTCTGTGGAAGCCCATTTTGGGATTTACGACAGCAAGGGCGTACTCAAACCGCAATTTGTCAACCTCAAACTCGCGCCCAGTTCTGTCGACGCAGACAAGACCAACGTTACGATGACCCCTCCCAAGCCAGGGGCCACAGCTCTCACCACGGCACCCCAGACCGCGGACGCCAGTGGTTCCACACCACTCTCGATGACTTCTGCGGTGCTCGCTGTGATGGCCACCGTAGCGCTATTGATTGTTTAAACCTTTTGGTACTGTCAATAAAAAACATTATTGCACATGAAAGTTGTGGGTTCAGTTTACAGCCTGTTAAGCGACCTCAGGAGAAGCTATACTAATAACGCTCTATAACGTTAGGTTCAAGTTACGATAGTCGATGGATGCATAGACTACACAAACTCGTACTAAAAGCTTAGTACGTAGTATCATTGTTGTTGATGCTTCGCTTAGGATGTGCCATCCATATTAGATTTGGACTCCTCTGTAAAATTATATAATCCTCTGTAAAATTATATAATCCTCTGTAAAATTATATAATTGGATTATTACACTTGATTATTGTATGCATATGGTAATTTACACTATCCGTATCCGGATACTTGCCCCGCCACTGTCCAAATCTATATATGTTACACGGTAGTAAACCCTAGCAAAGATGCAATCTGAACGGGCGATCAGATTGCATCTTTTCTTGGGATTACTAGTGATGGCACATAGAGTAGGTACTTTATAAGCGAATGGAGGCAGCAACTCCACTTGATATTTCGACATTTCCAGCGTCAACAATACGTATTCTGATCTATGGCGTTCACGACATGACAGCGTAACCGACAGTGTCAGTTACTTTTGACCATGGAAGGGCATTGTCGTAATACGCTGGGGGACGTGCTGAGTTGCCGTGTGGCGACCCACTTCAGTTCGTTTCGGGCCAAAACTTTTTTGTACGATGCGCCCGCGTTGGAGGCGTTGGAACGAGCGCTGTTGGTGGAGATGCGGGAGTTGGCCAAGCGATTCTTGCAGTTGCAAACGTCCGTGGAGGGTCTCACGGGCGACAAGGCCAAGTTGCAGCAGCAGGTCCAGACCATGTCCATGGAGAAGGACGACCGCGAGCGGCATTGGCAGTCGCATGTGGCAGACACACAGCGCCAATTGCACCAAAGTCAAATTCGGATGCAAATGCAAGTGCAATTGTGGGAACGAGAAAAAGGCATGTTGAAAAGTCAGTGGGAAATCGACGTGGCCGAGCAGCGGCAAGCGGCACTAGATCGCATATTTCATGACGCGGCCATGCGAGAGGAAAGACATGTGCGGCGCTTGGAAGAGGACAAGAACATTGAAATCGAACACATGCGAAGACACTTGGCCTTCGAAAAGGACACTGAGCTCAGCATGTTAGCCAACCAACTGTCCCGGCGAGCCCACCAAGACATGGAGGTCAAGGTAGCTGCGATTCTAGCCGAAGTTCAAGAAGATCAAAGGCGAAAACAAGCTCGAATTCAGCACCTCGAGAACCAACTGCGGGGACACGGCGCCGTGCACAATGCACCCCCACACTGCCGTCATTATCACCCCACAAGATCCAGCTCAACCTTGGCATAGACGAAGGAACTCCTTCCCATAAGTTAAACCGAATGTATTGTGAATTCGCTACTCGGAGTATAAACTTTCAAAATTCGCATGGTTTGTCGAATTACGCCGGAGTTCTGATTGGTTGAATATACTTGTCCATTCTGCAAGAGCCAATCAAATCCACTCAAAAATGGATGATTCGATTCGACGCGGTCTGTATCGAATCCACAACAATACTTACATGTTGAGTTATATTAATACCGGATGTCCTGTATTTCGCCGTTTACCCCGGAGTAATAAATGTCCATAAGTAGCTAGAGTACGGTTGAGAGAGTCAGGGACTGCATTGCCATGCACAATGAACGAGGTCATTATGGAATCTGTTAGTTTTACTAGTCGGTAAATGTAGCCACAAGCATGAATACACTGTAGTCGCCTTTAACGACGCTTGAACGCAGCCGTGAGGGAGGCCTTGATTTGATCTTGGGGCACGAGGGGGGGCGGAATCGGGTGGTCGTCGCCGTTGCCGCGGTAGTTACACCACAACAACGGGTCGATTTTGCCAATGCTGGGGTTGAAGCAACTAGACCAGCCACACCCGACGTGGGTCACCCACGTGCCCATGGAGTTCTCAAAGTGGCCACAGGCTTCGTTGCCGACATTGCACTTGTTGGTGTTAAAGTCCCAGTCCTTGATCTCGTCGTACCACCACCACGACGGGCCATCCTGTGTCATGCAGTTGTCGCCGCAGATCAACGCCGGCGCGAGGTTCTGAACGCCATATGGACCTCCATGACCCCCGTTCGGGTGCTGGGAGCAGTCGTCCGCCCATGCCTGCATGCCTGTCGCCATGTCGGCGTCGTACTCGACGGCATTCAACCCATGGGCTTGGCGAATTATGCTCAATTGGTACGTCACTTGCGCTGCCAAGTCGCCCTTGCCGGACGGGGGCGGCGTCGGTTGGGGCTTGACGGTCGACGAGGATGGCGGAGTCGTGGGTTTCGGAGTGTTGCCGTCTTTCTGAACGTGGTACGCCCGAGCGCCGGCGACCTTGATCTTGTTCCTGTCGTTGTCTTTGAGGTAGCATGCGCCGTTGTACCATACCGACACGACACACGCATTGTTGGCCGCACACTGGGTGCAGCAGTCGGCAGCGTTGGCCGTGTTAGTGCGAACGATGTCGTTGCCGGGGTAGTCGACATCCCTTTCGACTTTACCGCACGTGCGACTTCCGCCTGGTTGCGCTGGTAGCGCCGCCGACGTCACACCAGGGACGTACTCGGGCGTCCCTTTCGTGTGCTTTAGGTAGCACACCCCATCGCGCCACGTGTACACGACACACCGATCGGTGTTTTGGCAGTCGCTACAGCAGTCGGCGTGGTTGTCGTGGAACGTGGCGACGAGGTCGTTGCCGTAGTAGTCGACGCCGGCTTCGACGATGGCGCATACCGAAGCAGAGGTCACTGAAGATGGCATGAGTGCCAACACCGCAAGGATGGTGGCCGAGAGAATAGTTGTAGACCACATGTGTATGACGAGTAAAATGCAGAACTGATCATTGCTCGCTTGTCGAGAGCTACCGCCTACGTTCAACCAGTACGACTGTCGAGCATGGTTGTTGGTGAGGTCAGTAGTAACCTGAGCACGAAACAGCAGGTGGCGATTTTGATTGGGTGAAAGTACATTTCGAGGGCATTTAGCAAAGGTTGGACAGGGACTTGCTATTTTTACTGCAACAGGCGGCATTTATCGAGTGGCGATGCCATAAGGACGGGATAGATATGTAGTTTCGAATGGAAATGCAACGGCGGACAAGCCAGGATCTCGACTGTCGTGATGAAGGCCAAGCTAATGAAGTGCATGGCAAGTCGTAGAATGTCAAGCACCGCTACACTTCCCTCGACAAAGTGCGACTTATCGTTCAAGTGACAGGATATATTAGGTTCAAGTTGAACACTTGACTTGACAAATCAAGTGGCAGGAACTGGTCGTTTTCGTGTCACGCGACTGCGTCCCACCTTTGAAGAACGCCGGCGGAATTGGTGTCGAAATATCTTTCTCAGGAATTTCCACATTTTATTGTAGAGGTTACACAAAAAGTGTAATTAATCCTGTTTTATAGTTAACCGTACAATAGTTGCCGCCGCTACAGTAACGTTAAGCTAACGTTAATGTTACAGTAGCATTGCAGGCAGATTGTACTCTGCCGATTCCGACGAGCCTTTACTAAACCGGAATAGCATGCAATGGAGCGTTGCTTCCTGAGCGAGACGGTAAGATTGTACTCCGAGTAGAATGTACTGTACAGTACACTTGCACAGGGCTGCACAGAGACTTCCCTAGGAATTTTCTGGCATCGAAGCAGTGTTCAGTTGGCCGTTCTTGACCATTGATTTTGCCTGTCTACATTGTGCATCATCAATGAGCGGTACAAACACACTGGCGCACCAGTACATTATTTACACTGCCTCCAACACACTAGAAAGTCTCAGATACATCGAACGATAACAGTCCAAGGATACCTAAACGCACAGTAAGATAGGTCGATGAAAAGACTGACGCAGCGTGCCGCAACGACCAAAAAAGGCCTGACGACCGTCGACTTTCACGTACTAGTAATCATTGTGTCTCTACAATAAGCTAACGTTATGGAGAAACCGAAACATTTGTTTCATGCCACGTATGTGTGGGTACCACCCGGTACACTGCATAGTACTCGATGCCGTAGAAATTCGCATCATGACTTGCGACCGAGGATTAACATTGAAAAACAACGTTCCTATTCATACCCTTTAGTGCTCTGCTCCAAGTCGAATCGCCTCGTGCGGATGAGCTGACCAAGGCGAAAGATAGTCACGACTTGTTCGAACGTGATTCGGATGATTTCGCCAAGTTGAGTTTCCAATCACAACCATCAACGTCACTATTATTGGACAAAATTATGTATGTACAGTAGTACTCCGGAGTAGTGTAGTACATATTTGTATTGCCCTTTTCGATGAAATAAGATGGATTTGTCAGCTGGCTCAATAATTGATTTGTATCAGATTTTTAGTTTTTACTCACAGTCAATGTTGGAGGTATACATATTTAAAAATGTTCTTTTTGGTTGGGCCAAACTATGCTACTGATAAATGATTAATTCAAATCTTGTAATTTGATTGGCTAGTTCAATTAAAGTACATTTGTCGATTTACAATTGGAATGGATTTATTAATACTGTTATTGGTAATTCGATTTCAAATGGACTGGGGCTGCCAATCGAATCGAAGAAGCAAAATCGACGCAGTAATCGACGGACCGAAGTAGCCAATGAAATGTTCGAATAAATATCTTTCAACCAATGAAATTACAGGTGTGTCGAGTGCCTCTCCATAAAGAGTTCAAGCTATTTCTTCGACGTATCTGACAGGATTCACAGTGAGTATATTCATAGTCAGTTCAAGTAAAACGAGGTCTAGACGAGTTCAGGTAGATTTGACGTCGTTCGCCGAATCTACCGAAAATACCAAATTTAACTTGAAAGCTCAATAACAACAACATTAAATATTGAACTTCTCGGAGGATCGCACAGTAGCCTTAGTATAATATACTCGGAGTAACGTTACTACAGTACAGTAGTACCACCGAGAATGCAAATCAATCAATACAGTAGTATTTGGAGGTTTCGAATTGTTTTACTTACTGTTAGTATGATAGCGTTATTAATATTTATAGTAAAGTACTACCGGTATTAACGTTAACGTTTTATTCATAAAACTTCGAAGTAAAACTATTCGAAACTAGAATTCGGATAAAAAACAATTATCCGAATTCCTCCGCACTTGTTGCGGCGAAAGGATGCACCCCAACGATGGCGGTGACCTGCTTTCAACCGTTCGCGGGGCTCACATGGCAACGGATTCGACTGGATATGACAAGATGAATGAGTCCCTTAGTCTCAGTCCATCGACGCATTTGCATGTACACCAGCAAGCCGCGATGGCCTGGATGTTGGATCGAGAAACCAATGGCAATGAAGTTCTGCGCGGTGGCATTCTTGCCGACGGCCCTGGGTTGGGGAAGACATTGACAATGCTCAGTGTAATTCAAGTGCGCAAGTCCACTCAACCCACGTTGGTGGTCGTACCGAACCAAATCATCGCCCAGCAATGGTACCCTCCATTGAATACCACCGACGTTCATGGCCACGGGTCTGCGTAGGTTGAAGGACATGTCGACACATTTCGCCCCCAGTACGTGGTCGGCAAGCATGTTCAATGCATCGGCTCCGATCGATCCATCCCACCGAATCGTGATCATTCTCATGAAAGACCTGACGAAAGAATGGTCTGTTCTGTACAACATGTCACCCCTGCACACACACACACTCATACTGGCGTAGGCACCGGCGACAAAGCGAGCTCAGCGAGCGCGGCCGAAGCGTGAGCATTCTGTACCACGTCACATGGGGTCGCATTTGCGTCGACGAAGTTCAAGAGATCTTGGGCAAATCATCCTTAGCAGCTCAAATGATGCACCAACTGCAGTCGCCCATTCGGTGGGGGCTCTCAGGTACACCCGTGTCCAAGGTGGCGGATATAGCAGGTATGTAAGGTATACTCGTAGTACCCTTCGGTGTCTGACTTGCCGCCAGGGGTGGCTCATTTCCTCCAGCTGGCACCTTACGACTCGAGCCAGTGGTGGCGACAGCAGGGGCCCGCGGCTCTCTTGCTCATCCAGCCCGTGCTCGACCAGATTGTCTGGCGGACCTCTAGCGGTCACGTGAGCCACAGCTTGCAATTGCCCACTCAAACGATCCTTCCTGTAACGTTATGCCTATCTAACTACTCGTCTCAAACTGCCTCCACCTTGTCGATATAGACGACGTATGTCGAGCTGTCAGCCATTGAATTCGCAGCGTACCGACCCCATTTCGAGCGGTACGACCATTCAAGCTCGTTCTAGTCTCACTGCTGCTACTGGCGACGATGTTTGAACTACGAAAGTAGGTACATCCACGACATTCGGAAACGCATGGCATCGTTCGAAGACAACGCCGCGCATCTGTCGTTGGCCGAGCTCAAGCAGCTGCTACATCACCCCGCCGTCTTGAGCTTGTGCAAAGGGGCGTCCCACGTATCGCTCTTGACCAAATCGCCCGTGCCCATGTCGGACTTTGCCGCTTCCATGGCCAGTCGGCAGCGGGAGCAATGCAGTGCCGCGCTCAGTCAGTGGCTCGAAACGTGTCCGTGCGACTCGCTATGTGGGGCGTACATGACGTGGCGGCACCACAGCGCCGAGATTCCCATCCCTTGGCAAGTGCAGTTAAAAGTGCTGGCAAGGTTGAAGCATCAAGTGCACTTTACAGACTCGCGGGTCCGATTTCGCCATCAAATCCACCGCACGATCCTCGACTCGCCACGTCACCAGCGCCGCGTCCCTGCGATACTGTGGCAGCGCATTTTCGCCTACTTGAAGGAAGACTTTTCTGACCAATTGGCGAGAGTGGTGGACACCCAATTGAAGCCGCTCCAAGCGGCGTTCGAAGAGCTCTCGGCCGCATTCTGGACGGCCCATGGCGCGTCATGGTCCCTGGAAGCGTTTCAGAGTCGAGTGCTGGCATCGTATGAGTTGGGTACTTCGTTGTTGTGTGTTCGATTTTGTAGATATACAGGTGGTAGTGAAATACAATGTCACATGGGGGGCTAGAGAGGCGGATCCATGAACTACCGGCGATGCGGTCGCTTCTGAACGAGTTTACCAACATGCGATTGGCCGAAGCCAAGACCCGCGTGGGGATTGTCGAACGGCCCACGCTGTGGCATTATTTGCGGTACGTCCTTTACCCTTTAATTTGGCTGACTTTTGTGCTGATTCTTAGCCAACTCTATCGATCGATTGTTTGTACTGATGATTGTAAATATATATACCCATATATGTTCAGAGTCACACTAATTTCATTCACACACTATTTCAATGTTGCATTGGTCCAAGAGTGGATAATTTGATTGGCTACTTGATGAGTGTTCAGCGTTTTGATTGGTCGATTCTCTGTCGATTTGGTTCTTCTGTTCATTCGATTGAGCACCCCATTCCCACTTCGAATCGACTTACCAATATTGTACTATTAATAGTAATCTCTTTTGTCGTAATACATGCAAGTTGATTTATTTTTTTAAATATTTATTGAAATAGTGTTATTCTTATGTTCATATGGTTGTAGTAACAACACGACGGCGTCCGTGGACGCGGGGGAAATCCGCATGGTCACGACAGACTTGCTGGGTCAATTCACGGACCAGTACAGCGCTAGCCTCCAGTTATTGCACGACCTCATGCAGGCCAACTGGACCCACGACCTGCCACGTGTGTTGCTTGCGTACGAAACGTCCAGAACGGATGCTTTGGTTGTATATTCAAGACATTATGTGTGTAGGTTTGGCCAGTGCAACCACGCGACCCGCCGCCTGGACCGGACGTTGGTCGTGGGTCGGGAGGAGCGGTGGCAGCGGCGGGATGCCGCGCACGGCCAAGGCCGGGGACAGACCCTTTCCCTGGGCGCGCGATGTGTCGTCTGTGCGCTTCGCAACCGCATCGACATGGCGCTGTGCGTTTCGAACGTGTTTCGAACGCGTTTTTTATCTCGTGCTTGTAGGAGTTTTCTCGTCACGGAAGGCAAGTCGCCGACGTTGATGGTGCTGTTTTTCACTCGCGGGGCACCGCCAGAGGTAAAAAAAACCACTATGCTAGTAGCTACTAGTAGCTACTAGTAGTAGTAGGATTACGAGTAGTAGTAGTAGTAGTAGTAGTAGTGCGAACGACCTCCACATATACATTCAAACATGCGACGATGGTATAGATTCCAGGATTGTTTCGTGATTGTACTGCTCGATTGGAGCACATGCTGTCGTTGGCGACGTTGCTGGACAACTGGCTCCGAAACTGCTGCGACGTGCAAGCGTGCATGGCGCCTGTGACACCGTTCAGTCGATCGTCGCGGCGGGTGGCGCTAGCGTACGACAAATTTCGACTCGCCAACTGCTATCGCCAGTACACCAACACTGCTATTTCCATGTTGGGCGCGCCGCCAGAGCTTGCTTCTTGTGATTTATGTGGCCATGGAACGTCTCGGTACCAATTCTATTTCCCCACCCTCTAGCAGCACATTTATATATAAACCATTGCCCATATTATTCATGTCGATATTGGCATATATGCTCTTTTATCTATCCTCTCGACTTTGATGTGTAGCGGTGACGTGTCGTTGCTCCTGTGCTGCCATCGTTTCTGCCCCACTTGCATCGCAACGAAGTCCGAGAAAACGACGGCATGCCTGCTCTGTCACAAGCCCATGCCGTTCGACGTGTCCAAGGCGCCGCCCCTGCCGCCGCCTGGACTCGCATGTGGCTCCAAGATGGACGCGCTGCTTGGCGATTTGGAGAAAGTTTGCCCCCGCCACAAGTGCGTTGTGTTTTCGCAATTCTCGGAAGTACTCGACCTGGTCCTGGCTCAATTGACACTGCGGGGCGTCCGCTGTGTGCAGCTGCGCAGTGGCAACCAGGTCGAACTGCGGCGGGAGTTTGAAACGCAAGACGACGTCCGTGTGCTGCTGCTGCCGTTGAAAAAGTACAACCACGGGTATGGCCTAGTACTACAAGAAGACAGTGTCTTATACATAGCTACTATGTATGCCTGTGGTAACGTTAGGCTGAACTTGGTGGAGGCGACCCATGTGTTTTTGGTCGAGCCATCGCTGCAGCCAGCGCTGCATGCGCAAGCCATGGCCCGTGTCAAGCGACTCGACCAAACCGAACCGACGTTTGTCCACCGGTACGTGCTTGTACTAGTACTACTACTACTAGTAGTACTAGTCTGAGGTACATGTATGTATTAGCTACGTGATGCGGGGTACGGTGGAAGAGGCGGTGGAAGCGGCCGTGTCCCACCAGCCCAACCAACGCTTGAGGAAGATGGACATGTTTCGGATCTTTGCCCAAGATGTGTTCAAGTCAACGTCGTGTGCGGACTCATCGAATGATTACCAATGAAATACTATTAATATTATGTACAAGCCCATATATATATATATATATATATATATACTACAGAATCTATAGTAACTTACACGAGGACCCACCATGTTACTGTATAGTATAGAGTGTGAGGTTTTCAATCAGCAGTTTGCAGTGACATACCGCTGCATTAGACGGTAGCGCCACCACCGCATAATATTGCTTTAGGATCGAGTCAATCAAATAACTAGGTAAAATGTAATTAGTTTTGGACCTGTTGGTGCATTCTGGAAATGGATGGTTCACAATCGTCCTTTTTTCCTCAAAATTTGGACTTTTGTGCTGATTCGCCAAATCTATCAATCGGTTCTTTGTTGTGCTGTGGTGATTGGAATCACACTAATTGAAGTCACACACTAATTAAACGTTCATGATGGTTTCCTGCAATCTGATTGGCTCAATTCTCCTGTCGATTGTTCTGTAACTACATGTGTTTGATCGTGTGTCGATTCATTATTCTCCATGTCGCTCCAGTTTAGAATAAACACAACAATATTGTCAGGTCGGTTCGTGTTTTAATTGGAGTTGTCGCCAGTCGAATCAAATAGACTTGGCAAATCGATTTGAGAATGAACTAGCCAATCAAAATCCATTCTTACCCCCCCTATACAAGATTTCTGAATGGTTCAGCCAATCAATACGTTTTCTAAAAAAGATCTGTTGCAGATTGAACTCACAGTGCTATAGTGAATACAAGAGATGTTGCAAGTTCATTCAAAAACGAATTAGTGTGTGCTTCAATTAGTGTGATACCAATCCATCTCCACATGGTACCTTTTACATACAAAATTCAGTATATATAATCGATCGATAGATTTGGCGATTCACCACAAAAGTCAGCCAAATCTTGGGTAAAAGGATGTATACCGTGGAAAGGAGATAGAAAGCCAAGCGGATATGGTGACCTAAAGACCTTCACTTACGACAGACGTCAATCTTATAAGTGCATAAGTGAACGAAGGTGCTTTGATCACTGGACGTCAACATGCGTACCAAATAGTGACCCCATCATTCACAAAAGGTGGAGTATATCGGTACACCTTTTGCGACACACGATTGAGATATGTTTTATACCCACGTTCAATATATCCATTTAAACTGGGAGTTTGTATGCCGTGAGGTTGTAGCGTTATCGAATAATTTGACCGTTGCAACGCCATGCATTCATTCGTTGGGCGCTATAAATAGCGCTTCTATTATTATTATTGAATTTAATAAAAATATGGTAACTGGCACTTTAGATTCGACGTGGGAATATTCACGACATGAGCACCAAGAAAGGCCGGGGCGGCAACAAGAAGCGCGGCGGACAACGGGCCGACGCGTACGACTCAGAAGAAGGAAGCTGCAACGAATCGGTTGCATCCAACGATACATCGGACAGTACGAGAAGCAAAACTAGCCGCGTGTCGGAAGACACGACCCAAGAAGATCTCTTGGAGCGGTACCTCGAAGAACTGACCGAGAAAAGGTACACATCGTGCACCTCAAGAGCGAAACGTTGATGATCTCATGGAGTCCATAGAGCGACGACACGTTTGGCGGCATTGCAAGGGTTGCTGAACTTGTTGGTGCACTTCGTTCCCCCCGAACTCTTCCACGACAAGTACTGTTGGCCGCCATCCACCGTCCTTCTTCGTCATGCTCGCACTGTGTGTGTTTAGGTTTGATGGAATTTACAACAACGTGTTGCAGATTGCCCGTCGCCCATCAGAGGACGAAGGGCGCATTATCCCGCGCATTTTTGGCATTTTGGGGCTCATGTTGGGGCCCCACTCTGACGAGTACTTCGCAAAAGTGGAATCAGTCTTGGAACCACTCGTCAAATCCAATGTCCAAAGCGATATCGTACGCGCACAGGTATGCCTATGTCAAACTGATATACAGTATGTGGGACCTTGATCGCTCACTTCACGAGACGTTTGGGGCAGGCGCTGGAAGGATTGGGCGTCGTCTGCTTTACCTGCAGTACCGGGGATGAAGAAAACGCGCAAAACATCATGGGGCTGTGTGATCCCTTTTTCAACAACTCGGCGACACCGGTGTTGGCGAAGTTGGCGCTTGAAACGTGGGGCTGCCTCGCGTCGACGTTGGACTCTACGTATTTGATCGAGGAGGGCTTCCTGGACACGTAATGTTGAGGCATATTGTCGTCGTGGAAAGTGGCCGACTGATGTGATCATCATAGGCATTTGACCTTGTTTTTGGAATTGACCAACAACGCGGACGTGGACGTGCGATCGGCGGCGGGGGAAAATCTCGCGCTGCTCTTCGAAGCGATGCACCAGAATCACATTGACAACTACGAGGGCGCGGGCGACATTGCGTCCAAATTGCTCGAGCTGAGCAAAGAAAGCAGCAAAAAATTCTCGAAAAAAGACCGTAAGGAGCAGCATTCCGTGTTTCGCGACGTGTACAACACGGTTGCGGTACGTCTCGACAAAAATATATTTATATATTTTTTCGTGTATTTTTCTGTTTCGAATCTATTTTTTGTATCCATTGGACATAATTTCAACCGTTTTTTGTATGCCAAAATCATCATTCAAAATTGATATTGTGGAAATATTTCCATGATAAATGTGACATATATAATATATATTTGATATATATATAATATATATATTTGATGGATGATGATAGAACCAAGAACCACCGAATGTGTCGTTTGGCCTCGAAAACGAAACGCTGCGCTTCCACGACTGGGGCTCGATCATGCAGTACAACGCGATCAAAGAGTGTCTGCAGTCAGGCATGTTGGAGCATCTCAAGTTTAACAACCACGTGCGCCAGTTGTTTGATCTGCCCCATACCGCTGAAGTGTACTCGCGCGTGGAAAAGGTACAAGCATTCAGTCTATGTGGAAAGTGTGCTGACGGTGCGTACGTACTACATGGGGTAGCGGGCGACCAAGTCGAAGACAAGCGGGAGTCGAAAGCAGCAGAGCGCCTTTCTCAAGGACGAACGAAAGCGCCGCCAAGGCGAGAAGAATACGTTTTTGGAAGGCGGCGGCCACGACGGCGACTATTAATAAGTTACGACTGTTCATGACGATGGTCGGAGACGTGCGACGGTGACATGGTCTGGGGTTTCAATGGTGTAACACAGGTTCACATCATGGAGGAGTGCGGCGGGGAAGTTGGACGGAGTTGTCGTCATGATGTGGAGGCGTGGAGGTGGAGTAGGGGGTCGAGTCTTGGTGGGTTTGTGGTAAAGTCCACGTATTCGACGCACAAAGAGGAATACAAGCAGGGCTGGGATACCGTAATGCACAAGAAGACGATACGGCGTTTGGTCTAATGCGATGGAGATGATGTCGAAGGGAGCTTGGAGTGGATTTGCATGGAGGTCGTGAAGGTTTGAACCGATCGACATCGATTTTGGTACGCTCTTGACATGGATGCGAACGGAGCAGTCCCATGCGGAAGCTCCTTCATTCCTTGAGGTATGTAGATGACATTCATTGGACTGTTCTTCCACCAAGAGTCGAATGGACGTTGCATCGCGAGGAAGCAATTGTTGGAACCATCCTTCGCTGTCGGTACTGACTTGGACACCACGGGGGCCTCCGTTGTCGTCCATCATGGCATGAATCTCCACCACCACATGGGGTACGTGCCGTCCAAGCTGATCGTGCACTTTTCCATAAACGAGATGATGCGTCGATCCGTCCTCCAGCCGCATGATTCCGCGCGCGCTTGGAGTTTGAAATGCCCATACTACTTACTCGTTAGTACTCTTGGGTAGTACTACTAGCACGGCCAAGGGGCGGCATTTGATTGGCTGGTTTGAATTTCGTGGAAAACGGCAGTTACACAAATAAGCAGGATGCGCATTCCCTTCGCCACTTACCGAGACATGAAAACACTCCAGCTTGGTAAGCCCATCGCGATGCGGAAGATGAAGAGGGAAGAGAGTCTCGCTCACCCCACAAGTGCTCGTTCGTCACCTCACAATGCCTGCTTAACCTTCGCACTGGATTTCCACAAGGAAGTCGCTGCTTCGCGACGTACATCTCTTGATGCCTCTCTTCCTGGCGAACGTTTGTAGCAACAGGTAGTATACATGATACGATACCTTAACACAAGACCAAAATCACAAAGCCGACACATGGGATCGGCGCGGATGTATTATATTCGAAGCCACCACCACAACAATGCGTGGTAAAATCATATTCCTCCTCCTATATAGTAAGTAGTATGAACGACAACACAAGTGGAGACACGAGACGACCGTCGTGTGTGTCCCTCCTTCTTGGACGCTTATAACGTGAACGTGGTCGTGCTCGCTCGGTTCAACCGCAAGCCCAGCTGTTTCTTCTTGAGGAATTGCAGCACTTCCGCCAGCGATTGCGCTTCGTCCGGGTCCGGCGCCGACGTTTCCAAGCACCGAATCACCGTGCGGAACGCGTCCAAGTGCTCTTGCAGCGTCGGCAACGCCTCGCCGCCCACGTGGCCCCCCCCGACGCCGTCCTCCCCCGTCACGTCCGCGACCGCTTGCGACACACTGAGCGCATTGTCCAGGGCTTTGAACTCGTCCATGGCTTCGCGGGGCTCGTCAAAAAACTCCTCGTTGAGCTGCTTGTGCACGTCATTCTCGCCGCGAGAGTTGAGCAGCTCCTTGATGTTGATCACACCACCCAGCTGGAGGCAGTAGAGCATGCTCCACAGGTCGTCCTCGGTGGATTTTTCCAGCACTTCGACGTTCGTAACGGGCTCGCCATGGTACGCGGCCACAAAGTTGGCCTTGCGCCAGCAGTTGATCACCACCTCCTTGGGGACTTCCCGCCACGCCTCGGAGATCCACTGCATCGCTTGGAGCTGCTTGACGCTGTAAATATCGGCCGACCCTTCCTCGTTCCGGTCGATTGCATGCGCGAGATGCTTCATGCGGTACCGGCACTTGAACGCGGTCGTGATGCCGCAGTGCATCGGCTGCGCCTTGAGGCCCATCGTGGGCGGGAACACAATCAACCGCACGTTCGACAGCTCCAGCCCCACCACAATGTGCGACGGCGCGTTGTCGATCAGGAGCAAGATGGAACGCTGTGCAAACTGCATGCGCGCGTTCAGGTCCCGCAGCCAGTTTTGAAAGATGAACACTGTCATTTTGCTCTTGGCGTTGTGCACGTAGTTGAACCCGAGCTTCTCGGCCGACTGCGACCGCCAGTCCTTGGGCGGGTACACGTCCCCCACGATAAACGGCTCGAGCATCTCGCTGGCGTCGGCATTCACAGTCAATGCGACCGTGAGCTTGGACTCTTGTGCAAAGTGCACTTCCAAGTTGTCGTGGTCGGCAAACGCGTGCGGGGAAATGCGAAAGAACAGCCCCGTTTCGTCCATCGTGAAGATATCCTTGAGCGCATAATGCTGCGTCAGTTCCTTGATGTGCACGCTCGTCAATTCGTCCGGGAGCTTGAAGTCCATCACCGGCGTGATCAACGCCGCCGCGCTCGTCGGGTCGATGAGGTTCATCGCCATCGGATTGTTGTTGATTGAACTCACTTTGGGCATCCCGAGCTTCTTGAACCCGTGTCGCTGCTTGAACGAGCTCAACCAGCCGTTCGAGAACGCCAGTTTGCCCTCGAGCCCCATTTGCGCGCTCAGTTCCCGCCCTTTCTCCTTGATCGCGTCGCCCGTCAAGTTGACCTTGTTGTGTCGTTCGAGCACCCAATTCGCAAGCGCTTGGTCAAAGTGGTTGAACTTGGTCGGGCGGATGGTTTTGCGAGACAGGTCGAACGCGGCCCCGCCAACGCTTTCTCGGAACAAGTGCTCGTGCTTGAGGATGTTGCTCATCGTGGGTTGCGTCGGGGCTTTGGACAGCTGGAACTCGAGCATGGCCCAGCGACACAAGTCCTTTTGCGTGATTTTCGGGGTGCTACGGTGCTTCTCGCAGATACGGCGCTTCTGCTCCACCGTCAGGTTCCCCTTCCCGACGCCGTCCGCGGCGCGGCCTCTGCGCGCCTTTACCTTGGCGGTCTCAGGTGTGCTCGGCATGATGCTTGACTGTTGTGGGTGTTCGAGAGAGCAGTCGGCTATTCGTGGCGGCGGCGGTGTCAGTCGTCGTCGTCAACGGGGAGCTCGTTGATTGCCCTCGACTCCTTTTGAGGTTGTGAAAAACAATAACCCCCTTCTTCATCTATTCCTTGTGTTTGCATGGAGTCTCGACCTTTGAATTTTAGCCAATCACGTGATAGAGAAGACGTCTATTTTCAAATTCTAGCCAATCGCATGAGAGATCCGTCCCAACCGTTGCGACGTGTCCCTATCTGAATTTATACCTGCGTTTTCTGTATATATTTTTGCCACGGAAAAAAAAGGACGCATTTTCAAAACTCGACCTCTGACATCAGACGGCGCCACGGCGTGCACATGCACGCACAGACGCACGGGGGCTGCTTGGAAGGAGGATCTACTTTACATTTGACGCACTACTCGCGTCGCTCTCCTTTCCTAGCGGCGGCGCGTCCGTGGACGACGACACCACCGGCGCGGCGGCGTCGCCACTGGATGGTGGAATTGCATCAGCTTGTGTTCCGCCAAGGGCACCACCACACACATCGGTGCACACGCGTGCAAGTGCATACAACCCCTGCATGATTAGAATCCCCACGATACGCATGAACACAACGCTCGAACAAAATAGCGCGGCGTACACCGCCCATACGTCGAGCATCACGACTTTGTGCCACGGCAACTTGAGGTCCACTGGCGTCAAGTGGTGGGTGCCAAACTGAAGAGTAGACGCAATGATGTCGGTGACCCGTTCGATGCCGCCGGCACTTCGCAGCGCGGCGCCGACCCTTGCGGCGTTGCGCGCGTACGACGCATTGCGCAGCAGCACAAGCGCTTTCTGCCGCACTTCTTCTGCGGTGAAGTGCGTCTTGTCCAGGACGAGGCCTGCGCCGGCATCAACAACGCGGGCGGCGACGTCCGGCTGGTCCACGAGGAAAGGTAGGCACAAGATGGGCTTGCCAAACACCAGCGCTTCCTGGGCCGAGACCATACCGCAGTGCGAGATCACTACACACACATACGAGTGAGTCCAACAGTCATCGAGACCCCCCCCTCCAAAACACATGCGATACAGCCCAGCATCATCGTTCGTACCAAGCTTCACGGATGAATGCGCGAGCAGCCGCAGGTGCGGAAACGTCGAGCTCATGACCTTGATCCGGAATGTGGGCGGCAACGCCTGGGGCAGTGCGCCGCGCTGGTCGTTGGGCAACGTCCACAGCACGCGATAGACTGGGTCATTCGGGTTGGACAGCCCTTCCACGATGGCCTGCGCCTGCCACGCGTCAATGTACGAGAGTGACCCCAAGCACACGTAGATGACCCCGTGGAGCCCGTCGTCGCCGACCATCCACTGCGTGACCAGGGGCGGCAACGCGGCATCGGACGCGGACTCGTTGAACGCGTCGAGGGGGATGATGGGGCCGACCAGTTCCACGAGGGGGGACAGCGGCCGAGGGTACTCTAGCCCCACGGCCGTGTTGACGAGCACCCGCGCGCCTTTAAACATGTCGTGTTGGGACCGATACGGCGTCAATTGCAGCTCCCATCGCGCTTTGTTGATCTAATGCGAACATGACGATAGACTAGGGGTGGCGCGTGTACCTGCATGAAGGGAGGCGTGAGCGCGACCGACAAGAGCCGCGGGAAGAGCAAGTTCATGCACCGATTCCAGAGACTCATGTGGATCGAGAAGCCAGTGCCCCATGCCGGTACGTACGACGGAGTGCCGCCAATGTCGAACAAGATGGACGGCGAGTTGACCAAGTACGGAAGACCCAGTTTGTGCACGAGGTCGTGGCCGCCAATGGTCGCAATGTCGACCACGACGAGGTTGGGAGGGTCCAGGGACACGACGGGGAAGAGCGCGTCGAACATAGGCTGTGCCGTTGGGATGTAGATGTCATTGAACATGTTGAGGATGCCGCGGAAGTTGGACGCGTCACGCGTGATCGCTTGCAGCTTGTCCCTAAGGACTTCGGCAGAGATGGGGAACGCCCCGGCCGAAACAAACCGCGCCCCTGTGCGCTGGACCCATTCTTTGCCGGAATCGTGCGTGGCGAAACTCACGTTGCATCCCCGCCGCACCATGTCTTCTGCTATTCGAAGCAACGGCGTCGTGTGGCCTCGGATTCCTACCGATATGAACAAGATGTGTTTGCGGTGGAGGTCGAACGTCGGATCAAATGCAGGCGACCGGTCCACGTCTCCGCCACTGAGATCGTACTTGACACCAGCGTAGGGATTCCTTGATATCCAGTAGCATGTGCATGGATGGAGAAGTAGACATAGGAGAAATATCATCCCACATCGAACCAGCCCAAGGACTGGTGGCGGCATATTCGTATCTGGGGTTGTTGGCGCGAGTGACCTGCTGCGTATCCGGCGAAGATTACGCACTTACTAGATGATCCGGAAATTACTACTAGTAATACTATTGACACATTCCAAGATTTATCGCTCCAAAATGTTTGATTGGATACGTAGTATTTCCCAAGTAAAATTCAAAATGGGCAACAGCCAATCAAAACGCTCCCCAACTCATTCCAAAGATTATCGACCGCGCCAAACTATTGGCTGAAATTATCGCATCAACAGTTAATTATTGCTCCTACGCTCTCAACACATTCCTGAGGACATGAACACAGATAACCACAGTGCGGGAGAGCAGTCATACGTGTAGACGACTGGCGTTGCTGAAGAAGTAGTGACTTATTAATAGAGATAGGACGGTCGACCCAGTTGGCTGGTATATGCAACGACGGGCCTCGGCTTGGACCTTGGCCACGGGAGCCAGTGAAAGCCCTTGGTGAAATACTATGTCGGCCAATCACTTTGCATTTTCTGGACACGATTTATGTCCAATCAATCATGGCCGTAATATGGCGACAAGTCATATGGTGTGGTTCGAGGCATTTGATTCGGGGGCACAACCAAATGCGAAATCAAAGCTTAATATACTACTTGAAGTATGTACGAGGGGTGCAACAAATAATCAAAGCAAGTCCTTGTTTTTGTATATAGTTAGTTATACTGCAATGATTTTAGATTGAACAGGTACGGCATACAACACTTGGGGTTGGGCAAGGTGGTACGGATCAGAGACGACAGGCGTGCCCACGGGGGTCACGAGTACAGCATGCGCGGCGGCGTCGTTGGACTGCCGAAATGGCTTCAGGGGTTTCATCGGCTTGCAGCACAAAATGAACCCCACGACGCCACACGCAATCGATACACACGCCCTCACCACCCACAGTACAAAGCCAATTACAGTCGCCACGACCGTACCCACAGCGCCAACAAAACTTCCAATAATGCCACAGCACATGATGAGTGTTTTGAATTTTGAAAAGTGATTTGTCCATGATGCAGAGTAAGTTACGATATTGTCATGTCCACAAGGCGAAAATTAATTCGACGAGTGATGTGATTTGCCCTAGAGTGATTGTCATTGAAGGAACATAAAAATGATGTTTTCGGTAATTATAATACTAGTACTATTAATAGCAGCTACGCTAATAAGTACCAGTAGTATCTCCAACGCGGGTCCCTATCCAAAATTTCTCGGTCTTGTTTGGTGTATCCAAACAAGACAGAGAAATTTTGGGCCATTCCGGGCCAAATTAATGATTGGTTTAACTATGTCAGTTCATCTGGTCAAATTCGAAGTATCACTGTTTGGCCAACCACCGTAGTACAACTTGAACTTGGTAGATGCATTTTTATAATCCTTAGTCCAAGCTCTTTAGTTAGATTCAAACACAAGTCAATTTAATTGTTTGGAATTGAAGTAATAAAATTGTAAAGATGTCCACTCCAAACATTCATTTGCCGAAATGTAGACTTGATTAAAGTATTGCAAATGGGCTGAGCCAACGGTACAAATATATACTGTATTTATACAGTTACTATTCGTTTATAAAGTAACTAATTATCATAGGTTTAACATACCTCCAAATAAGGTTGAAACTCTATAACATAATTGCTGGAATAGTATTAACTCACTAAGGGTTTTATTGTTGCGGTCACTAGTTTTATCCAATTATATCAATTCTAACATTCTACTTCGAAGTATTAGGAGAAGTTCGGCAAATCAATGATTGTTAACTGGTTTCACCGAAGTTCAAGTGAGGAGCGAAAAAATCACCATGAATTGCGCATAATCCGGATAACCACTACCCGGATTATGGGCCTTACAGTCATCGCATGCATTTGTAAACATTTGTTTACAAATGTAATCTACCTGTTGACACACCGGTTTGGTGCAAGTCATCTAAAGACTACGAAAAAATGCCTTGCCTTTCGACAGCTATTCCAACTTTGTATTGATATCTTTTAGGATACTAAGTTAGTAGAACTGGACAAGCCCAACAGAAATTACGGTTCAGATTTTCGATTGGTGAAAAATTGATCGAGCAATAGAGTTTAAACCAACCGGCCTTTTTGTATGGAAATATATGGACCAACCCACGCAAACAATGTAGCGTAATACTAGTACAAACTAAAGTTATTGGCAAATACATCGACGACACGACGGGGGGGGCGCAAGCCCTGTTCATGCCCTCTTCTGTAAGACCTTGCGGGGGGTTACATTCTGAAACTGTAGCATCTAACAGTACAGAGAACCGAGGGCCCGTCTGGCAACCTCAAATATTGCAATACCATTCAGGCCAAATCGCAGCTAAATGACTAGCCAATGAAGTTGCTTTAATCCTAAATTCCAGCCAATGGTAGTTCAGCGATATTGGCCCAGAAGCTTGGCCACTTGTCACAGGTGAAACCTATTCAATTAAATACTGGTACTAGTACATTTTATGATATAAAATTGTGCTTCGAGTCGATTTCTCCAATACTGTAACCAAATATTTTGGGTGAAAAGAAGTACAGGAATGCCAATCTTGGTCCACAGGTGTTTCCAAATATCGCTGGCGTGATCCGCAGTCTCGAGGGACCATGATAGTGGTCCCTCGATTGGCATTCCTGTACTTCTTTTGTGTTATCAAGCGACAGCATCATAGCCGCATCCTGTCCCTTGGTCTGCTTGTTTATCGGGATACTTTGCGTACACGCACTTCGTCGACGGCCTAGACACTGTAACTTTCTCGCAGTTTCGTAAGCGTTACAAGTACAGTGCATTTTCTCTATGAGTACTACGTAGTAGTATACTAGTACTGTACTGTAGTCATGTCAGTCCAACACCAACATTCGTAATATTGTTGAATTTCCGTTTTTATTTAAACCCTTTTTAAAAGCTGTGATACACGCAGTGGACATGTACTATTAATAGTAACTAGTATCGTCGTTTGACAGGCGAACGCAAGTGCGACAATAATGGCAGCGTGGTGAGCAGTCTCATTACGCAACTTTCACTCGAATCAAACAGCATGCAGCCTGCCTTCGATTCTTGGGCCACCAAAACTTTCAACGCAACGGCGTCCGACCTCACTGGTCTTATTTTGGGCAAACCCGCCTTTATCTATGAAGCCCCCGCTGGGGTCCAAACGATTTCGGCGGTCGTCAAGTCCGAGTCTCAAGCCATTGTCGACGCCATGACGTTCACACAAGTGACCACGGAAAGTGGCGTGAAGGCCCTTAAAGTTGACTTGAAGCAAACCTGGTCCACCACGTTTTGGTACTGGAACGGCGACTTCATTGTCGACATCTACGTTCCCAAGCACGCTCTGCAGCTCGTCAACCTCGATGGTTGTGGCGACGTTGCGCTTTTTCCCAACACGTTGACCACCAGGTCATTGGGCATTGAGCTCTCGGGGTCCGGCAGCGTGTTCATTCAAGACACGTCGTCCCTTACTTTCGACCATCTCGACTTGGACGTGTCCGGGTCTGGCCGCATTCAAGTGGACGTTCCTTCGATCGCATTGACAGAATTGGATGCCAGTCTGTCTGGCTCGGGGGCGATTGTCCTGTCGACGGCGACGATCGTGGCCCCAAGTGTGGAAACCGACATTTCTGGGTCTGGAGATATCTACATCCTCGCGACTAAGGGGTTGAATGTCACTGCCCAGTTGGCCACGTCGGTTTCGGGGTCCGGGCGCATCACGCTAGCCGACGCGGGGACGTGCGGCACGCATGAAGCCGAATTGAGTGGGTCTGGCTCGATCCAAGCTGGGTCTATGGCGTGTCAAATGGCCGAAGCCAAGCTGTCGGGCAGCGGCAGCATGTACTTAAGCTCGGCGGTGTCGATCGATGTGGAAAAGTCTGGGTCCGGAACGGTGGCTGTGGTCGGTCGCGCCCCCCACCAAGTGACTGGTGCGATCGAAGTGACGACCTCCAACCCTGTTACACGCGTCGCGTTGGCGGCGTTTCCAGCCCACACTGCGTCACATTCGTTCAAGTTTGGCACTGGCTTGTTGGTCATCCTGGGCGTTGTGCTTGTGGTTGTGCTGTTCATCGTGATAAAGAAGGTCCGCAACAGGTGCCGCCGACGCCGAGACTCGCAGCATGAAGAGCCTCATGCTGCAATTCCTTACGGTGTCGCCACGACCCCTGTCCCTGTGGTGATGGTCGAAGTTGTACCGGAAGCCCAAATTGTCAACGACCCAAAAGGCCCGGAGGAGAAGTTCGTCTAACTGAACGCTCCCACAATTCATGATTTCAATTATAAACCTTCAAATCACTTTATTACTCAAAATTCGTGGTCGTGCCGAAATGGATATATATGCCCCTCTGGTGATTGGTCTTGCATGACCACTGCAAACTCAAAACACAACCACTGAAATGTACTGTACACGCTCGTACTATTTTCGCAGGCTCTTGATGTTGCCCACACCAGCATTAGACATCCTGTCTGCGACTTCGCATCCTTGGATTGTCATCTTTGATGTGTGATATTGCCTACATTAGGTCGTCACTGTTAGAATGCAACGGACATGTCGAAATATATCTTTGGCGACCTTTCGCAAAACGTACTTAAGATGCCTGCATTCGCACCTTAAGAGAGTTCATGATCGAACATTCGACGATGCTCAAGCAGACTGTTCCGACGTTCCTCAAGCCAGCGGTGTGGTCGTCGAGATATGGTGCGGCGATTTGTCTATCCCGTCCATCCTTACACGATGCATGCGACCGCTGTAGGGGACAACTTTTACACGCTGGCCATCACTGGCTTCGTCGTCCAAGATGCTACCTTCGCCGAGTACACCATCCAGGTCAAATGCGGGTCGGATACTTGGATCGTGAATAGGCGCTTCCGCGAGTTCGTCGACCTCTGGAACGAGTATGCTGCCCACAGCTGCTTCCATCTTGTTATTCCCGTCCTCACACTCTCCCATATGACAATGGTAGACTGCACTGCCTTGGCTCTCGCCTTCCAGAACTGGTACGACTCAACTCGCTTCGCTCGATGTTACAACATGCTATTCCTAGCCGGCCAAGTCGTTTCTGTGCTTTCGCGACTTGAGCCACGACTACCTGTCGGAGCGCCGACGGGCCCTGGAAGAGTGTCTGTGGGACCTGCTTCAACTGTCCAGCATGGGCGAGATCGACGCCATCAAATCCTTTTTGGATCTCATCAAAGACGATCGATATTAAAAGCATACTTCATGATTCCTACTTCTTGCCCTTCTTCTTATTCTTCTTCTTGTTCTTCTTGCTCGCGTCAGGGCTGGCGGCAGGAGCTGCTTCGTCGTTTTGGACGTCCGTCACGAGGTTGTCTGATGGCTCCAGGTCTACGTACCCGTCACTGGTCACACTGGTCTGCAACGCCGCATTCGTGTCTTCGTCATCGTCGGTGACAATCGTCAACGCTTTCGAAGACGACGCTTCGTCACTCTCAATCACTTGAGCCGCCTCCACGTCTTCAATGGACGGGGAAGTGGGCGGCAAACTGCCCTTTCGAGCAATCTTTTTGGGTGACGAAATAACTGTCGTGGATGGTTTAGGCGACGAAACAACTGGCGTGACGCTCTTAGGAGACGCCTTTGGGGACGACTTGTGAGCGATGTACGCGGCTTCAATGACACTGGCGGCTTCGACTTGATCGCTATCCGGTTGCGGTGAGCCCTTGCGGTTGATCTGGACTGGCGATGACACGGGCGGCGTGGGCTGCTTCTTCGGGGACGACGTCGGTGTTGGCTTTTTAGGTGACGGAGCGGGCGAGTGCGTTGGCGATGTCTTGTGCGCAATGTAGGCTGCTTCAATCACGCCCACGGCCTCTGCTTGAGTGTCGAGTGTCGGGGGTGTGCTGGACTTGCGAGTTTGCGCGGGGGATGACACTGGCGACGCAGGTTGCTTGGCAGGGAGCCGTTTTGGCGATGCTGGAGGCGAGGATTTGTGGGCAAGGTACGCGGATTCAATGGCCACCGCCGCTTGCTTGGGCGACGGTGGAGGCGAAGGAATCTTAGCTTTCGGTGATGGCAGCGGCGACGGAGCTTTCGCTTTGGTGACCGGCACTTGCTTTGGCGACGGTGGAGGCGAAGGAATCTTGGCTTTCGGTGATGGCAGCGGCGACGGAGCTTTCGCTTTGGGTGAAAGCGCTACCGCCTTGGACGTGGCATGTTTCGGAGAGGTTGTGGGGCTGCTGAGCGAGCGACTGTTGTCGTCCTTGTTGGTCTTGGGTGATTGGTCCAAGAACTTTAGCGCCAGGAATGCCGCAAGTCCTACGATGCCAGCCGCAGCCACGACGAGCGCAGCCGAACCTGGCCCGATCCGCTTGCTGGCCATCTGCTTGACAAGTGACACTTGGAAGGATTTCTGTGGTGGTTATTTTCGGCAACGTTTGGTTCAGAGGTTGTCGCAACACTCTGGAAGGAGTAACCTCCATACTGCTATTCATATCATTTCACGGCTGAATTTTGCACTTCACCGACAGGCAAATGTAATAATATACCCTATGTTGCAATTTAATTTAATATTTTTATAAAATTAAAATAATATGTTGCAGGTGATAATGCGTAGGGTCGTCGTGACTCCATCGTCGTCGCTAGATGTCCCATACAGTGGCATTTTCATCGCTGCAGCGACCGCTTATATGCATCCTGCTCCTCTCGCCACTCGCGTTCCCGTTGTTCCTTTAGGCGACGCTTCTGCTCCTCACGCTCAAGGACCACGTCGCGCTCCCGCTTCGCTGCGTCTGTGAGGATGGGCGTGTCGTCGAAAGCACTTCTGGCCACCCGACGGTCCGTTGCGTTGTCAACCTCGACGTCGGACGTCGTCCTAGCATTTCGATTCTTATCGGGAGATGGCGTGGCTCCAAGTATGGGCATAGCGTCGGGGATGGTCAATGGACGCGCCTTCTCGTCACTGTCCAGCGCAGTCGCCTGCAACGACCGTCGCCGGTCTCCACTTGGATTATCCTCTCCCCCCAGCTTCTCCAGTACGATAGACTGGACCTGAGGATCCGATAGTTTCTTCTTCGGCGGTGTCAAGCTCGGCAACTTGTCCTCTTCGCGGGGGGTTTTGGGCGGGGTGAACGACACGTGTTGTCCATGCCGAGGTTGGGGGATGAGGCCATTCATCGATTCATCGGTCGAGCTACGTGAAGTTGTCGCCGCAGTCGCGTGCGTGGCAGTCCGTGGTAAGTGGGCATGAAGCGCCTCCTTGTCGTCGCTGGCTGGAGGTCGAGGAGACTTGGCGACTGCTGGCTCTAGCACACCTCCGAAAACCACTGGGTGCACTCTGGCTGCGGGGGGCAACTGCAGCGATTGGCTGTCTGGGTAGGCAAACGCTGTTTTGCACACGCGTGGCGGTATCCTGTCGTGCTTGGCTTGGTCGTGCCGCTGGCCCACATCCTGGTAGACTTCGTCGTCTGGGGCATCCAAATCCAACGTGAGGGTCGTTCGATGGTGGTGGGGATTGTAGGGGGATGATGATGTTGTTGATGACGGGGCGGCCGCCGTGCTGGCGCGGGCTCGATTGGACGTATGGCGGGAAGGCGGCAGCGCAATATGGCGCTGTTGGATGAACGGATGGCGCAGCAATTGGTCGGCACTCCATCGGTCGTCGGGGGGGATCTGCAAGCACGCGAGCACAAACGATGTTGCGACTTCGGACAAGGTGGACGGCAGCGCCGGGGGGGCTGTGAGGTTGGCGATGTGGTAGAACAGCGCCACCTGGGTTTGGAACTTCATGTCTTTCCAGAGGGGGGCCCCCGTGAGCATCTTGAGCAAAGTACACCCGATGCTCCAAATGTCGGCTTTAGTGTCGTGAGTATGCTGCTTGATCACTTCAGGGGCCATGTAGTACGGCGTGCCGCGCATCGACTTGGACTTGGCGATGGAGCTCGCGCTGAGGAGCCGCGATGCCCCAAAGTCGGCCAGTTTTACCGTGCCATGCTGGTCAATCAAAATGTTGGACGGCTACACACGGGTTGAAGTGCTTAGAAACCCAATTGTGTTCGTACAGTAGTTGGCTGAGCTACATCACACTATTACGTACCTTGATGTCGTAGTGAATGACGTGGCGCGAGTGGAGATACTGCACCCCCAAGAGGACTTGGGACATGTAATTTTGAGCCACCGGCTCGGAGCACCCAAACGTTTTTGTGTTGTCTTCCAAGCTTCCCCCGGGCACCCATTCCTAATGGTTGGTATATATACATTGTGGATAGTAGTTAGTGAAAGTACTGTAGCGGGGGGGAGGGGGGGGTGCTTACCGTGAAAATATACAGCGTGCTCGTGGCTTCGTTGAATTCGCTCCCAATGTATGTGACGATGTGCGGGTGGCTCAAACTGCGCAACAACGTCACTTCTTGCTGGATCGCCGCGATTTCGTCGGGCGTTTCTTCAGCATACGAGATCTCCTTGACCGCCATCAAGTCGCCACTTGTTTCGTTGCGAGCAAGGTACACCTACGTGCACGACATAACCCCCGTCGTCACCAACTACTAGTGTAGGGAGGGTTGCACCTACCGAGCCAAAGCTACCCGATCCCAACAACTCGCCCTTTTTCCACGCAAACGTCGTCTCTACAAACCGTTGTCGACTCAATAACGTTAGGCACTATGTAGTCCGCTTCGTACCGTGAAGCGAATCCGTGTGTTCCCGAGCTTCTTTCGATTTCCACTCGCTTTCGTCCTGCCCTGCCCCCCCCGGCAGCGCTTCCATGGACGTATATTCGACTTGCTCCATCCTACGGGCCCTCGTTGAACGCAGGGAGGTGCGCTGTTTCGGGGATGAGCTGGCTTTGGGGCTTGTGCATTGCAGCGGGGTGACGAGGGTTAATGCTGCCGTGGATGTATCTTGCTCCAGCGGTAGCGATGCTGGTTTACTGGCGCCACCTCCCATTCACGGTGCCATGTATTCCGAGGACACACGTTCTAAAGGGCTCTCGGGCGGCCAACCAGTATAAATAGCCTCGTAACGTCGAGCATTCAACCAACACGTGGCATATTTTCAGAGTTGCATATCACCTATTAATAATGTCCAGCACAATGACTGGCCCCTCGATCCAAGCCCCCCCCCTCGCTTCGTAGGAGCCACCGCGCCTGACAACCCTCCGAGTCGTAGTTACGTGATTGCTGCATGTCTGCCTATCTAGTTGTATGATGCAGTACTAGTATGTAGTACTAACTGTAAACTGTACGGGTGCTGTACTTAACGTGGGACTTGCGATATTAACTAGTACAGTACTGTGTAGGATCATAACGTGGGAATATGCGTGCTTCACATTCGCCTGCATGTTGGATGCCACAGCTGACCATGTGGCGGTCACAAAATTTCAGTAACGATGATGGCAAAATTACATGGGGGGAACGCTTCGCTATTGTCGTGGTTGACATTGCTGCCGCCATCACCGCCATCGATTTGCCCATGTGCGACTGATGCGGGGCGATCAGTTTGTGAGCACTGATCCCAACAAGCTCCAGTGATCTGCGTACGCATGTGCAGCATCTGGATATCTCTGGGCAGTACAGTAGTACAGTCACTTTGCACTATAGTACAGTGTACTTTGTAGTAGTTCCATGTAAACATGGTCCATGCATGGGCATTCAGACTGGGGTTTCAGAACGTGCATCAAGGGACTGGCTTCATGAAAAACACCGCGGGCGAGATCCTTCTCCAGAGCACAAGGAGAAATCTCCGTCGCTGGCGTATAGTATCGCCACCGCCGCCATGTCAACAGCCGCAATGGTGTTGGTGGCAAATTTTGTGGAACCTTGTACAACCGTCGGAATAACCGCCACATATGTAGCGGCGCGCCACGTCTATTTATAAATCTCACCTTCTACTCTGGCTTATTCAGATTGCAATTATAGCGGCCGTCGACATATGAACTGGGTCGTTGCATTGGCGCTTTGCCTGGCTGTCCTCACCTCGCACACGCACGGATGTGCGCAAGATGCCGACACAGACTATTTTGGCAACGACATTGCTTCCACCACCCGCCCGTCTGCCGGCGACTGCTGCCAAGACTGCAGTGCTCGCGACAACTGCGTTGGCTACGTCTACACGAATGGCGTGTGCTGGCTCAAGAGCCAACTCACGGCGCGGTCGTTCAAGGCAGGTGCGACGGCAGGCTACAAGGCCAACTCGTGCTCGGCCATTGAGCAAGACATCGATTACCCCGGGTTTGACATCGCATCGACAAAGCGCACCGACGCAGCTCAATGTTGCGACGATTGCACGGCCAACCCGAGTTGCTCCGTCTTTGTTTGGTCGTCCTACCAAGGCGGGACGTGTTGGCTGAAGAGCCAAAAGGGGGTGCGCGTGGCAGCTGCTGGCGCCCGCGCAGGCTCCCGCACGACCGCGGGTCAGTGCGGGGCGATCGAGGACAACACAGACTACTGGGGCAACGACGTGGCATCGACTCAGCGCGCGTCCGCCGATCTCTGCTGCGACGACTGTGCCGCCAACGCGCAGTGCTCGGTGTTTGTCTGGCTCAGAGGCACGTGCTACCTCAAGAGCCAGAAAGGCGCCAAGTCGACTCTGAACGGGGCGAAGGCGGGGTCAGTCGGGTCGCAGTGCACCCCCCTGGAAGCCAACACGGACTACAAAGGGAACGACCTTGGAACGACCTCCCGCGCCAACGCTGGCGACTGCTGTGCCGACTGCGTGGCGAACCCCAAGTGCATCGTGGCTGTTTGGTTCCAAGGCACGTGCTACCTCAAGCACACAAAGGGGGCGGCGTCGACATCGAACGGGGCGTCCGCTGTGACGGTGCGCGGCCGCACGTCGTCGCCGCCCCCGGCCAACAAGCCGCCGCCCCCAATGCAAAACGTCCAGGCGCAGTTCGCGTACCCCAAGTCGTGGAAGGCAGGCACGTACGACATGGTCACGAGTTTGCAGGGGTGCCAGAAGCGGTCCGTGTACAGCCAAGGCACGATCGCGCCGTACCACGAGGAAGTGAGCATGGTGTTCCGGGGCCCTATGGACATTTACGACGTCAGCGTGTTCCAATTCACGGGCGCCAAGTGGGTGCGGTCCTCCAAGTACAGCGCCGGCACTGGCTACTCGAACAACATTGCGTTTATGAACAACGCCAACCCGGACAAGTACAACGGCGGGGCCCCCCAGGGGTACGCCACGGCCGACGGCATCGGGTTCTCGCGCGACCCCGTGCAGTTTGGGGGGTGGCTCCGGGACGCGTCCAACCCGTCGGACCAGTTCGGGGGCCCGGGCATCACCACGGGCGCCGAAGTCAACATCATGCAGGCATCCAAATGTACTGCGGACTCGTGCTTGGGGTACTTTCCCGCGAATTATGGGCTCCACGGATGGGGCGGGAGCAAGATCTTTGTGACCAAAGTTCGGTTTGGCGCCGGGGGGATTCCCGCGATCTGGCTCTTGAACGCCCAAGTGCTGCGGTCCAACCAATATGGATGCAACTGCCGCGGCCGCGCAGACCCCGGCGGGTGCGGGGAGCTGGACGTGGCCGAAGCCATCTACGCCGGCACCACCACCATCGCCACCCACAACTACTACCTGAATGCGAACCCGTCGCCCGGCCATGACACGTGGACCACCCGGCCGACCAACGCCCCCGCCACCTTCGTCACGATTCTGGACGAAACAACCGGGTCGCTCAAGATCCTCAAGTTTGGCGACGGCGACTACAACTACTTTGACACGGACGAGCTCAGTATTGACAACGTTAACACTCTTGTGGCGTAGGTAGGTGGTAAGTAGTGTATACTGCTATAGTATGTAGAGAGCGCTAAGCCACAAATACGAACTGTAGCTATTGTGAATTCGCTATGAACATTCAAAATTCGCGTGGTTTGTCATCAATATTAAATCTCGCTCGAGTTTTGATTGGTTGAATATACTTGTCCTTCTATAAGAGCCAATCAAATCCACTCAAAATTGGATTAGCCAATCGTGTCGATTCGTGATTATTCGCGATATTCGATTATTCCACGGGGATAATCGAATTAGCTTGGCTGTATATTATTGCACATGAGCTTTCCGCGGGTATGGAGGTTGCCAGGCTGCAAGTGCACACAAATAGTAGTCCCGCAGTCCACTTTGGTCGTCGGTTTGCCTGTACAGTACAACGCCAACTGTAGCTGATCTGCCTGCCGTTCACCGAGTCACGCCCTTGAATGACACTGAAAACTACATACAGTATCCCTGGAGATCTTCTTAGGTTTAGAGCATCCCCACGGTTACAACCTGCACGATCGTCATGTTTCACCCGCAGTCAACGGGCGGGCCACACTTTGGTCTGCCGATGGTAGCAGCTGGAGGTATACACGGTAGTTCTTTGAACGACACATCCTCCACATGCCCACCTGTCCCTGCACCTGTCCCTGCCTGCTCCTGTTAACTCATCCATCGCCGCCACCATCACCCACATTTTGAGTGGTGACGACGGACTCTGGATTCCTGACGCTGCTGCGATAGTTATAACACAATCTTCCTGTTTAATCGTCGTCCGCCTGAGTCGTTCGTTGATTCGCGGCTGCGCTCGTTTGTTCGTTCGTTGGCTTATCTTGATCGGCTCCGTCGGGACCGACCACTGCGATTCCGCGATCGCGATCGAGACCGACTTTTGCTTCGATCGCCGCCCCCCTTCTTGTCGTCGTCACCATGTGTATTGTAATGCCGTTCGAGCTCAAACATCATGGCACGAGACACCATCTTGATGTGCATAAAGTTGCAGTACCCGCCTCGGTTGCACGTGCCTTCGTCAAACTGGCGACACCTTGCCTCTCGAAAGTCCGTCACGGGGGAGTACTCGCACATGAGGGGTCGACCGCCGTAGAACCGACCGTAGAGGACCTTGTGCGCGGCGGCTGCGCACTCTTCGTCTTCAAACTTGGCATACACGTTGCCCACCAAGTGGTCGCCGAGGTTGTCGCACACGTTGAGCTCCTCGACCTTGCCGAATTTGCACAGTTCTTCAAACACTTCTTCGAAAAAGTCCTCAAAGTCTTCGTCCACGGTCTTTTGGTCCAATTGGTTCGGGTCACCGTTCGCGGCAATCACAGTCGACAGCGGGTTCTGGTACATGTGCTTCACCAACAACGTTTGGGAGAACACGGGTTTGTTGTGGGAGCGGGAGCAACGATCGCCATGCCGACATGCACCAATTTTGAAGTAGAACGGGCAGTTCACGCGATCTTCCTCTGTGCCGTGGATGCGAGCCAAATGTTCAGCCCCCCCTCCAGTGGGGTCACCGCGGCGATCACGGAACCCTCCGCCACCACCGCCCCCGCCGCCGCCACCACCCATGCGGCCTCTGTTGTCCCCTCTGTACCCTCCTCCGCCACCACCGTAGTCGTTGTACCTGCTCATCCTGTCTCTGCGCGCCTGTACTCTTGTTGTGGACCGACGGCCAAACGCCAAATGCCACCTGGCCGTGGGCCGTTCAAATCTCAAATACTGTAACAATTGATAATCTCGCCCAATTATGTATTCATGCAGGTTTACGAGTTGGCTGCCAACCACACACAAAGCGAAGAAACCTCTATAATTGGATAGATTTGGATGCTTCAAAACCTGCAGCATTTTATCTACAATCCTGGTACTGTTGTTTGGCACTGCCAGTAACAAGTGCAATTTGACGCTAGAACGGAACAGTATCAACGTTATGTCAACTACTCCGTGTACGTACTATAGCCCCCGAGCTAAACATTAACGGTAACGTTAGCAGTGTTAGTTTGAGCTCATCGCTACTTTCCAAATGCTGCCAATATTATATAGTATTAATACTACTATGTACTACTATTAATACTACTAGTAGTAGTACATATTACTATAATATTAATAGTATTGTGCTTTTCACATATTTTGCGCGTTGTTTTAGCTCCTAAAACCATCCAAAGTTTAACCTAAACCGAAGTTGCACACGACGTAAAAGTAAGCTTCCCCACCGTTCTGTCATTGGCTGATCTAAAACTTGCGTTGTTTTACTAAAACTACTTCGTTTTATTAACTCCCGTGGCCAAGCAGTCAT